GCGCAGGGTGGACACTACGGCAACGCGCTCCAGGCAGCTTCATGTAGAGGCCATGAGGCGATTGTGAAGCTGCTGCTCGACAAGGGCGCTGAGGTTAACGCGCAGGGTGGAAGGTACGGCAACGCGCTACAGGCAGCTTCATCTAGAGGCCACGAGCAAGTGGTTGAGATGCTGCTTAATGCAGGCGCTCGTCAACCTAAGGAGGACGATTCTGTATTAATATCTGAATAGTTTTGTTTAGACACCTTATACATTTCGAGTGAGCGTAGTATAGGACACGTAGTTGAACGTGACACAAACCCGTCAGCATGCTCCACATCTATTCTAAGGTCCTTACAAGGTGGGCATAGCGTGAAATTCATGACAATAATATATAGACAGGTTGTAGGCGCACTAATGTAGGCTGATACAGGCCAAGCTTAGTTAGCAGATTCCGCTTACTTAGGGCCCCGCCTTTCGGGGCTTTTGGCGAGCTCACTCGTAATGTCTAAGTAATCTTCAAAGACTAGGACCATAGTCTTCGCTAACCGTTCTACTACAGAAAGCCTCCGAAATCAAGAGACATTGTCAATGTCGCGAGTAGACAGGGGTTTACCGCTGAAGGTTCTTTTGACGACGGCAAAACGATTGACAGCACAACCAGCACCTCAGAGATCCTTGTCGAAGCCTATCAGACTGAGAGAAGAATAATTCATGAACACTTCATTTGAATTACAGCTCTAGAAATTCTAGAAATGGACGCGCCGGGCGCCCGAACCCTCGGGACATGGCGTGTCTCTCCACTCTGGGATGCACCTTATATTTCCATCTATTGCTCTCGATTTACACGTACATAGTTGGTACAAGAAAAGCTATGCGCCAAAGAGATGTTGTTGATGTTCCCATGCCGGAATTCGCGGAGTTCGATGCTCACATTCCAGCGCTCTGTTGTGGCAACAGCTATCGGTTGCGAAGGACGGGAAGCAACATCCCTTGATGTGGAGCGTTGCACCATGCCTGTTGGACTTGTTTTCTTCCGACAACACTTGTGTTCGAGAACTGAAAGCTTCCCTTTCCTAAAATCAACCCAGTGCTCCATCCTTTTGCGCAAAGCCATGATCGACAGCTGAGCCTGCGACCAATCGACAAATTCATAACTAAGAAAAAATGATGCTCTTAACCTTTCCGTTCATCTTCGCAGCTGCTGGCAGCTGTGCAAACCTGCTATCTTCGCATGCAGCAACCGTTACGGCGGCCGACATTCACGAACCCATCGCGATAGATGATAACCCAGAGAGCGAGCCGCAGCACGAACGGTTTCATGCACGAGAGATAGCCTCCATGGCGTACAGTCCGTCTGACGCTTTACTCACAAGACCAAACGGGGACACGACCACGTCAGAAATGCCATCTACGTCTCTGATTACCCCCGGGATACCATCAGCAACATCAGCTCCATTCCCCGACGTACCATATGACCACCATTCCGACGGCTCCGCAATCACGCTCGCGATTATTGTGTCAATTATTGGAGGTGCACTTCTCCTTACACTGGCGGGATGGGCATGGCGTAAGCAGAAGAACAAGAAGAGCTTCGGCCCAGATCATCATGATGCGGAGTTGGCGAAGCATAAGATAATAAATGCTAGTGGTGCGCCAGGAGGGGCTAGTCGTCATTATAGCAGAGACATGAGGGAGGCAGAGGCTAGGCCATATCAACGCTCTCCTACAGCGCAACGATATGTTATACAGCATTAGGAGGAGCTTATTTCCCCATCCCGTATGACTGTTCCTATCCTTTGTTTGCCATATCGATGTTCGAGAGCACTCACACCTCTTGGTACTTAGACACCTTCATCTGAGACAAAATGTGTCTTAAATTATATCTGTTTAACGTTACAAGTAAATGCTGAACTAAATGCTGAACAAGTATGTTCAAATTGTCCTGTTTTAAAGATTGCGATTATGTTTTGATGTTCATGGACATTGTCAACCTCCCCCACCATGTCCTGGGTTCATAGACACACAATACTTCGCAATGTGGTCTTCACGATGACGACTTGCAGACACTGTCGCTCGCTATATAATCCCGCAGTCCACTTTCCAGAATAAGGATCAATTTCGAAAAGAGAATCGGACAACCTCAAGCAAAAACAAAATGACGTTGTATCCATTCGAGATCTTCTTCCTGCTCGCGCTGGTCGCTGCTGTCCCTATTCCTACGGAGGCTGAGAAAAATTCTGGTGGTGAGAAGTATGCGAAGGATAAGGGTGCTGGGCGTCCTGTCCTCTCATACATCTTCGGGGCAGCCGGGTGCCTCATGATTCTTGGAGTGATTTACTTTGCTTGGGCCAAGTACCGCCGAGGCGAGCGCGTTTGCCCAGGGGTGAAGCGCAAGCCCGCCACTAGGAATATTTCACGTGAACTTGTGAAGTCTCACCGTCATCCTGCACCAACGTCGTACGGCTGGCAGCGTCCAGTGATGCCAATTAACGAAGCTGCCAACCCATACGCCTGGCCCAGGCAGCAGACGAACTCGAAGCCCGCGGACGGGGGGTATGGGCTCCGAGACCTTAACAAGCCATTGCCTCGGCGTCCACAGAATGATCATGGGCATCCGCCGTATGGAGTGCGGAAGCCAGCTCCAATACTCAGGTCTGGAACTCCGGTTCCGGTGGTTTATCCGAACAAGAATGGCTTCTACACCGTGCCTGTGTATGGCTCGACTTCCCATGGGCAAGACCATCGCTATCGGTAGTTCTGAGTAGTACAGATTGAGCTTGGATGCTCGCATTCGTGATGGAAGAGACTAGCCTAACGAGGGATGATGAATCCCATAACTTTTCTAGACCACTTTTTCATCGACTTTTATAGTAAGCAACAAGCATATCTATGACTTTCACCATATGCTTATGAGCGAACATTCCATTCATGTCGCGTGAGGAGAAAGAGTAGAGCTATGAAGGATTCTAACAGTTCTGTCATAAATCGACAAGGCTAAGCTGATGGAAGTTAGCTCGAGCAATCAGCAACGGTTCTATTGAAGATTCATTAATGATAATTCTCTGTTCGTGATATGGAAGTTTGCTGAGGGCTGCGTGCGATCGCGCAATGGGAACAATTCCCTGGACCATCTGTGGCTGGTATCTACCGTGCGTGCCGTTGTCAGTTCAGTCTGTCAACGCTTGATGCCGGCCCATCACTTCTCACGGAACGTTCGGGTTCCTCTTTCCCGCGGAGCCTGTAGTAGTGAAGCCTAAAAGCGACTCGAATGTCTCCACTAGCGCATGCTCCAGCGCTAGAACTCGTATAACTCCATGGTAGGCCTAGCAGTGGGGCGGACACTTACTCTACGGTACAGAACATTTCGCGATGGTCTAGCCCAGCAAATCATAGCAATCCTTGCGATCGAAGGTTTGAATGTGAGAAGCAAGGGTAGGCGAGCCGCCCTGCAAGGACCCTGGCCCCCAAAGAAAAACAATATTCTGCCTGCAGTCGAAAATCGTACATCACAATCATTTGATCTAGATTTACGCCCATTATGAACCAGGCATCAGGTTCCAGCAGCTCGCGTCTCCAAGTGCTCTTTCTGTACTCCTTTCGCCGCATCGTGATGAGTTGTGCGCCGCCGTGATGATTGGTACGCGTAAATGCTGCTTGTCCAACTCAATTCACAGGTTCTCTGATACATCGATTCATGTTGTGCATGTGCAGCTCACTGCATAGGCCTTGGCCTCGCGCAGATGGTTTTTAGATCTACACTCAACGTGAGCTTTTTTGCACGAATCCGGGCCCATGGCTGTGGTGGCGCCATTTGGTTGCTGGACAGACAAAGTCGGCGAGGGGGCTGCCACGCGCGCAAAAACGCCACAAAGCTACCATAGGTAGATATCATCGCTCGGCCCCGCATGCCAGCCCACAGACAGAATCAAATGAGCCCCCCTTTTGCCTATGTTTGAAAAAATATGGTACAAACGACCTACGACAGACGGACCCGCGAAGATACCACATGTATTTATAATGTAAAGGTTGTGGTCATGGAGATAACAACTACCAGTTCCAAACTCATGGGTTGCGCCTCCGGATCTGCAGGGAGGATAAAAGTAGGGGACTTGGATTGCCCAAAGGTTGAATTTCCAAAGCGGCCACACTAGTTTGCAAGGTCACTAGCGTGACAGCTAGCGATCCTTTTTGAGCGCTTTGCCATTCGATTGTAGTATAGTGTCTTTATGTCCTTTAGCGCTTCAAGATTTCGCCTATATTGTCATTCTTGCCAATGCTTGGCCTGTGAACATGGGTTGCTCACGTTTTGGGCAATAGGTAAAAACACATGAGTAGCCAGAGCTATGCGATAAAGGTATTTAGCAAACAGAACACCATGGCAATCGACAAGTGAGCGACCCTGCATTTCTCTCTCCGCTAGGTCCTGCCCTCGTTCGTCGTTGACGCTGTTGCACTGAATACGGTATTCAAGATGCTATCCAAGAGTATCCTCTGCCTGACGCTCCTCGTGAGCGCTGCTGCTGCCAGTCCCCAGCGAAGATCACCCTCAACCTCCAAGCCCGTGTCCAGAGATTCACGATGTGGCCAGGACCATAAGCATCAAACTTGCCAGGGCAGTGCGTGGGGTAATTGCTGCTCCAAATATGGGTACGCCTTGGAATACAAGTTGATCGTTCCACCTTTGCTTACTGCTGGCTAGATACTGTGGAAGTACCAAGGACTACTGTGGTGCACCGTCCTGCCAAAAAGAATTCGGCTCCTGCAATGGAGGCCCTGCTCCCGCATCGTCTATTCGCATTCCCTCGTCTACCCACGCTTCTACGAGGCTATCGTTTACTAATACCTCCACGCGTTCATCTCCGTCATCGTCTACTCGCTCATCATCCACTCTGTCAACGAGCGCTCGTTCCAGCTCCAGCTCTTCGTCATCGGCTCCGCAGTCGACCAGCCCTACGACCACCGTTGTACAAAGCCAGACCTGCTCGGCTCTTCCTCCAGTTACGACTACTGTCACCATCCCTGGGGAAGGTATCGTGACAACTGTGACCATTCCCACCACGTATGTGTTTGCGAGTCCTGCTTAATGTTTCGTCTGCTGACTTCGCCGCAGTGTCACGCTGCCAGGAGATGCAACCACAACCACCTCTACTCTGACTCTGCCTGGAGCCGGAGAAGTTACGACAGTTACGGTCCCAACAACGGTCACGCAGCCTACTACGGTCACAGAACCCACAACTATCACCGAGCCAACCACGTCAGTCTGGCCTATTTTCTCGAGATAACATGCGCTGATCAAATACCAGCATTACCGAGCCCACGACCGTCACTGTTCCCACCACGATCACAGAACCAACTACGTAAGTCGATGCAATTCGTCCAAAGATGCGTGTGCTGAAATTAAAATTAGCATCACCGAGCCTACGACGATCACACAGCCGACTACCATTACCCAACCTACAACGATCACGGAGCCGACCACGTAAGTGCAAGCCGACGGCTAAAATTCCACCTTCTTATGAATCTGCAGCATCACTGAGCCGACCACCATTACCGAACCGACTACCATCACTGAGCCCACGACGATCACGGTCCCAACTACCATTACGGAGCCAACCACGCTTACCGTGCCAACTACGTATGTCAGATCTGCTCGTCTCTAGACCTCACCCGCTAACTTCTAACATAGAATCACTGAGCCCACGACGATTACCGAACCGACGACTATCACTGAGCCAACCACTATAACCGAGCCGACTACCATCACAGAACCCACGACGCTTACTTTGCCTGCGAGCACGGTAACTTCCACAACTGTGACCACGACGACGTCAACCACAACAGCCGCGGCATGTCCCGCTCAGACTCAAAACGTTGTCTCCAACGGCGATTTCGAATCCGCCTTTAACGGGAATTGGCAGACCTTCCCCGCAGGTGACGTCAACCTCGAACGCACAAACGCCGCCTCCGCTGCCGGCACCTTCTCCCTTCGCGCTCGCATCGCCGCAACCAACGCGAATCTTCCCCAGCGTATTGCACAGGCCGTCACTCTCTGTCCCGGTGTCACCTACCGACTTAGCGCTTCCGCCCGTCGCGCTACGACTGCGGGCCAAATAATGGTGACGGCTTACATTGTTATTCCAGGCCAAGGTAATGTGGCTCTGAGTTCTTCAGTAGTTTCATCCACCACGTTTGCACCGCTGGCTCAGCTGAGCACCGTTACGCCCCTGGCAGGAGCGCCGTACGTTAGTGCCATGCTGTACTTTGAATTCACATACAGTGGCGCGCCGAGCTCAGCGAAGGAGGTCGACTTGGATAGTGTGGTGCTGATTGCCGCCTAAATGGGTGGGAGTGAGTAATTAAGACTTAGTTGGATGTTATAAAAGGAAGTCAAGTGAAGTAAATTGCTTGCGCTGAAATTTCCTCGTGGCAGACGAAGTCGTGATCTGAGTTCTGCTGTTTCTTGATCACGAACGTGTAAAACAAGCCCATACAGGAACCTTGCATTGTCATATTGTACAACATTCAGAATCCTGGATAGAGCGTAATTCATGCGGAGTGGATTAGCAAAGTCACTGTTCTATTTAGCAAGTCAACACCACGAGTATCACACAGAAACGCATGAGTACTAATGGTTTTTTCTCGATAACTACACCAACTCAATAAGGGCTTCGTTTCTTCGGTTGTTCCTAAAGTCATTGCTCTAGACGTCGAAATATGATACCCCTATCATGCCTCATCATTATATATTCACAAGCTATCGCATTGTGACCATTGCAAAGACCATGGTCAGGAACTAATAATATCTATACAAACTCCTCCTTTTGCCAAGAAAGGCGAGACTCTGCATTGCAAAGTACTCAAACCACACTCCCGATTATGTGCTGCAATCTACTGAGATTTGCGAGCATGATGGCGCTGGTCGCCATTGTTGTTGCCGTTCATGTATCTGAAAATAACGATCCTACGCAGGATGAGAAGTATACCGGCGCCTCCCGTTCAGTGCTTTCCTACGTTCTTGGGGGCGCTGAGTGCTTTGTTCTTTTAGATGTGATTTTCTTTGCTTACTGCAAGTAAGAGCGTGGTGAACGCGTGCTAGGCATACAGAAGAAGCCGCGAGGGAAGAGGTCGCAGAACGCGGATATTGAAGTGAATCGCATGCCTGTTGCACATCTGCCTCCCTACGGCCGCAATCGAAATGTGCAATCTATTCACGGCACTTCAAGTTCATATGGTTAGCTTGGGCAAGTAGCTTTGGAGAGCCATGGCCAGACATACTTGGCACACAATCTCGACAAACCACTGCCGCATCGACCCGTCCATGTGGACGGCTATGGTCAGCATAACGAGCATACTGTAGCGATGCCGGCTCCCATGGCTCGTCCTTTACAGAGTTACGCAGGGAATGCTATGCCTGAGGATCCTATCCTGGTGATCTATCTAAACCGTGCTGGCTACTACAATGCGGCGCGGAAGGAGGCGCATAGTCATCGCAACGATTAGGCTGCGAGCACCACTCGGTATGTGGCCTGACCAAATTTTAGAGACCATTATGGATATAATCGAGCCACAGTGTTCATTGTGGATAGTGCCGCAAATCCGGTATCATATTTCACGTCGAAGTTCGTCGTCCTCATTCGCTATCTTTGAGATTGTTAATTATAGCGAACTCGTTCTCGAGGTATCGATTCTCATAACATATAATGCCTCTCCCATTAGTTCATGTATTTCTTAAGTTACCTGGATCAATGTAATCTGGTGAATGGGGTCGCCGGTGATATGTCACGTGATGTTTCATTCACGCAGGGCTCCTGAGGCCACTAGCACCCATGTCACGTTTCATGCCTATTTTTGGTTTGTGTCAACCACACAAACAAAGCATGTCGCGTTTCATGTCGCTCTCACAATCAGCGCTTATACCTGCGCCACCATGTTTTTCGTGAACAACCTCCTTTGTCCTCGGTCCGCAGCTTCAACCACCTCGAGGCTTCAATAGCGTGGGAAAAGAAGGTCCTTCCACCGGCACACTTGGACCGACTCCGCACAGAAATTCAGCTGGACTGAGAGATTTTCGTACTCAACATCCGCAAGACAAATCCACCAACACCACGAGCGTGCATATCGCAGTGACGTATTTATTCATCCCCTGGGACCCAAACAACCACATCACGACAGCCCTCCAGCATGGCTACGCAAATTCCAACTGAAGAGGATCTCCTACCCACCATCGGGCCCATCCCTTTGGCCGCTTTTATCGCAATGTGTCTCTTCGCACCCTTCTTCGTCTCATCCACAATCTGGCTCTTCTACATAAACACAATTAAGCGATGTAAAGAGCGCAAGCGCATTAAGGCTGAGGCGGAAGTGAAAGCCCCGGAAGCGGACGTCCTTCGCGATGTGGAGATGCAAGCATCAGGGTTCGTTCAGACACCGGCGCCCGCGAAAACCAAGAGAAGAAAAGAAGACGTTTGGTGAGGCGAGCTGCATCTTGCGGCGGAGTAGGGGCATGGAGCGTCGCCCTGGAAACCGCCGAGTTCGACAATGTTGAATCCAGTGCAATTCACTGCTTCACAGGACCACCACAGGTAGGGACTCTAAAAACGGCCTTTCTTCGTGTCTATTCCATGAGTCTCTACACAACGCATAGAATGCATAATGCACACTTCACAACACCGCGATAGAACGCATCGATGATGGGCCATCTCGGTATAAGAAACAATCGCCTTCTTTCCCCTTGATCAACTAAATTCGAAAACGAACGACCGATAATAAGCAACTTTGTAGCAGAAACTGCAGATCCAGATTTGAAAGAGCAAAGATGCCACCTTTCTATCCTTACTTTCCGAGCAGCACAACCCCGCGGGCTCCTGTTGCGACGAGTCAATTCATTTTCCCCTACCCACAACATCAAAACACCACGAACGAGGCACACAATGGTACAAACCACCAGAATAGCGGCACTTGTGCTTCTTGTGCACACTGTCATGAGAGCGGCGTGCCGTGCTCCGTTTGCGATTGTGGGCACCACCACGATGGCGACCTGCCGTGCGCCCTTTGTGGACATAACCACCACACTGGTCTTCCTTGCCCACAATGTGGTTGTGAATATCACAACGATGACGGTCTACCCTGCCCGCCTAACGGCAGGAATCCCATGCTCAATCTAACCGGACCCGCATCTTCAGACTGCGAAGGCTGCGAGCCTCCCATCCTGCCGGATATCCCTCCACCACTGGCCAGCGCGAACACGTTCCACTCAACTCACGGGCCATGCCAGGATTTGACCGTCGTCAATGCGAACGGTCGCCTTCAGCTTCGCAACGGCACGGTCACGGGGCTTCTTGGGCTAAGCCAGGCACAGGCCTCTTCGCCCGACGGCGGCCCGGGGTACCATTCGAAGCAGACTGGTCAGGTTCTGATGGTAGTTATGTTCATTGCTGGAGCTGCAGTGGCTCTGGGTGCCTTGTACTGTGTCGGAAGGGCGTACTGGAGGTATAAGATGCGCAAGGCAGAGAAGCAGCGTGTGATTAGCGCCTAGAGATAGGCAGGTTGGCTTTGATGCTGGTCGGCAATGTCTGAATGTGAGGTGGTACATGAACGCCGGCCGCGAAGCTGTAAATTCGTGTTCTGCTTGTTAGTGCACTGCATATCGTGATCAAATCGAGTGTCTCTCACGCGTCTCCATTTCTCTCTCAAACTCATTGTGTTCGATCGTGATTGAGGCATTTCAGATGTTTATGGTGGCTGAACATTAGGTAAACCATTGGGTCCGGAAACCCTCACTAAACGTCGACTTTCCGAAAAAGGAAAATGTAACATGAAATAGGTCAATAAAAGGAACAAAAGGAAAGATAAAACGCCTTCCTGCGACCCAAGACCTGCAAGCCATCTCTATGCCTTAACCAAATTCTCCATTCGCCTACGCGGTCTTGATATTTCACAACTGCGTTATAATGTCTACATCCGCCCCGACTTTCCCTAGGTCGAAGCGTTAGTCGGGTTCGCTCACTGCCCATGCCAGCTAACCATCTTTTCGCGAAGGCAGCCGTTCGACCTCGCAGAAGACATCTATCTGACAAGTCCCATTGTGTCTTCGTGCTGTGCATTCATTACTCGTATTGTAATGATTCAGGGGCAATTTCATACTGTAAGCGACATACGAGAAGGAAAGGAACGATTGGAAGATTTCACAGGTAAGACAGAGCTGGCGGCATGGGAAGGAACAACTACTGAAGCATGGTAACATTATGCGAAATCAACAATGAGAAGTTTCGCTCTATTACTTATCAAAAATCAGAATAACGATTTCAACATCCCGCCGCCCCCAAAAAGCATCCGCAATTCGCCAGGCACCACTGCCCATCTGACGTAGTCAACCCAGGCTTTGAACCACACCTCTCATGGCACAGCTTCTTGGCTTCGGCATTCGAATCGACCGTAGGTTCCGCAGAAGCCTCGCTGCTACTTGACGGGGTAGGCGTTGGCGCCGCAGCCCCAAAAAACACAATCTGCGCCGCAGCGCCAGAGTCAAACGTCGCGGTCCCAGCATCCGCGGGAAAAACGTCGTCGGGAGCACGTAGAGCTCTTGAAGAGGAGCTCGATGATGAGCTACTGGTAGATTCCGGTGCGCTGCTTTGCGAGTCGCTGTTGTCATCGCCGTCACCGTTGCCGCCGTCGGGAAGGTCCGCGGGTGGCGTTATCACAGCTGGGGGAGCGCCGCCGACGGGGACGAAAGGTACTGGGTCGCGTTAGTTCATGAAAAACGTGTCATGGGAAAGAGCTACTCCAGGCAACCCCTCCGGCTCCAATGATGAGGGGGACAACCACACCGTCGACTGTGGTGCTTGAGGTCGTGGGCGAGGCATCTGCAATGGTAGTTGGAACGAACTATGATCGCCAGTCAGCGATATTCCGGAGCAAAACGTAGCTGATCGACTTGCAGTCTGAGTGATGGGAAATCCATCTATCGTAGTCGTTACGACGGTAGCACGAGCCGGTGGATCCGGTGTAGAGGAAGGAGAGACATCCTGTGCCGAACTGCTAGGAGGACTTTCAAGTTCCGCTTCAAGAACATGCTCCGGCCACGTCGAATCGTAGATAGCGTAAATCTCGTTCCCGAGCTTCCAGTCTCCACCCCAGTAGTTGTCGTTTTCAATGCATTGCGTGATGATGTTGTCGAAGGCGTCGAAGCAGTACTGCAGAGGCTGGCTGCTATCGAATCGAGTGACATTGTATATCTGACTTCCGGTATTCCAGGTTGAGATGATATCACTTCCTGGGGGAAAGCCTCCGTTGCATACACTTTGCAGAAGTGCGTTGTCTTGTCCTCGGAGGTCTGAAGCTATAGCCGCTCCTGAAGGGTCGCCCGATCGACGTGATTGGGCAAGATTGCAATCTGCGGCTTGCGCTGGACTGAAAAAGAGCGTCGCAGGGAGAAGAGAAGAGAAAAGTGTGATGTACGCCATGATTTATGGGATTGAGTCTTTGAAGTTCGATATGAAGGCCGACCGCCTGTCGACGTACTGTACAGAAGCAAGAGGCGCGTATTTGGATGGCGAGACTAAACACAAGTTAACCAATCTGTAGAAGTTGAGAGGAAGGAATAGGTGCTGATCAGCCTCTTGCGTACGTCAAGGCCCCCGACGCATACGAGAGAAGGTGGGCCTCTTCACCTATTCGGGCCCATGATAATTCTGGGATGAGTGGAGGACAAGTCGAATTACATCAATGATGAGCGATCAGGCTGGCCCCAGGCGGAGACTGTAGTCACAGAAAGCTTAAAATACTACAAAAACGAACGCTACTTCGTCGAGCAGCCAATGACAGGCCGACCTACTGCTGCTCCGCCCCATTTCTCCGCCCCTGGTATCATGATACGACACTTACAGCATTAATTTGATGAGAAGATCAGCGCAGATATTTTGAGGTTTTACTATTTGCGCAGAGGTATACAAACAGCCCGTCGTATTCGCAAGGTATCTTGCGCCCAAAGTTCCCTACAGTGCGTGGCGTTGACATTCCTCGAGCCTTTCTACCTACGCGACAATAGATGTTCATGAACGAGTTCTGCCCGTACCGAGCCTTCCAATCCAGCTGTGCATTTCCTCTGCATTCACTTCAAGGATGACGTTCGAGCAGCTCTTCGCTGCCTACTTCGTCTCTCAGACCCTCTCCCTCACGACCTCTGCGGTTTCCCTCCCTCATATCGACAACTCAGCGAATACTTTTCGTCCTGTGAAGCGGGCTGACCCCTCCTGGCACCCGAGCTGCGATAATCATCCCCAGATCAAAGATGCCTGGCCCAGAGCGCTCCACATGGCTCAGCACACCATCGACGTTCTAACCAGTAACGACCCTTTCTCGAACCAGAACGCTGTCAACCAGAGTCCCTTCGAGCTCTGGTGGGAGCCAGCCCGGTTGAACCTGTTCGGGCAGAACAGCCTCACATCTCACGATCAGATGCTAGGTATACTAGTCTGCGAGAACCAAAATCCATCCCGGCTAACTATCGAGGCAGAGTTCTACCAAAACATTGCCATCGGGCCGCCCGTAACAATTGCTTGTGTAGACCCTCCCAACGGCAAGGGTGCCTCGCGGTGCGCAGAGTAAGTGACGACACTGCCAACATGTCGCTTTTCTCTTTCTAATCGCTCCGAAGAGATAAAAACCTCTGGATGTACCGTCTGAAGCTCGACCCGAATGGCAACGCCGATGAGTATGCAGACGACAAGTCGGTCGGCTTTGCAGATGGGAACAACCTCGTGGTGTGCCCGGTGGCGCTTCCGGGGGGCAAAGCCAACATCAAGACGCTCGCCGACCTGAACCCGAAAGCCGGTGATCCGATCGCCACGTATAGATACACGTATGAGTTCCAGCTCGTGCATGAGCTGGCGCACGTCGTGGGCGCTGAGAGGGACATCAAATATGGCATGCCTGATTGCACACAGCTGGCGAGGGGTGCTACGAATGCAGCGCCGAGCGATACGCCAGCGAATAATGCTGATAGCTGGGCGTTATTTGCGTTGGGTGAGTGCCGCGATCTGGCGCGTGAATGGAAGACGTTTCGCTGACATGACCATGATTAGCTGTGTCGGACGTGTCGAGCCCGCCCATGTCGGATTTCGATTGGACTGGAGGAGATTCAGGCGAGAACGCGCGGAGGTATACGCAGAATTAGGGGGAGGTTAAGGACAAGGACGGGGTGGAAGAATGGAGAGGTCCGATTTTTGAGGTCCTTAGGTTCCACGGTGTAGTGCCGAAGCGTAAGTTTATTATACTCCCCGTACATAGCTCTTACACTGTAGATCACCTGCTGAGCCTTTTACCTGCGTATCTCCACGAGGTTTCTACTTCCCTGCGCATATAGGCCACTTTGTTCCTGCAGAGCTCCAGGGGTAAGGCTGTGCTGCAATCACGTGCACTGAGCTCCAGTGCAAATTTACGGTCTGGGAGCTCTCGATTACAGATGTGACCGCATGCGCAACTGTAATGGTGAAGTCGGGCAAGGCCACAAGCTGTTCGCAGAGGTGGTGGTTGTGGAACGTGACGATGACGACACTTGGATAATCCCTGCTTCCCCAGCCCCCGCTTCCCGCTGCGCTCATCAGCCGTGTCACCCATCGCGACTATTGCGCGCCATCTCCATTTCCATTCCGTTCTGCTGCTGCCCCTATGAACGCCATCCTCGCGCCGCATGGGATGGCAGGAGCGCATCGTCTTTTTTCGTGACTTCGCATACGCGCATCCGCCCCGACGCACCCGCATGGCTTCGGGCACTGTTGGCGACGTGCCCGCTGCCACTTATGCAGAGTACGTCTCTCACTCCTCTTTAGACTGTCCCATTGATGCATCCGACGGCGCATCCGATTCTTCATCGGAAGGCGAGTCGCATGCGGCTGGCGATGCACATGCGCCCGACGAAGCGCGTCTTCAAGTGTCGCGGGCCGCTGCGCGATGCCTTCCTGTCCGCCCGGGTCTGGCATACCGACTCAATTCTCACCGTCTCCATGTGCGAGCCAAAGCTAAGTTGCAGCGTGATAGACTCCTTTCGGGCCGTATGATCGATATTTATGTTGGCGAGGGCAGGCGCCACTGGGCGCTGCACCGCAACCTCCTCTGCCACCATTCCGAGCTGCTGGAGTCGGAACTGCAGGGTCACAATGGCAAACAGCGACAGGATAGCCTCGACCTACCGGACCACGATCCGGCGGGCTTCGAACTGCTTGTGAAATGGCTCTATCAGGGCAAGCTGGACGATGTGTCCGACATGCCAGATGCGAACCAGAAGTACGACTACGCCGTCAGCTGTCACAAGCTCTACCTGCTGTGCGACCGCTTCGACATGCCGCAACTCAAGAACGTGGCCATGGACCAATACCGCAAAGGCCTCAACCAAGCGGAGCTGGTCCCGGACGCTGAAGAGATTGACGAGATCTATCGCAAGAGCCCGAAAGACTCGCCGTTCAGGCGCCTGATGACGCGCATTGCAGCGCGCCAGATCATGGACCCCGACAGTGACCGAGACGTGGAGACGTATCGCCAGTGTTTCGAGAACAACACCGATTTCGCCATCGAGCTCGTCAAGGCGATCAAGTACGGCACCGGAGGTATGCTCTTCGACGACCCGACCGATACCGGCAATCAGTGCGAATACCACGACCACGACGACGGCCCCAACTGCCATGTCAAGGGCAAGGGCAAGCAAGGTAAATAGCACCACCCAACACAGCACCTGCACCGCCGCATGCTCAAGCCGTCTTTTGCGACGAAGAGGAGCCACCCTAGTCCATCGGTTCGTACTCGAGAAACGTAGTAACACGCATTGACGCCAGCACTCAAGTCAACCACCCGCCGCCGCGCCCTCAAATCCGTCAGCTCCGATCCTTCGACAAAGTCCGTCCAGACTCTCCTCCCACCCCGCCGGCCTCGTCCCCCGCCAATTCTACAAGCCCCGCCTCCCCGCCACGCTCGCCGCCAGAGCGAGACGACCAGCGCGGGCCCTCTACGCCGCCGCCTCACAAGTCCGGCTTTTTCGACAGTCGAGACGTCAACGGAGCACGCAACGGCGGGTCCGCCGAGCCCCAAGGCGGAAAAGGACAAGTTCCGGAGAGTCACACCCCCAGAGAGACTCCTTCCCACCCCTCCGCTCACCGAGGAGAATCAGTCACTCCCAGCCCTCGCCGACCGCCCCCCAAGCTCCGACGGCGGGTCTCACCAACACCGGGCTAGCAACACGGTCAGCGAGAACGGCATGGACGAGAACGCGAAGCCTGAACACACATCGCCCCCGAGGGGTATTTGGCAGTGGGCGAGGGCTGGCACTCGATTGAACATGCTTGGGAGGATGCCAACAATACCACACCCACCGATGACGCTGAAAGCAGCCACCACGGCTGTCCACGGCGCCCTCGGCGGCGGAAAAGCCGCTACAAAAGACGACTTCAGCATTCCCTCCGCCGTCTCCACCGAGCCCGACAACGAAACGCAAGCAGAGGAGGTTGCAGAAGCGAAGATGGAAGGCCTCGGCATCGCCAACAGCACCGTTGAGCAACGCTCTCTCTTCAGCCAAACCAAGCGCTCCTCCGACGATCTCGTCGCCCAACTCAACGACACTCCGTCCCCGCAAAACCAAGAGTGGACAAACGGCGATCACAAGCCCGCCAACGGCGTCCCGAGCGAGCCCATCACGCCCTCCCCTGCTTCCCGCAAAGCTACCACTAACGGCGTCATGTCCGAGAACACGAGCACGCCTAGCCCGCACCGCATCCCCAAGTACAAAATCGCACTCGCTTCACAAATTCTCTCACCGCAGCGCGCTGTTTCGTAGTGATACCCTGTTTTGTTTTCGTTGTGCGACTTGAGCTTTTAGTTGCGTTGACCGCTATGTGTTATGATGGGATGAGGTGGGAGTTTGGGGTCTGGGACCTGGTAATAGTGTTGTATTGTATATGTATGGCATCGAAAACTTAATGGGACATACAGATCGATGTAATTGATCACTTATCATTGTAATCGATCTCGTCTTGGCGTGCTATGGGGCCGATTAATGATAGGTGATGCGCATCATCACCAAGATATACCGCTCCTGTCTGCCTCATCTCGACCAACTTGGACTCTGTCTTGTGTATATAAACTCGCACATTCTCCCTCGGAGATCGTTTCTTTCCTCACCCTACATGACTCCGGTTCTCACGATAAGCATCCGCAACTGAGAGCATGGCTTTGTGCCCGTACGCTGCCTCAAATCCCTAAATCCCTAGCCCCATGGCAGGTTCCTTTGACTGTGCAAAATATCACTTATGTAGCCCCTATGGTGCGGTTCGTCAATGCCCTGTGAAGATTATACCGCGATACAAGCGACGGTAGGGTCCTACATCAAAAGCGCGCCTGACTTTTCGGCACTCTCAAAACACATCCGAAATGCTCATAATGGCGTCGTGATTGACGTGTCCAAGATCTCAACAACTGCCTACCATGGTGTGCTCCCTCAGCGTCTCCAAATCACTATCATGGCGAGTTATGGGGCGGTCCTTTCGTTTCTGCAAAGTCCGCTAGGCCAGCAGCATGCTTCCATCTTCCAGCACTCTCAAATTTGACAAGCAGCGTCGCATTGCGCCGTGGCTGGCCTGGTTTGAAAGAGAATTCCGGTGTCAAGGCATTATGGTGCGAATTTTCTGTCCCTCCAAACATGCCCAACGCCATGTCCACGACCCACCCGCCCATTCGGCTTATCCGAAATCCGTAGATGGAATGCATAATGGATTGGTGCTTGCTCTATGCACGAAGGGAAGAGTCACCAACTATATAGTGTAGTCCTTCTGTCTGCCCAAACTATTTCACGACAAAGACATAGTCCTGCCCTTTGGCATAGTTAAAATCAAGGTAGATATGAACCATGGCTCAGTACCTGCTCTGTTCGATCAGGTTTACTCGATCAAGGCTCATAGCCCGGCATGGACTTTTCAAATCTCCGTGACCTAGTAACTTTGGCTTGGAGTTCTACTTCGGCTGTTCAAGCTCGCAGAGAAAGCAATACTATGGCTTGCTGCGAGGGCGAGTCTCGAAAAGACTCGACAACTTCACAAGGCCTGGGACGCGTGTCTTCGGTGTCTAACAAAAGTGCATACAAATCCATGTGATGGAGTGTTTACCTGTATGTGTCTCCAACCAAACAAAATTCTATACATATGACTAAGTCCCTGATCTCCTTCGTCTCTGTTGAGAAATTCAGCAGACTACAGGGCATTCTGAGACTTCCACATGGCTCCCGATTCGCATTATCGTACATGTATCATCATTTGGTTGGAAGTGAGCTATTTTCCCCACGCTTTTGCTTTATCGCAGAAGTGTTGCATCAAAAGTTCACAGTGCTTGAGTGCATGTTGTGTTTGAGCTTCCGGTACCTTTTTAAACGCAGTTGCGAATAGGACATGTTCTAGGCTATGTCATTCCATAGAACGAGCAATCTGATTGACTCATGCGATTCTTTGTGATCGAGAGCAACGGGCTACTCAAGACTAACACCTGCATCAAAGCAGGTAATAGAGCCCTCTACCGAAAAGCCATCCGACAATTCTCTACCATGAATGTAGATATAAAAGTCTGACATCTGTCCCCAGATTCTCTTCACTTGAAGATCGCTCCTCGTTCCATTGAAGCAAGAAGAACAAGTGGGCATGGCGATGAGTTGGGTATTGGAGGTTTGAAAGCCTGGGGCCTCACATCTCATGGCTGAGACTTGAGAACTTACCATACATATTTTCCTTCTACGTCTACGCATGTGTAGTTCCAGGCTGTGCGAAAATGACGTTTCCATTAGACTCACTGTTTCAGGTGGATTCGTAGTCTGGATCATATGTATTCACCTTTTGGTCAAAGGTCGCCACGATCCTTGCTATACTGAATTTTAATATCTTAAGATTTCAACTCCGTGGAACTGACTGAACAGCAAAAGGATAATTTCATGTGATGCCTCCTTGTAGGCTTTTTTGGAAGATAAGTTGACACTGGTACAGGCTGGGATATGCTGATGGAAAGTTTACCATAGTCTTTTACATGAGCTTTCGTGTTGCAATTTTCTTTTGCCCGGTGATGAAGAGACTCATCACTTTATGAAATTCTGTTAAGTACTTCAAGCATTTTGATTCTGAACCAAGCTAAGTATATCGGCGCTCGAGAAACTTTTCTTGACCTTTCTCCTCACACAATTCCTCCACTGACTTGGGAGATTAAATGCACTAAAAACAAATACAAGCCATTGCGGCCGTGAAATTGCAAAACATCGCCTATCCATCGCTCGCATTTGTGCTAGCGCAGGCATCCATCGCACTAAAGAGTTTAGCGCCACGCTAACGCATCGTTGCCTGAATGCACATCGCACTATATCTGACCACAGTTCCGGAACATCATTATCCAGACGACACATAAACGAGGAAGATGAAAACCAGAAGCAGTGAACCCGCGACGCGACGTAGCACTCGAGCAGCAACAACACATGCAAAACCAGCTCGCAATAAGGCCTCAGGGGTAACAAAGGCACCTCCTCGGACCAATTCCAAACGCACGCCCCCCACAAAAAGAAATGGCCTTACGCTCGCCCATGTCCTTGAAAAATATCACAAACAATCCTCAACCGACCCAAATGCTTCCCACTCCAAACTCCTCGGCCTCCCCCTCGAGCTCTTCACACATATCACCACATTTCTCCCGCCAGAAGCCCTCATCTGCCTTAGTCTCACCTGCAAGCTCGCCCTGCAGTACATCGGCGCAGAATGCTGGCGACATCCAGAAATCAGAAAACACCAGTACTACTGCCGCAGACACCTCATGCAATGCCTCATCCGGGATAATCCTCCAGACTTGACGCTCTGCGTCTATTGCAACACGCTGCACCCGCCGCTGAAGCCCCCGCGGACGCATAAAGTCACCAAACTGACGAAAGTATGTATGAGCCAGTGGGCAGTCGTGGGTTACTTCCCTCAGGTGTGGGATGAAGAGCAAGAAGGCGGGTACAGCCTGCTCCACGCGCACATCCACGACGTCTTTGAGAAACGGGACACCGACCCAGCGGCTGCTGAGCTTCTCGCGGGGCACTACTCGACCTCGAAAAACCCAAACTTCAGCTATGACCTCACGTCCTCGGCGAGCTGGATCGACAAGCGCCTCGTCCTGCAGCACACGCACGTCTTCCGCTCCAAATCCCGTGCCCCACTCAAACTTGCAGCCGTACTAGCGCTGCCATTAAGACTGTGCGCGCACCAATCGACGACAACAGCCGAGGCGGAGAGGGCGCGATACGTCGGCAAGACATCTGATGGCAAAAACACCCCGTTCCTTACGCACGCCATCGTGTCTGGGTTTCCACCGGATCAACGCAGCAGTGCGCCCAAGCCCGCCATGTTCCGCAATGTTACGTCCCTGGAGCAGAAGCAGATTGATGCCGCAGAGGCGGGCGAAGACGTGGTGTGGAAGTGCCGCGGCTGCGTGACAAAGTACAAGGTCACGATGGAGAAAGATGGCGCACTGAAGATAGTAAGCTGGCATTGCTTTGGCGCAGATCTGCTGCATGCAAATAGATATTGGGAGTGGCTAGTGCGCAGGGAGGTTGCGAATCTGGGGGCAGGGAAGAGGAATAGCGAGTACTGGTTTCCAGCGGGGCGGAGCATGCCGGATTTTAAGATTGTGGAAGGGTGAGGGAGGGAGGGGTGTGTTGGAGCAAAGTAGGTGTTTAGAGGATGAATTGTTGGAATATATACAGTACAATGGCGAGTTCGATGCTCGATTTTCTCGCCTTACATACTGCTGTATCCGCCGTCGACCGGTATCCCGACTCCAGTAATCCACGAAGCATCCTCGCTCGCCAGGAACAGCGCTGCTCTCGCAATGTCCTGCGTTCTCGTTAGTCTTGGCTCCCAATTCCGGTTCCAATGTTCGCTTTGAAGCACGTGCCTTGCCCTCGCCCAATCCGCGGAACGGATGCCTCTCGAGTAAATGGGATTTCAGTGCCTCATCCGAAAACACATGATGCGTCATTGCCGAATTGGTGACTACAGCGTTAGTATCTTTCGAGAGGAGGCATGGAGAATTCGGTGTCTTACAGCCAGGACACAGCGCATTAACATGGATGCGGTGCGGCGCACAATCCAGCGCCGCCGTCTTCGTCAGCCCGATAACGCCGTGTTTCGCAGCCGTGTAGCCCGCTGCATCTATTAGCACGTCGTGTATGCCTCAACCATGCTCAACATACTGTAGTTTGACTGCCCCGCAAGCCCCCAGATACTCGCAATATTTACGATCCACCCCTTATCCCCGGATGGGCCTGCCTGTTGCCCCACCATCTGCCTACTTGCATACTTCGTCCCCAAAAACACACCCTTCAAATTGATATTCAAAATCTTATCCCACTGCTCCTCGCGATACTCCCAGATCTTTTTCCTGTCCTCACCCGTCCCTGCGTTGTTCACCATGATGTCCAGCCTGCCGAATAGCGTGATGGCCTCCTCGACGAGGGCCTCGACATCGGACGCAACGGAGATGTTGGCTTTCACGAAGGCGGCGCGACCCCCGGCTTTTTCGATCTCTTGGACGGTAGTCAGGTGTCCGTCTGTGCCTTCTGCGGCAGCGAGGAGAGAGGATTCTTGCAAGTCGGTGACGATGACCGAGGCGCCTTCTGCGGCGAAGAGGAGGGCGATGGCGCGGCCGATGCCAGAGGCGGAGCCGGTAACGATGGCGACTTTGTTTTGGAGGCGGCCGGGCATTGATTTCTTGAGGGGTGTTGTAGGTGTCTAGTTACGGGAAATGTAGGGTAAAGAGGAGAGGCAGGGGTGAATGAGGTGAAAGAGAATCGTTAGGGAGGCTTGTAAGTGGATGTGCAGCAAGAAATAGTATTAGGTGTAAGTATATATACTGAGAACTCTGGATCGTACGGACAAGGGAAGCCTACCATTCGCAAGCCAAGTAGGGCAACGTGTGTAGCACTCGAGACGCACGCTACTCGGCTCCCACGCCATACGCGGACTCATCTGGATACAATTCAAGCGGTGTGCATACTTGTTTCGATGCCTGTGTTAGCATCTGGATGTACCGCGCAGCCAATCATCCAATCTCGCGCCATACTGCCCCTTGAAAGCGTGACGGACTTCGGATGCAACCAAGGCAGCATCAAGAGGTCATATTCGTATTTCTAGGAAAAAGTGACAGGCGTGAATGGATTCATGGTGTGGAGTTCCTCCAGCTATCAGAGGTAGTGCTGAGTGGATTACCAAGATGGCGGAGTTCGGATGCGGCTGGTAGAGACTGGAGGATCCACTGGCAGAGTCCGACGAGTTGTGACTTCAGGAACTGCACCTCGCCACTCCGAAGACGCGAGATGCGAGGGAGAACCTGCTCAGCTATGGTATGCAAGATATTCCTCGAGAGTCTGTGTACTGTTATCCTTGTTCGCCACGTTGTAGATGCTGCGTCGAGATTTGGGTTGTGGTCGCAGGGAGTCCAGAGGTTCGGACAATTCTGACAGCAACGCAGGAGAGCATATTTCAGACCGGCCTGGTAGGGACTAGCGTGCGGGCCCCACGCGAAAGAACGCACCGCGACGTCATGCTCAAGTTGTCGTCAACATCGTCTGGAGCACAATGGTATACACAATTAAAAAATTAATCACATCTTGAGACAGTTAAGCGCAATCGTTTTACAATCTTTGCTTTCTCATGCCGGACATTGGCTCTCACACACCCCTCTACTGAACATCCAACCTACCAAAGCCAATCTTTCCACCAACAACACACCCAATGTCCAACTCTTTAGAAGATGACTTCCCCTGGCACTTCGGCGTCTTTGACGCGCACTGTCACCCAACGGATATCATGTCGAGCATCGACGCCCTTCCAAGCATGAACGCCCGCTGCCTAACCGTAATGGGCACGCGAGCGCAAGACCAGCACCTCGTAGCACAAGTGGCAGACAAGTACGGCGTCAAGAGTAAGGACTACGAGAAGTGGAAGCGGGAAGAATGCATGGTGCCGTGTTTCGGGTGGCATCCTTGGTTCGCGCACATGATGTACCTGGATGGGGATTCCGCAAACCGGGATACATCAGGCGGAGTGCGTGCTCTGACAGGAGACGCAAAGATCGCACACTATCAAAGCGTCCTGGCCCCAAAACGCGAAAACCCAAGCGAAGAGGATAAGAAAACATACCTCTCCCTCCCAGACCCAACGCCCTTTTCCGACTTCCTTGCCCAAACCCGCAGAAATCTCGAAAAGTACCCGTTTGCGCTCGTCGGCGAAATTGGTCTCGACCGCTCCTTCCGCATCCCGGAGGCTAACCCAGGAGACCGCGAAGACAACGAACTCACACCCGGCGGCCGGGAAGGCAGACGGCTGACCCCATTCCGCTGTGCGCCCGCACACCAAAAGGAGATATTCAAGCGCCAGTTGCAGCTCGCGGCAGAGCTCGATCGCGGCGTAAGCTTGCACGGCGTGCAAGCCCACGGCCTGGTTTTCTCCACCATCAAAGAACTGTGGCAAGAGCATCAACTCCCTGTGCTCTCCAAGCGCGAGAGGAAGAAGCGCGAGACCGATGGCCCCAGCGTTACTTCCCACGTTTCCTCACAGGGCGCGGATAACGACAAACCGAGGCCATTCCCGCCGCGTATATGCCTACACTCGTACTCCGGGTCCCCCGACGCGTTCAAGCAGTACCTCTCACCCTCCATTCCTGTCTCTTTCTTCGCCTCCTTCTCCACCGCCATTAATCTGGGCAACGATCTTGAGGGTGAGACGCCCGAAGCTTTCGTGCAGATGATCGAGACGGTGCCCGACGACATGCTGCTCGTGGAGAGCGACTTGCACACTGCGGGTGCAGAGATGGATGAGAGACTGGAAGACATGGTGCGGCGGATCTGCGTGATCAAAGGCTGGGGCCTGGACGAAGGCGTGAGGCGGTTGGGGGACAATTGGAAGAGGTTTGTGTTTGGCGAGGGGTAAGGTGGCGTAGAGACGGCATGGTTGGAAGACAAGCTTACAAGGCAGTGTTGGAAGTGAAAGATTATATGTATGCGGGCAGGTATGCTCTATGCTTCTGTCTCGGGTGCTATCTATCTAGGCGAGGCAACGCTGGCCTCGATGGTGCTCATGGGTAACAGGAACGACAAATGGACAAAGCAGATCACGTGATTCGTGTGAGAAGACCAACAACGCCTTGCTATGCAGCACACGGGCAGTATAAAAGGAAATGGGCGGACTGGGGGGTGGGATGATGCAAAATAAGTAGGTAGAGTAAGAAAGTAGAGCTGTGTACAGTTATCTCGCTACGCGCTCGATAATCCTGGGTGTTTGTTAGCATGAATTCTGGTTGAACGGAAATGGAAGGGGCGTACCTCATGGTGCTGATGGCAAAGGTAGTCAGCCATGCAATCAGCGCAATCAGCAGTGTAGCCGTCAGCGCCTTTTGCCGGGTACAGATGCTCTTCACGTAGGGGCAGCCCGACCCGCCATTGCGCGGATCGGCCAGATCGGTGCCGTCCATGCACGCCCAGCGGCTGTCCGTCAGCGCCTGGAAAGCCAGACTGAGGTTTGCGGAGTCGAAGACAATGAAGGCGAGATCGAGGAAGACAAGACGCATCTTGGCGTAGTGGGAGCGCAGGCCCAGGGGTCTCGAGGTGTATTCGTCGTAGGTGATGTAGACGGTGTAGATAATGGCCACGACATCGACAATCACAGCCATCCAGGTAGACGAGTTGTTCTTGCACGAGCGGCTGTCGGAGCGGTGGAAGATGGAGCCAGCCAGGGCAAGCGCCAGGACAGAGAAGGTAAGGACGATTAGGCGCACGACGAGCGGCACCATGGGGTGGGTCATGAGGACCCGGCGGAAGCGGGCGCGCTTAGCGGAGCTGAAGAGGAAGAAGCCCTTGAGCGGCTTCTTCTCGTCCTGGTCCATGGGCTGCCACTCTGCCTCGAGATCGGGCATGTTCTCCTTCATCCAGTCGTCGTCGACGATCTGGCCGCGCGAGGACGGGGGCCGGTCCAGGTCGGAGGCCTTTGCGAACTGCTGCCACTTGGAGGCCTGCTCGGCGAGGGGCGTCTTGGGGGTGACGGGGGCATGCTCGCGGGCGTGGTCGAAGCGGCGGCCCGGGACGTGCGACTTGGGGGTGGGGAGGTAGTTGTGCGAGGCCGGGCGGGCCGACGTGGGCGTGCGCGGCAGCAGCAGCGACGAGGCGTGGTCGGCATGCTCGTCGTCGTCGGCGGACTGGACCCAGGGCGGGAGGGTGCGGGCGATGCGGTGCTGCCTGTCGTCGGCCGCCTGCGTGTCCTTGGAGCGCGACGACGCCAGCGTGAGCGGGTTCGACGACACCGACTGGCTGTGCGACGTGCGCACGTTGTTGGCGCCGTCGGCCTGGTCGTGCGAGTAGCGCTCGCGGCTGCTCGAAGCGGTGGTGGCCGACAGCGGGCGCTGCAGGCTCAGGCTCGAGGCGGTCGGGGGGATCGGCGAGGGCTGGAGGTGGTTGTTTGCTGAAGGGGCGGTGGTGAGGTGCCCCTGGGGCGGCGGCGGCGAGGGGAGCAGGAAGGGCGACGAGCCATTGCGGGCTTCGACCATGGGGTTGCTGGTCATGTTACACGCCGTGGCTCCGCTAGATTCAAGAGGCCCTCCGGGGTGCCTGTGCCCGTGTTGTGAGGGCGGCGGCGGCTCCGCGGTGGAGGCAGCTCAACGGGCGCCAGCCAAGCCGCGCAAGCGTGGGCGGCGGCAGGGCAGCACACGGCAACGGGCGATTACGTGGGCGCGAAGCAGCAGTCGGTGTGCGCCGACATGCTCGGGGGATGCGCCCGGGGTTGCTGCTGCTGGCTGGCTCGGTGTCTGGCGCGGCGGCAGCGAGCGTGCGGTCTCGCCGTGGTGGTGAGGGCAGAAACAGGCGCGTTGCTGGCGAGATTAGCTGTAGATCCAGGACCCACGGCGCCTGGCCCTGGCCCTGCACAGCGCGCCATGACGTCCTCGCCGCGAACAATTCCATGTCGACGCTCCGCTAGCCTGCGTGCGCCCGCGACTCGCACCGCCATCATGTTTCGCGCGTCGCCCATCTAAAAAGCTTCGCATCTGCGCCATTGCGCGCTTACTAACCCACGCTGCACACCGTTGCGACCGCCGCCATGCGCCTGTTCCTGCTCCCCGTGTCCACGCGGCGCTCGCTCATCTACTGCGAGAAGCTGCACGACAAGGCCGCCAGCGAGCGCGGGTACCTCGACAAGCTCACCAACAAGGCCAGCGAGACATGGGTCGCCTGGGAGTCGGACGCAAAGGCGCCGCTCAACTGGAAGAAGCGCGTGACGCACATGGGCAACCAGGCCCTCAACCGCATCCCCTTCGAGGAGTGGGGGCTCAAGACGCTGCCCGCCCTGACGCCGCGGCGCAAGCTCGCCATCACCGAGGGCACCGAGAAGTGGCAGGTCATATATCCGGGCCAGTACTTGCACAAAGAGCGCGTGCCCGAGATCCTCAAGCAGCTGGCCAAGGAGAAGCAGGGCATGTACCGCAGCAAGATGCTGTGGAGCATCGTCGCCATGCCCTTCACCGCGCCCTTTGCGCTGATTCCCGTGTACGTCACACGCACCTGTGAGCCCTTGCCTTGCTAATCGCACCAGCATCCCCAATCTACCCTTCTTCTACTTCGTCTACCGCGCCTACTCCTATTGGAAAGCCCTCGCCGGCTCAAAGCACCTCGAGTTTCTCCTGCAGCACAATCTCCCCACTCCGAACCCCTCCACCGAGCTCGATGAAGCCTACACCGCCGGCCTCATGTACCCGACCCGTGACATCTCGCGCGCCGCCCCTACGCCCACAAAAGAGCAGTCAGAGAAGGTCGCAGATGTGGTGGAGTCGCTAACCAACGGTGGAAAGGAAGACGTCATGGTGCTGCAGCGCTGGAACGGCAAGCTCATCGCCGAGCAGTTCCACCTGCCCGACATGGAAGTCGAGATTGAGCGCGCGGTCGAGCAGGTCGAGCAGTCCATCAAAGCAAGAGACAAACTTGTAGAAGAGAAGCTTGAGCTGGAGAAGGCAACTGCAGGGCCGGGGCAGACGGCCAAGGACGCGCTACCCAGGCACATCACGCAGCCGCTAGAGGAAGCCGAGAAGCGGATCCACGAAGCGGCGGAGAAGATATCGCATGAGAAGCCTTCCAAGGACGAGAAGGCGTGACGCCTGTAATGTGCAGTACGGATGAGACGTTTGTATGATATCCCGGGTGGCTATTTGCGTTGTAAGTGCGGCGTGTTGTACATGTACATGTGTGATGATGGCGCCTGTCTGTTTTTGCTTATGCTCCAACCTCTATACACACGGCCTACTGATGGCAAAAGAAAATTCCCTTTATCTATCTTATTTTTGATGGCCAAATATTTCTCCGGTTTTACTTCCTACGTTACAGCTATGCGACGACAACGTTCTGCGCATTCAAAAGATTTAGTACAGCTATGTGCCCTTGTCGCATTAGGCACTAGGCTGAGCAGGGCTGGCGCACAATACAATGCAAACTCTCAGAGACATGTCTGGATACGACTCCAATCTCCTATCACGCTCTTTCGTACTGCTGGGGCGCATATCACTCCCCCGTCCAGATAACATGCAACGCGCATCCCCTTCTGGCAACGCCCAATTTGCATTCTTTTTGCTCGAGTACCGTCGCAGAGGAACCAAGATGCCTCTATGGGTCGACGCCGTCTGTATCGACCAATCTAATACTTCAGAACGCACGTATCAGGTTCGCATGATGGACAGAATATACTCCGAAGCGGAGTGCGTGGTTGTGTGGTAGATAATGCGGGTGTTCACACCATACCTACCTCCAGGCGAGGTCTTGGGAGGTACGATGAATCAGACAAGGCACTGTCCTTATCGAACGAGAATGCAGCATATAGCATGTAGCGAAGGGTATACGTTGTTCATGTGTGCATGTTCGTGACTCGGCACCCAGCCGTCAGATGCCCTCCAGCACCACGTACCACACGCACAGCGCTCCTCAAACCTCTCGGGCCAACGCCTCCCGCCTCGACACACTGCCCGGATCGTAAAAGGGCTTCTCGCCCAACCCTACCACCCTGTTCCCCTGCCTCTTCCCCGCGTAGTCATTCGTCGCAGTGTGAAACACACTCCGGTTATCCCAGATCGCGACATCGTTCTCCCGCCACCGGAACCGAACCTGCAAATCATGATTCTCCACGACAACCTGCAGGAAATAGCCCTTGAGTATCTCGCTCTCCCGCGCCGTCACGCCGTCAATCCACCCATGCTCGAGCTGGTGTCCCGCCCCGAAGAGGCTCTTCCAGCCCGTCACGGGGTTCGTCCGCACGACGGGGTGGCTGGCGGCGAAGTCGAGGCCGGTGTTTTCAGGGCTGCCGCGAGAGGTAGAAATCAGCTCGGCGCCGAACTCCGCCGCGACGCGGTTGAAGTTGGGCTGGTGGTGCGTGGCGGTTAGGCCTTCGGCGAATTTCTGTAACGGGGGCGAGAGGCGGTCGTACGCTTCGTAGCCGGAGGCCCAGAGGGTGTCGCCGCCGGCGCCGTCGGCGGGAAGTGTGTGCACTTTGAGAATGGCGTAATCGGAGGGGATACGCTCGAAGGTGATGCTGGGATGCGGGTTAAGATGCGCACGCAGGGGGAAAGGGAGGCGTAGGGGGGGCGTACTCGGCGTGCCAGCCTTCGCTGGCGAGACGCTTGGAGTTTGCACCGAAGCGGTCGGCGTAGAAGGTGCGGTTTTGGTCGGAGGAGATGACCGAGACTTCGTCGTCGAGCTTTCCGTTCTCGTCGACGGCGATGCCACGCTTGCTGTTGCTTAGAGCGTGGCGGTGGAGCTGTGCATCGTCAACGTAACGAACTTGCAGGCGAAATAGACGTCCTAGTCACCTTGGATGTCTCCGGCTTGCCCGTGAGCTCTCCGAGCCTTTGTCCCAAGATCTTCTGATCATCAATGTTTAGGTTCTGATTGCGGAAGAAGACCACGCCGCGCTGAGAGACTGAGGTGGTAGTTGGCACGCTTGAAGTCTATTTTTTGGGAATTTGGGGAAATACCTAAGATGGCAAGATCTCTGACCTTCGTATCGTCATGTAGGATGTCACTGAGCTGCAGTTTTGGAAATTCCTCCCCAATGACCGGTGTAACGTTGGCATGCTCATATTGTTCGAGCGAACTGGAGGAGACCAACGGCTTTTCTAAGCGGGATCCGCTTTCGCCTTTGGATCTCACTTTGGGTGGTGCCTGATGTTCGACAGGACGAACGGACAAGTCAAGGTCAGCAGCTGGAGGCGCCATGGTATAAACGAATATGTGATCAATGAGTTATGTTGTGGAAGAAGAAATGCCTTTCTATGAGTCTCGCTTTGAGCAGAAAAGGTGCAGGGCTTAGGTATGATGTCGATAGCTCTTATATCCATGTCTCCGCATTTCACCATTGATACCGCTGCATCGCGTGCTGATGCTCTGCTTGCCGAGCTTCCAGTGATGAGAACTAGCTGTAGTGGTGCAATCAGACAGCCATCCTTTCGCGCCGTGAATGGTTGTCTCCTGCAGTATTACACGCATGTGGCGATGATGTGCGATCTCCGCTTCTTGCGTCACTGGACGCATACAGGTCACGTGATCGTGCATCTCCAGGATCGTCCACCGCGTCGCCACCAGGAGCTTGAACTCTTTCTATTGGAGATTTGGTTGTTTGAATCTTGTGGTACTCATGTTTATGGCATTGTGTAGTGGGATTTGCTCGTTGTGGTATAAAAGGAAATGCCTCCTTGCGTCTAGATAGTGAGTGTGGCAGTAGAAAAAAGGACATGAAGATAGAAAATGCAGGAAGTAGGCTTGGGGGATAAAGAGATTTGTGAGAGATGATTGGTGGCACCTATTAAGTCAATTGTGGGCTTGCACCACCAATTGTATGCTCTAGTGCCGATACAAGGAGTTGGATATGCGGTGAGGCTGAGCGTTAGTACGAATTTGTACTTGCTCTTGCCTGTAGCTGAGACACTCTGTGGCATAATCGAATGTCTACAGCTTATGCTGCGTCAAGAATGCGGTCAAAACAAAGCCCAGGATGGAACATGTCAAAGACAGAACTGGTCCGGTCAGCTTGCGCACTGCTAGTGATCATCTGTCGCTTACCGTGAGTCCAAGTGAGCGCATCCACGTAGGAAGCGACAACGATGTGCGAGATGGCAGGTTTTGCGTGTTCGGCGTAGTGAACATCGGAAACTGCACGCTCAATGATCTAGATAAATGTCAGCTATGGTGACCAATATCTTCCCAAAGTGTGTGAGCCTACTTTCATCTTTTTCAGACCTTCGAATCCTCCTTCTCCCAATTTCCGATCCAGTATGAGACGCAACGAGCCTTGCAGCACAGCGCTTGAAGATGCCATACCAATCACACCTCCAGCAGATCCGGCCAGGTACAGCGTAGAAGCGGCAACGGCCGAATACGCTGAATCGATCGAAGCTTGGACACTGATGAAGAGCGTCGAGCCTGCGACACCCATGGCAAAGCCGCCGGGAATGATGTATAGCGACTCGAGCCAATTGGTGTGACCGTGCCATCGAAGGATAAGGAGGAGATAGGCGCCGCATGCGGAGAGAATGGCGAGTAGAGTGATGGTCTTGTATCGGCCAGTCCTGTGTTCGCCGTTAGCACAGGCTGGGCGGGAGTTCCAGAAATTCGGTTACCTCTTAATGAACGCTCCGGCTAATAGACCACCCACAGCGTTACCCGCAACGGCAGGGAAGAGGTGAGCACCAGCGACTGTATTCGATGCACCGGTAGTAACTTGAAAGTAGAGAGGGATCGCAAACATTAGCTGTGGATGTTAGTGCGGAGTTCAGACTGATGCTCAGAATACATACCGCCATTTGAGCCATTCCTTGAATCATCATGATCAAAGCCGAGAGCACAACGTCCTTGTTTTGGAACAAAGTCAGCGGGATGACCGGTTCCCTTGCAAATCTGGCTTCAACCAGAACGAAAAGTGCCGCGAACACATATGCAGCTCCAAGCAGACCAAGTATAGCCGGATGTGACCACGGTAGGCGATCACCACCAATCTGCAGCGGTAGAAGGAAGCATAAGATAGTGAGGGTAGTCAATAATGACCCCAGGAAATCTATCCGAGCAAGCTTACTTCCTCTCGTGGTTCCGACTGCATCTGAGGTGGACTGGGTGTGAGAGGGTAGAACCGTGGCGATGAGGACGATGGCGATAGCAGCCGCAGGGCTCTGCCCCATCATTGACCAGCGCCAGCCCACTGTATCCGCGAGCCAGCCACCTAGTGGTCCTCCGATACTGCGACCGGTCGTTGCAGCGATGTTGACGTACGAGCGCCATGTCGCTACGTCTCGCAGTGGCACGAGGTCGGTGATCAAGATAGAGACGAGAGCAGTCATCCCAGATGCACCCAATCCAGATATAACACGGCCTATTATAACATCTTTCATCGTTGTAGCGACGCCAACATAGGCGCAACCCGTTGCAAAGAGAACGTATGCCACGAGTAAAAGCGACTTGCGGCCGTAGATGTCGCTCATCTTCCCGTATATGGGCTGCATCGCCGCTGCAGCGAGTCCGAAGCTCGTGAGAAGCCAGCTAGAGTCGTGCAGAGCGTCAAACTCGGAAGCGATGATAGGGTGTACGGCCAAGAGAATGGAGCCGTCCGCATTGGAAATGAAGACTCCGATCAGTAGGACAAGAACCACCTGTCGAATGGATGTGCGCGCCAGACCACCTGAGGATCCCGTCTCTTCATCTGCTGCCTTTCCATGGCTGCGCGCAGAGTCGGTCACCCGATACTCATTGGATATTTGCTCCGTCAGTAAGGGTGCAGAGTTTCCTTCGGCCGCAGTCACGATCGATTCTGACAGCAACGGTGTGCGCTCGTCCGCTGGGTTCAACGTCGCACCTGCCATCTATCGCTGCGTAGTGTTTAATATGAGAAAGACCTGTATCTAGAGTCGCTGAGACTCCGAAGTTGACGTCGGTAATGTATGACCATGAGTACTGAGTCAGGCCTTCTGGCAGCAGGCAAAAACGTGTCTGACGCATCTTTGTCGCCTTCAAAATTTTGCGTACCCTACTAGTAGCCTAGAACGGATCACCCGAAGATGCGGTGCATGCTGGGATTGGTTTGCAGACGTCTCGGCGTGGGGTGGGGACGAATCCATGTTGCAACGTCGGGGCTTTCGCACGTCATCGGCAATTGTGGACCTCTTATGCATATGACTTCGCATGTACAGAAGAATTATTCTTCCGAAAGTCCATAGACACTTGTGAAGAGAAGGAGCAATTTTCTGAATGCGAAGGTCGGGTGGGTAGGAAAGAGAGGGCCGTACATATGCAGGTGCAAGGATCCAAGGTTAACGTTATTTGGCAGGCTGTGCACGCCCTCACCTCATGCACGCGCACTACCAAAATCCCACCTCAGTAATATGAGGCTGTAGAGACGCCTACAAACGATATCATCACGAGATTTTTTGGATTTGAGGTCTCTGAGGCCCATAGATAACTGCTAGCTACTCAGATTATCGATATCTCCTTGGTGTTTTGATAATTCGGCCGCTGCGCGACTGTGGGGCGGCTGCCATGAATAAGGCCTCATCCATACCTACAGCCTCACGCTGAGCTTGTTTTTTCTTGATAGGTCTGCTAGGAGGCTTTAGAGCCTTCTTATTACCCTTTTGAGACAATTTGATACGTTTCTGAAGTTGACTTTGTGCCCTGCGTGCCTGTTGATCAAGGCGTCTCTGGGAGGCCTCATCGGCCTTCTGCTTTGCGCATGCCTCTCTAGCAGCTGCTCGAGCAACACGCCTCTCCTGGAGAAGTCTTGCTTTGAGCTGTTGGCTGGCCCGACGGGCCTCTGCTTGATCAGCTTTTTGACGCCGTAATTGCTCCTCATCAGTCTCTTTTTGGTGTTGACGATCGCGGGCCCTCTGTATGCTGTGAGGTGACCAGAAAACCGCTCCACCATGATACTCATCGCTCCGATCAAGAGGCAAAGGCCTGCCTCGCGTTGAGTGCCTCTTTTGTATCACTAGAGCCTCGCGCAGGCCTTTATTGATATGCTCTAAGCGCTGTTTCTTTACGGAGATATGGTGTACAGTTCGACTCAGCTTCTTGGCCTCATGGTCGCCTCCTATATCAACGACAGCCCTCAGTAGGCGATCGATCTTCCTCCAATCTGACGCGCTGAGTAATGACGTCAAGCTTTCTCGTATTCCTTGCTCTGATGGCTCGAGCCGAGCTAATATATGGATGATAGTTGCCAGATTGAGTTCTATCTCTTGTCCATAGCTGAGGTTGCGTAGTTTGTTGAGACCATCTGTACGCAATGTCATGACGCGTCTGTATCTGAGGCTCAACGTAGATCGATCAATATCAAACTCTGTGACAAACTTCTGTATATAAGTTGTTCTACTGGATCTCGTGCTTCGATTGCTGCTATCGCGGCCTTGATTGGGTCCATATTGGTGGTGATGCCAAAGTTGTGTTGTTGCATAGGCGGGGTGTGCATGAGGTGAGGGTGTGCACGGCCTGCCAAGATACGTTATCTCCGTAGTCGCAGGATTACGTAAACTCTACATAGGAGCCTACCAGAGATAGGTAATATGGTTCTCACCTACACAGCCAGAATTCACTGGTGCGTTCGCTGCTCAGGGATAATTTGTAGCGTTGTTTCGCAGATTTGAGTTGATTGATCCCCGGGGCTCTGAGGAAGTAAAGGATCGAACAGAATGTTTGAAGGGAACACGCAAGTCTTCACCCTATCTCAGAGCTGTAGCTCTAAAGCATAATGCTATATAATTCATTGAGTACAGCTGCTCTTCCTGGGTCAGAGTTACAAGACCGGGACCCCAGCTCACGTTCGAAACGTTCGCTGGTGCAATGTTCATGATAAAGGCTTTGGCTGAGAGTTTCGAGCTTAATCTCGTCGGTATGCTCAGTTTATCCTTTCTCTGAGGCGGTCTTCAGTACATTATTCGGTACTAGCCGAATTTCTATGTAAGCCTGGACTATGACGGGGCTTTTGCAGCAGGTCTCTCGAGAGAGGATGCGTTTGAAGAGGCATCGACCATGGTGCATTCCCGAAGACATCATGAAGGCACTGAACAGGCGAAATAGATTTCCCTCGCCAACGCCAGCCATCCCAACCTCGTCGATGTACTGAATGAAATTGGCGAGCGCTGCTCGTTGCGTGGGCGCTGAGAGAGCGGAGCTGCCATCCCTGTGGCTTTCGGGATTCACCTCAGTGGAGCCTGGTAGAACTCGGAGTATGATTTCAAGCTTTGATTGAGAGACAGCCGGCTGCGGAGTTGCATCGGACTTTGTTTCGTATGGCATCGTCAAGGTACTCCTCAATTGCAGGATCAGCTGGAACCACGTCAAAACCATCAATGACCCAGTCGTCTTCGTCATGGTAGCAGGGATGCCCAAGGAAATCGAATTGCACGTGAAAGCTAAACGACCAAGTTTTCCAATCATGGATACCAAATCCGGTGAGCCATGTGTGAAGGTCGTCATTCACGCTGACGGAATCGACCTCTCCAACCATCAATGACAAGTCCCATTGAAGAAGCACTGTCAACTGCTGAAGATTTTTACATCGTTCTTTCAGGTAGGTCAAGAGGTGTAGTCGATCCCAGTGACTTTGCAAGGGTCCAATCACGACTGTGATCCTGCGGAGGAATCTGAGAACCCCTGGTGGTGGAAGCCTGTAATAGGTACCGGGGCCGGACTCGCGACACACTCTGTGATAGCCATTATCTTGCGTAAGCATTGTGATGGTAACAGTGTTCTTGGAGTAGAAGACCTGTCTGGAAAGATTCGCAATCTCTGGTGTAGTGCTGAGAAGGCAGGACAGCTCTTTCCATTCCCTTTTGTATCTAGGGCATAGTTCCACCACGTAAGGACACAATAGAGGCTTGTCAAAGGTGAGTATGTAGCCAAGAATGTGGAGTTTTGTTTCAGTCGCGATACTGTTCCATCCTTTGGCAAAGCCTGAGTTGAGTGGGACCAGAGAACGTAACCAGGATTTCTCCTCGACGTCTACCCAGATCGTACCATCTGATAACATCTTCGACGGAAGTAGAGGAGGCGAGACACAATAGGGATAGACCTGGAATGGAAAGGCTGACTTGATCCATAAAGAGGCTCCCGGCTGCAATATTATACTGGAGTGAAGCGCTAGAGGACTATTCCTGTGCGTTCCAGCTCTTGAAACGAGGTCGTCGGCGCGTAATGCAGCACGCGAACTCTGTGGGGTTTCGGTCATTGTAGAAGTCGGTATCAGTGTTGAACGGTTAGCAAGGTTCGATATGAGTACACTCCGATTGAATCTTGAGAGGGCGATGCTATTGTGTGCTGACAATATTGATTAGCAAGTTGAGATCGAACTCTTGTACACGCTGCAAAAATTCTTATACCATATGTATGGCTCGTGTGGAGCAGTACCACGGTTCAAGCTACATCGACTCCACAAACTACACAGTCCCAACGAAAACGCAGGCTAAAACTGCCGCACCAGTGGCCCAATTTTCCCCTTATTTCTCATGCGCGATATACGCCTCCCAATACACTCGCACTCTTTCCAGATGCGCTTTCGGTTTTGCAGGCCCCGTAGCTCATTCCAGTGTCGCTTGATGAGCACATACAGTAAGTGGTAGTCCGTCCGATCAGGCGGCAGAAAGAAAGGCCTCCGATCCTCATTGTTCTCAACTTTCGATTGTTGGGCATCAAGGAATGACTGAATTTCGGCGGGTAGAGCCTCCTCCAGCACATCCTTCAGCTCCGGCATCTCTTTTGAGACAATCTGGACATATTCATTCAGAGAGTCGATTCCCTTTTGTGTCTCCTGCAACTTTATCTCCGCTTCGCCCGCCGTCACCGTCGCCCAGAAAGAGTACGGTAAGTGATTGGGCGTGGTAGGTGTGGGGCGCGCTTCCCAAAGCCATGGCATTTGTCGATTCAGAAGCTTCTGGAAGTAAGAGATTGGAAGATAGCGAAAAGCACGCGATGCGAGACGCAGTGACGCGATATCTTTAGAGAGAAGATGATCGAGAACTTCTAGCTGTAACTCGGTTGGCAAGCGTACAAACATGTCCTTAGAGGCGTCCGGTGTTGTGCCCTGTGAAATGGCGAATGCGCTGTTACGCGGACTAAATCCGGGTTCCGTAGAGATAACCTGTTGCAAGATGTCCCGCAGTTTGGGCACATATAGCGGATTAGCTGCCAAATACTCTGTTCCCTTCCAATGATCCCACTCCTGGGCTTTACATTGGCTCACATCACTATGGTTTCGGGCCTCAAATACCCGATCGGCCGTGGCCTCTTCGAGCCACCAGCTTGTCAACCCGCCCGCATCAATGGTGCCGTGCTCGAGCATTGAGGTACGCTTGAAGACCTCAAAACACCACGGATGAAAAGGCATCGCGAACTGTTCAATCTCAGATTCATCCCAGATGGTGTTCTCCGCGCGAGGTCGTTCGCAGCCGTGTCGCGGAGGCTTAACGCGTGGGCTGTCCGAGTCTCGTGAAGGCATGTGGTCGCTCAACCCGCTCAAACAGAACTCTCCTTTTCGCTCGAAGTCTTCATCATCATCCAACGGCTCAAAGTTCGTGGATTTGCGCATAAGGCATTGGGAGACTTGGCAGCCGCGCATTTCTTCCACGCGGATCTCATGTCCGGAGTACCCGGCGCGGTTCAGACATCCGGGTCCTGCAATGTGTTCAACGTGGTATTGCTGCTTGAGGTCATAACCGAGTTTACCCCCCAGGTAGTGACCAAGATTCCGACTCGAGAGACCGCTAAGACTGTCTTCGGAGGCGCTGCCGTCCGTGCCATATTCTGTTTCACCATCTCTCCCTGGGTAGAAGAGAGGAAACATCTCGTCTTGAACTCCATCTATTTTTGCAACAACATAATTACCTCGATACCATGCGGGATGCGCAGGGTTGTTCTGGTTGACATGACTCCAGCCAGGTCCAAATGGGTCACTCTTGGCTATTAGCGCACGAACACAGAAGCGTCGATACTCTTCGCGCTCAGAATCTTCGGAGTCCTCCATATCCACATCATCAGTCTCTCCAGAAGCATCGTCTTCCAGGTCTGATGCGTACTCCAGCCGCTCGTCATCGTCATCATCTCCGGGCTCTTCCCAGTCTCCGTCTTCTTCGTCATCTTTCTCTGCTTGTGGGTCTTCTGTGCCCGTTTCTATGACCAGCTTTCTTCTCCCTCTTGGACTGATCCGCACCTCTGCGCCTACATCTCTGATCTTGCGGAAAGTGAACATACACCCCGCGTCACGAGGGCACTCTCCCACCCAGGAGTTTCGAACGCCATCGACAAAACTTTCGGTAGAACCGTATCGATTCTCTGGGCTATCCGACACATGAAAGTCCGACGGCACTGGCCCAAAGCGACTCCATGCTGCGCTGCGAGGCTCGGTTGGCGTGCGGATGCGGCCAATGTTGAAACTCACGCCGCAGATGTTGCATAGAACCTGGAGACATCAGCACAAAAGTTTCCGCATCTGGACAGACGTGGAATCACCTCTGAATAGCCCATTTTGCGATGACAGTCTCACTGTGAAAATGTGAAAGCGAGATGGTGGGCAGCCAATGTATCTCGCTAGCGCCGTCACGTAGCGTAGTCTAGTGGAACTTCTGCCTACGCTAGGCCCGATATGGCACACACTGTGCTACCTTCCAGGCACCGGAAGGAACGCACAATAGTGAAAGCTGCCAAGGATAACATCTATTCTCAATCCAGAATGCTACAAAGAGGCTACTCTGTACCGCTTTGGCGACCCTATCAGAGGCCATGCCTGCTGTGGTTCTGATTGGCTGCCTTGACATTCGCCCCCAACATGCCGCGGTACTCAGTTGAAGAACTTGTTCATTGCTTGGCTACCACCCGGGCGGACTCCTCCTCTTCGCCCACTCCTCAATCGGCGTCAGCTTAACAGGCAGCTCCTTCAACACCGGCGCCATGTCAATATTGAACGGCTCGTCCTCCGCCTCATTGTAATATGTATACGCCTTGAACATCTGGCTGACAATCTTCTCCGTCTCAAGCCCTCTCCCCTGCATCGTCTTGCCAATCTTATTGCAAAAGTCCTCGACAGTCTGGTTTTCATACTCCAACTTTCTTCCCCAAGCCCTCGACAATTTTTCTGCGAGCTGTTCGAGCCGCACTGTTTCTGGGCCTCCGACGGCAAAGTCCCGCCCCGCGAGTTCGGGCCGCTGGAGAGCCGCCACCATCAGCTGCGCGACGTCGTGGTGGCATATCCACGAGACCTGGAGATCCGGCTTGTGGCAGTACACGACGGTGTTGCGGTCGCGAATCGGCGGGAGTGCCCATCCCTCGAGGAGATTGTCGATGTAGACGACTGGCTCGATGCTGACCACCGGCATGCCCGTCTCGCGGAGCAAGCGCTTCATTTCCCTGCGGTCATCCTGCGCTTTGATGTCCTGCGCTTCCTTCGGAACGGGCATGCTCGTATTGAACACGATGAGCTTGATGCCAGCTTCTTTTGCGGCTTCTCCGATGTCTTTTGCGCCTTGGAGGATGGGGCCGGACTGGTTGAAGGAGGTGGAGGGCAGATTGAGGAAGATGGCGTCGGAACCTGCGATGGCTTTTGAGATTTTGGCCTTGTCGGCGAAGTCGGCCGCAAATGTCTCGATTGTCTTCCCATCGACTTCGAGATGCTTGGGATTGCGGCTCACGGCGACGACATCGTGGCCTGCTTTCGCGAGAACAGGGACCTGGTGGGCTCCCTGCACGCCGGACGCGCCGAATACGACGACTCTCATGGCTGTCTGGTCTAAACTATCTCTTTTGGCTATTGGGCAATGTATTTGTCTGGTTCTTGTGCTCAACGTGTTTTGGGGAGCGTCTTCGTCTTTCTCGCACCTTATACTCCGGATACGGAAGCGCTTACCCGGGGGAGCAAACGTACCCCACACCGCGAGACAGCGTATCCACACTCGATTGACACATCTTCATTCCGAGCCGATGCTAATCGCTTCCCTTCGATTCTTGCGTTACAACTTATTCGCGCAAGCTAGGATGATGTTTGACAGATTCATAGGTGGAATGACGTCATCGAGTCACTACCTCGATGTCTCAGAGACCACCGCAACTGGGAGCCGCGTTGACGAAAAGCAAGCTCTTGGTAACCGGCAGCCGATGAGGCAAAAGCGATTCATATTAATTTTCGAATATTTCAGGTTACAGCGATCACAAAGCAGCATCACCCTCAACAGAAGGCGAGGACATAGCTACGGCGTGGGCGGATTAATCCTGAAGCAACTCTCTACCAAGTAAACGCCTCGTCAACCAAGACAAACGGCCGCATAGTTTCCGCACCCCTCCCAAGTTTCGACACAGTCTGCCTCACTTCATCAGCCATACCCGCCGGTCCACAAACCACTATCCCCAGCAGCTCTTTCCCGCCGTCCCGCTTAGCACCTGTCACAGCCGTCTCCTGTTGGAGAATCTCCCTGATATCCATGCGCTCTCCAACCACAGTCCGCACCTGCACCGCCGATGGGAGAGCATCTAGCTCAGACCCAAGTGTGTCTAAGATACCTCGCTGTCTAACACCCCAGAAGAGTTTCGCGTGCCGCGGGGCGGAGATTTCGTGTAGGTAAGGCAGGACGGCGGTGATGCCGACGCCCCCGGCGATGCAGAGCAGGTGAGTGCACTGTGCGAGCTGTGCTGCTGCGTTGGAGTGATAGGATCCTTCTACGAGGACGCGGAGCTGAATTCGATGCGAGTCTGATGCCGATAGTCGGGCGGCAAGCTTTGCTGTGATACCTGTGCGGACGCGCACGATGAAGGTAGCGCCGTTGCGCGGCCAGGCTGACGAGTCCCTGGTATGATTTGAACCGTCTCTGAGCGAGCGTTCCGTAGTAGCAACGGCCTTCTCGCTGCCATTTACCGCAGAAGCGGATGCCTGCATTTCCTCGTCCATGGCAGCACTCCTTTTGCTCTCGGACGTTGCGACGGAGAAAGGGTGCGTTTCCCAGAACCGCCATCCCAGCGTTGGAAAGCACAAATACGCAACGCCACTTGGACGCACGCCTTCGATGTGGATTTTCAGGACCTCCCCGTTCGACCCCGGAACCTCCGACACCGTCGCTGTACGCGATCCCTTCAGCGCCATGCGTACAAGTCGCACAACTCGTTCAGCGCCCCAAATCCCTCCCACGATATACGCGAAAATCTCGTATCCCCAGTTATACTGGTAGCAGTACCAAATGTGGTAGTAGTATCCAACGACGAAAACCACCGTCAGCACCACATGCAACACCAAGAATACCTCGTACACCTTCTGCCGCACGACTAGCAGCGACGCCGGGAACATGACAACGACAGCGACCGTGGCTACGATACCCCACACCCAGTACGTACGGGCAAGCTCGTCCTCGTAAGATCCCTGGAGCTTGTAGTAAGCCAGCAACATAACCGAATGCAGCACCGTATGTAAAATTGTCCAGTAACCCAGCCATCGATGTAGGAGCAAGTATGTGCTATAACTCCAGTCCGTGACCCACAAAAACGGATTATTCCTCCCGGCGAAAACGAACATCGCGACTGCATTCCCCATGGCCATGACGCCGGCACGGTTGCCAATGATGCTGATGTCTTGCTCTTTAAGCGAGGCGAAGGTCGTCTGGGGATGCGTGTGGACGTATGGTGTGAGGAGGAATATCACGTTGAGCATGCTGATGAAAGCGATGTAGAGGGCCTGCCCGCGGGTCGGCACCATACCGCCCCCAATGGCGGCGCCTACGGGCTCGCGATGATGACGGCCCCATGTCGCCGGGTAGATGAGGGTGGCTTGGAGGTAGGACCAGCCGGTGCTTGTAGGGAGGCCTGGGACGAAGCGGAGGAGGGAGAGGGGGATGGGAAGGAGTAGGGCTACGAGCATTACGGTGATGCTGGGAATGGTTAGTGCGAACTTGCAGGTGCCGAAGTCTCTGACGAGTTACCTGTAAGTCGAGTGTCCCTTTTCGTTGGTCTCAAAATCTCGCATACCGTTGTACGCCTTCTGCCATGACACAGGGTCGACAAAACTCGTGACATTCATGGGCGCTTTTTTCTTCGCAAGGGGAAGCGGACTGGAAACATTGAAGGTAAAGAACGTCTCTTCTTGTGGAGCTGACGCTCCATGACTGTGCCGGCGCCTGAGATCCCCTATTTTCTCATGATGCTCAGGCACTGTCTCATTCGCAGCAGCAACCCTTTCATCCTCGCGCCCCGCCGTCAATGCGTCCGCATACGACACCGCCGGCTTCCACTTGTAACTCCCAACCGTCGTTGTCGCCAAATGAGATGCCCAGTATTCCTCAATCAGCCCCGTACTTGGATGGTCGCTCACAGAACAGTAGGTGTCTATACACACAGCCATTGTTCGCAAAAAGGCTGGATCGCGCGTGAAACATTCCGGTGCTGTGTAGATTGGTGAATGCACGGTCCCGTAGTTTACGGTACCGTCTTCAGGCGTACACAGAAGCGGGTTGGATTTAATTACTGTCCGACAAGCGAAGGCGCAGGCGGGGTTGTACATTGTCTTACCCCAGCCGATAAGACCATTTCCGTCAGCGTTGGCGAAGGCAGCACGAAGTTCCAGCGTAAGACTCGTGAACAAGAGCGTGTGCATGGTGCGTTGCTGCGAGATAGTTTCGTACCAGCACGTGTGCTTGTCGCAAGTCGAAGAGTGGGGCGCCACAGAGGGAATTACCGGGAGAAGATGCTTAAGGGCAGCATGATCTTCTAATACCTGGCTAAAGGCAATGTGAAGACCGTAAGTATGGATGTTGCTAAGCGATCGCCAAGTCGTGTTAGTCCATCGTGCAGAGCCAAGAGGCATGGCAATGAGGTGGTGAGCAGATACGAGCAAGTTCTACCTCGTCGATTGGAATTCCATATGAAGAGACGCTTTGGCCATGACACGATTTCGATGGCCCGTTGGAGACATGTGGCGGAGCTTTGTTTTCCTTTGCGAAGCTCCATGGGACTTTCAAGCATCAGAAGGGACCAATCAGCTCCGACAAAATTCAATCCTTGCCCCTCTTGTATCATACAAACCATTCAAAGAGCTATAGCTGTGATAAAATTAGCCATGTCATGAGAAAAGAAAGCCCAGGAACACAGTTTGCAATGTCAGGTTGTTCTGTCAAGCATGTGGGAGAGGCTTTTGTTCATATCGACGGAAAAATCTTGTTGTCGTTTCCGAGCGAGGAAGGGAACTCTGAGACGCGTGAAGTTCATGCGTAACATGCCATTCCAGCTTGACCTCGAAGACTGGTTTCCCAAGAAGATGGATAGTAGTGACGCTAGCCTTCATTTTCCGTTGCCCAAAGTCCATCTCATCCCACGACGCGTAAGATGTCTCCGAAGCCATCTCGATAAGCTCCTTCAGCCAGTCCTGAGTAAGTGGCACCGGCTGGGACTTCATCTCCGGCGGTGCATCGAAGAGGCGGACATACGATCTGGTGCGGCCAATGCCGAATGCTACCCCGAAGAAGACAAATGAGCCGTCCATCAATCCGCTCTCTAGAGCCAGCGCGCCGTGACGCTTGTGTATCGCTATTCCGCGAAATTGCATGGTGCGAGTCCTACTGTTCCAACTAGCCTCGGGTACCGCTGTCACTATGAATCTTCCGCCAGGCGATCGTATAGTAGTACAGTTGATGATAAAATGACTGTGCTGGTAGTACAGCATTTGGAGAGAAGGTTCGTAGGGTATTGGGACAAGGGAAATCGGCTCCCACGAACTTGTTGTCGATTCGAGTTCGATCATTTCTACATCTTGGAATATCTGCCGTGTAAAGGCCTTTCGTCCGGTTTGCGATTCCGTGAAGTCGTCCTGGTTAATTCTTTTGAGTGGTATTGCCACGCAACTGAAGAAGTCGTCCTCTTCATGACAGGCCAATAAACCATAATATGCGCCGGACTTGCCTGGCCCCCGGGCAACGAGCCTTATGTGCATCTCAATCGCGCGATTTGTTGCAGTCAGTGGGCCTTCCATAATGGGTATTTGGGCTATTCTTCCACACGATCCAAAATCTTCGGGATGGCTGGCTAATACTCCCGCGAAGGTGTCTGCATGATTCATCAATTTCCATGCGAGGATAGACTGGTCAGTCGAATACCGCAGTATCTCCATCTGCAGACGCCTAAATGCCTTTTCGATTCCTTCCCCATAGAGAAGAGGCATGTGAATGTCAAATATACCCAACAGACAGTAGGCCAGGTCCTCTGGTCGGGTTGTTTTACGCTTCGAAGCCCACGACATGCGTTGCGCCACGGACCGTTCCCGGAGAAACACTTTTAGATGTTGCGTCCTTGAGATATAGAGGTCAAGGTTCACTAACACTTCGAGGTCGACGGAAGTTATCTTCGCGAGAATATCGGCCAAGGCAGTCCGTGTCCCGGTCAAAGTCCAGTACTTGTCGTAAAAGTAGACCTCGGAGGGCGCTATGAGCTCCTGGAGTGTCCATCCTCTTGTGAACCAGCGGCTGCGTTGAAGTGAATGCGCATTCCCATATTGATGGGAACCGACGCCGCTAGACTGCCCTTCATGCCATACGAGGTCTTCAAGGTAGGCATAACATTTTTGGGACAGCGCGTACCATCTGAACATGGAATTTATGGCCTCTGATAATTCTGCACTGCTGCTCTTGTCGATGCAGCACGTGTCGATCCATACATATCCGAATCCGTCTTGTGCCGCGATTCTGCATGTTTGTTCGATTTTCCGATATCCTATCATGGTCTGGACATGTTCGCGCAGGAGATCGTCCAAGGTGACCTCCTCTTCTCCCCATGTATGCGAGAGGATAGCGTAAGGCGGTAGCCGCTCTTCATCGTTGAACTGCTCTAGCTGCAAAGACTTTGTAGATAACAGTCGCATTGGGACCGAGTGTTTCAAGGAGCGGAGAGATATACGTAATTGGGTGTGCTGCAGCCTGCTTGTGAGCTTGTAAGGCTTCGAGTGCATGAAGTCGGCTGAGATTGCTCAGCCCGCGAGCCTTCCCAGCCCACGTGCCGAGCTGCAGATTTGGGGCGTTATTGTACCAATAGGATGCCATGGTTGGCGAGCTCAGCTGCCTCTTTCTTGCCGCGCTCTCAGTGACTCTTCTTGTCGATCAACTTTTGGACGTATAGACACGATTTAGATGCAAGGATGGTGAAGCTGGGTCAGCTGCAGGTGGAACCTCCGCGTTCGCCCTGGACGACGACTGCCTCTTGAAAATCTTAGCGACGATGCCGGCGCGACCGACATTTACTTCAAGCACAACATTCATATCCATTCGTTGCATGAGCATTCAAACAACCTTGGATGGCAATCTCCACACGTAGGAAGAATTTAATACAAATGTTGATGGTGGCTCATGTGTTCCCCTCTCATTCCGATATGCCTACGTGCATGCGCCGCGCAATGCAATGCTCAAGTTATGCACCAAAAACCGTACGAAAGCAACAATCCACACGCTCTCGCCTGAGCCCGGCCAAACAGATTATAAACTACATACTATCCGAACATAGCACCCATGTCTGTCCGGCCATTCCCATCATATCAATATACAAACACCCGGTTAAAAAGCCATAGGCAAGTCTCATCTCTTTGCTGGTGCGGTGAGGTATTGCAATATCTGAGTCACGTCAGCTTTGAACATCTCGCGAAAATGGGATCGACTGACCTGGGTTGGAAGCATATCCTTCTCGACTAGGCTTCTTCCCAGTATTCTGACAACCTCGACCTGCTCTTCGGGGGTAAGACCGGTTATGGCCGCCTCCAAGACACTGCCGACGGATGCGTGGTTGACAGCAATGAAGCTGGAGTAGTAGAAGAATGTGATTGTGCCCATGATGAATTGACAATCCATACGGTCTGTGACACCACCGTGGCCGGGAATGCTGTCGCCAAAATCTTTGATCTTGAACGTCCGCTTCAAGCCCGAAGCAAAGAAGCCGCCGAAAGGCGCGATCAAGGACGCAAACGTGGCGAGGACAAGGATGTGAAGATAGAGAGGTTTGAAGACGTAAGTGTTGCTGATCGCTGGAAGACCTGGTGGGATGAAGGGAACCACGTAGGTCTTGGGGGTGAAGACAGGATTCACAGTGCATTCCAAGCCTGTGAACAAGTTCGCGCCGAGATCCTAGAAATTGTTAACCAGAAGGAATTGTGCAAAAAGCAGGTACGTACGTTGACTGGGCAGATGAAGTATTTGGATCGTGCCATGAGGTGTGTCATCAGTATACCCAAGAGTACAGTGAAGAACCATGCTCCGAGGAAACCTTCCCAAGTCTTCTTCGGTGAGATCTTGATCAAAGGTGTGCGGCCAAAGGTGATGCCGCAAAGGTAGGCAAATATGTCATTGGTGACAACCAACGCGACGGGCATGAAAAACCAGATGAAGCCTTCAAAGACATTGTTGATGATGAAGTGAGCCTGCCCAACGATGAGGAACAGCGCCATGTGAGTCCAAGCAAACTGGCTAAACTGGAACTTGTAATGGCCTTTTTGCAAGGATGACACGAAGAAGATGAAGCCTGGACAGTCAGCCACGCGGTTCAGAGTCTCATGGGAAGAAGATTCATACCAATAATGTAAAGCATAAAGGAGATGAACCTGTGGTGGGTCGCGAGGGGGAGCAGAATACGATCGACCAGCAGAATGTGCTTGAAGTAGTAGATTACACTCTCTCCGTAGAGGAAGTACATGGTGGTGCCCAAGAAGTACCAATTCAGTGACTTTGTGAATCGCAGGTTCCGGGCTTTACTAGGCACGGAATGTATGGCAATGACCTCCTTGAAGGAGATGATTTGGAGGGCCGTGATGAGGATGATGATGTAGATGTGGCCGGCGAAGAGAGCCCAGAAGAAACCACCGAGCATGGCAAAGGTCCAGACGGTGCGCGTGTAGAAGTTCTGCATCTTCTTCTCGTACTCGGTTTGCGCTGGGGGCTCGGGCTGGGGCATGGTCAGCGGGGGCAACGAGGGAGGGAGAGGGGAGAGGGGTTTGCGCCGGAGCTTGCGGAGGTGCCGCACATGGGCTCGGAGCAGGCATGCCCAAGCTCGTCGCACCTGGGGGCTCTCTGCCGCGCAGCAACGCTGTTCCCTCGGGCGGAGCATTGCCTGGCAGCCGCGCTCCGGGCAGGGCGTGGCGGGAGAAGGGGGGCTTACGGCCTCGTCGATTTTGGCGGCCGCATGGCCGTTTCTCGTGGGACTGCTGGGCTCGGAATGGGCCGTCTCCGAGTGCTCAGAGACGCTCATGGACGGGCGACGTGCCTTGGTGCTGGGGTTGCTGCCCCGGTGCTGGAACTTGACGTCTTTGCGAGGCTTGGCCATGTTTGGGGTGGGCTGCGCGGCGGTGCGCGAGGGGTGCGAGGCGAGGGTGCCGTGCAGCGCGTCGCGGAGGCCGTCGGAGGGGGAGTCTGCGCAGGGCGCGGTGCGGGGGACTGATGGCAGCTGCTTGTCGGCGGACGAGCTGGCAGGCTTTTGTGGTGCAGGCAGGAACACAGACGTCACCTCCGCCGATTTTGGGCCCTCGACGCTAGCCTCAGCCTTGCAGCGCGCCGCATGTGCCGCCGCGCTGCTCGGCCACGGCCGCCACCAACGGCCGACGCGACGGCGCGCGCGCAGCACCTCGCGCAATTGGGATGTTGGCGGCGAGGCTCGCGCAGCTCTGGCACGGCCCGCACGAAGCATGGACGATGACGACTTCGACTTCTCCGACGCAGACCTCGACCACCTGCCCGCCAACACGCTGCAGCAGCTCGAGACGACGGCCCTGCGCGCCACCCAGCCGCAGCACCACGCCGTGGTCCCCGCGGACGACTCGGCCTACTACGGCTTCGACGACGGCGACGAGGACCAGGTCGTCAATCTCGACGACGACAGAGGCGCACCCCGCTTTCCCAACACCCATGCCGAGGCCTACCAGCCTACGCAGCCCGACCATGGCGCCAGCGCGCAGTACGACGGCGCCGTCGACGTCGACGAGCTGCCGCGGCAGTCCCAGGTCGACGTGGGGAAGCTCCTCGAGCGCATCAAGAAGGTGGGTCCCAGCAAGCTCCTCGATCGAGGCATTGCCTGTAGCTGACGGCTGCAGCTGGAGCAAGAAAAACGGCGCCTGAACCAGAACCTCGACGCAGCATCCGCCGACGTCATCCACAAGACGGGCGAGGTCGACAACCTGCGCCGCCGCACCGAGCATGCCACCCGCCAGGCCGAGCAGCGCCTCGCCCAGCAGCAGCAAGAGCACAGAGACGCAGCAGGCAAGATCGCGGCCGAGAGAGACGCTCTGTTGCGCCAACTCGAGCAGGCCAAGACGAACAGCGCTTTCGACGAGCACAGTCGTGTCGACGAGCACATGCGCAGGCCGCGGCGCGTCGTGCCATCCCGTCCCAAGCCCGCTGCGCCCGTTGCACTCAGCCCGGCAGGCACTCCCAGCAAGCGTCAAAAGAACCTTCCCCTCGGCGATGGCTTTGACGACGACGATGTGGTCATGGTGTCGCCCAGCAAGAGGCGGGACAAGCCCAAGGCCGCGACTCCCAAGCAGGCGAGCAAGAGGAAGCGCCAAATCACCAATGATAGCCCCGTCCCCATACTGGAGCTGAGTGAGCCGAGGACGCAGCCCAAAGCACCTGACCCATCCTCCATCAACGAAGCCCAACTTGACATCAACCTGCTACGCAACTTGTGGAGGCATGATCAGCGGTACGCTCTGCTCCATCGTCTTCTGTCGCACCGCTGCTCCAAGGGCGATGACCGCATACTGGAGGCACTCACGCAGCACGCATATCCTTCTGATCCCATGAAGAAGCTCTCGTCTGTTGTATACGACTCCTTCTCTGCTTCCGCCCCGTCTCACAACGCCCGCGAACTTGCGATCCGACTTTGCGGTATCTTCAACAAATTATGGATGCAATGTTTGCGTGAGAGCTACTATGCTCCAATATACCTCATTCTCGATGCTTTGCAATTTGTGCTAGCGTGCGAGCCGGCAAAGACAGCCGTCGCAGTCATGCAAGACATCATTCCGTTGATCGTCGAGTCTGTCAAACTCGTGGCCATCCCTATTTACGAAGCTCGCAACCGAAACGAGAAGAAGACCGCCTTCCTGTTCTCGTCCGCATACCAGAATACCGTGGACGAAATCAATGTTCAGAGCTGCCTGGACCTACTCTATTTGCTGGCCACTTGCTGCTTGTCCTGTCCTTCGCCGGAACCGCTGGCACAATTTTGGCGCGACATGCCCATCGATTGGGTCCTCCTGATGCTCCAAAAAGAGCAACCCATCCCACACATGCTCATCCTTCTCCGCACTCTTTCCACGTCCGCGCTTCCTGCTTCTCTCGGTCCCATCATCGCCTCCGAACCCGAAACGCAAAGAGGCGGCGAAAGCAACCTCCTCGCACGCCTCACCAACCTCTTTTCTGAGTCCATCGAGCCCATACCGAATCCCAAATCAGCCGAGCCCGCGCAACCAGTCCAAGAATCTCAGATTTGGATCGTCCGGCTCAAGATCCTGGATGTGTTGACACAATTCTCCATTCCCGAATACGGCTCTGCAGTTCTCATCAGCCACGGCCTCTGCATAGGCCGCCTGATCAAGTATCTCAACCACGCCGTGTCCGCGCTGTACGCGCGTCCTCTGTCACCCACCCAGCCGGAAAAGATCGCCACCGTGAACACGACGATGAAGCTGCTCAACCACTTGACGACGTGCAACCCAGGCTTCAATATCAAGAGCAAACTCAATGAGACGTTGGGTGGCCTTCACGCGTACTATGTTAGTCTTACGCGGCTCGCGTTTTCGGAAGGACTAGTGCTCGAGGCAGGGATCGAGCAGGAGGTTATGGACATGGCGCATGATATCCTGGACGACGGGCTTAGTCCTGAAGAGGGAGACGCATTGGCGGAGGTCTTTCCTAGTGGGAATTCCGCATGAGATGGAGCGTGGGTTTTGGCCACAAAATAAAGAGTGAGGTTGTATGCAGGCAGATGCTGGGTTGGCTAACTACTTTCGGGCGTTGCATGTACTGGATTGGACATTTCGGGTGCATAGGGCGGTGTATAGCGTTTTGGGGCTGGATAGATACCCTGTCGGCCAATGTATTTGTTGTATAGCTTGTCATGTGCCTGTAAACTAGTAAAAAATGTTGTTTACAATTGCTCAAGTTGTGTCCACCGCTCGAGTACTTACAACCTAACATACTCAGATATTGCAACTTTCTCTCTCGTGGGAAAGTCAACACCGGTGATTCAGTATCAGATCAAGATCGTAGACTCTCATAGTCAATCGAGCTACCCCAAGCTTCCCTCTCACATCCTGCGTGAGGCTATAGACTCGATTTCCTGTGTCTGGTCGCTCTTACCCAACAGGGTTAGCGGCCGAGGTGCGCAGTTCGCGACAACTTTTGAGCCTCACGACCTGGAATACCACATCAACGCCGTCAATGCCGCCCCGACCCTTCGTGAACGACGCACTATGGCGAACTCTCTGTCCGAGATGGACTCAGGTTCCCATCCAACGGAAAAGTGGTCTCCTTGGCGCCGCGAAGATCTCTCCGCGACCTTCACTTTGCTCCAGTCCATCACAGCAACCTTCGCGCACGTATAATTCAGCCGCTGCTGCCATACCGAATGCATCCCTTCCTCCGACCGTATACAGCGTGCCAGATGGGGGCATTCGTCGTCGTCCAGGCGCCGGCCGAAAGGAGAACAAACACCGTGCTACCGATTTTGTAAACTTCTCCAACGAGGAACTCTACGATCGGCTGCGCATCGATGCCGCGAAGGGGCTCCATCAAGAAGTCATGAACATGCTTAGAATCCTGGTCAAGGACAGGCGGGAGCGACCGAACCTACCCATGTACACGGCTCTGCTGCACTCGTACGTCTCGCCGGAATGGGGTACAGCAGGGAAGATACGCAAAACCCTGGAAGATATGGCGGCTGCAGGCATCGAACCGGGCCCGCGCGCCTGCGAATGTGCCCTCGAGGCTCTCGCCGTACACCCCGATTCCTTCTTGCGCGAGGACATCTTGAACTACATGAAGGAAAGATGGTGGACCCCGACGCCCACGGCGCAGTGTTATATCATTGCAGGGCTGTTAAGAGAACGATGCTTTGAGATGGCGCTGGAACGTCTGGAGAATATGCTCAATGAAGGTACAAGGGTTGACGCTTGGTTATGGGATAAAGCGATATGGATGTTGCTCGAGTTTGGCGAGGTGGAAGAGGCGTTCCATGTGTTGAGCCTCAAACGGAAGACGTCCAATACTGTCGATTCCGGTTTGAGTGGCATTTTGTGGTCGCAGCTTCTCGATGTGGCTGGCAAGAGACAAATTGTGAGTTGATTCTGTTGTGGGGAGTCTGGCGGATTCCTGGCTGACGAACTACAGCCCGAGGCTGCGAGCATGATATGGTATTCCCACGTCATAACCGGCTATCTCAAGCCAACTACAGGGACGTGCCTCAATGTTCTCTCAGTTGCCGCCCGCGCAGGCGATGTCAAGCTCGCTACAGATGTCTTCCGCGTGCTCGCTGAGCGCAATGCCGTGTTTAACCACCACCACTACGAGGCACTGATACAGTGTTACCTTGTAGTAATGGATCTTCCCGCGGCGCTGAGTGTCGTCCTCATCATGCAGGAATCGAGCCTCAAGGTCACCGAAGAGCAATTGCATCCCTTGTTCGCATATCTGAGCAGAGACAAAGAACGACCAATGAACGCGTTCATGCAGCTGCAAGACCTAGAGCGCTCGGGTCGGAAGATTCCCACCGCTGCGGTAAACGTCTGCATAGCAGCCTCCATCAGGCTCGGCAACCTGCAGGAAGCGATCGAGTTCTACAAGGCACTAAAAACCGTCGCAGTAGCCGGTCCCACAACTGCGACCTTCAACGAGCTCTTCCGCGGCTGCTACCGCAGCGGCCGTAAAGAGCTCGCCATGTACCTGGCCAACGAGATGGTCGAGCTCGACATACAACCTGACCGCATAACGTACGACCGACTGATCTTAACGTGTCTCCACGCAGGTGACATCGACGATGCCATCAGCTACTTTGAAGAGATGAGGAGCGAAGGCATGCTCCCGAGACGCGGAACACACGAGGACCTTATTGAACGTGTGCTAAAAGCACGCGATGCGAGGTGTGTTGCGCTGTTGAATTGGTACAAGACGGCTGAATATCGGGTGGAAGCCCGTCTTGCGACTTTGCAAAGGCTGGTTTTCAGGCATTTCGAAGAGGGCGGCGAGAGGAAGAAGAAACTTAGCGAGGACGAAAACGTTCGGGATGGGTTTGATGCGATAGAGGGGAACCGGAAGGGTGATCCAGATTCGGCGTCTAAGAAACAGCAGAGTGCGCAGAGTGCGCTCGAGGCGTTGCAGGGGGAGATGGCAACGACACCCATCAGCACTGAAACGAAGACTGAAGCTGCTGTGCAGAAGGACGACAACAGTGGCATAAATGATACTTCGGCGGCGCTGCCTAGGGACGCCAAACCAGAGACCAAGTCACAACCCGAGTCTCAGACGAGCAGTGTTCCGGACTATACCAGGTTCAATGCCTAGATAATAGGACATGATCCACCACGAGCAATCCAACTGTCTCTTGCATTGTCCCATACCCCAAAACTATCCCGCCCCAAAGTCATAAGACGCTGACACATCCGTCCCCCAGCGCTGATTCACTATCCGCGCCTTAGCGGCCCCCACTCTCCCTTTGCGAGCTTGAGGTGACGCCTCACCGGCCCGTGTCTGACTTTTCGAAATGTGACAAAGCAACTAGTACGACAACACAAATATTCATCCTACTCTTTATTCGTGGAGAAGATGCTTCGTGCCACCAATCCTCGCTTCTCTCGGTCGTAATTCTCCCGGGATGCATGCATGCTGCAGATCCGCCCATCCCAGTGCAGTACTCGGCGCTAAGCGAGCTTTGGCAATGGCATGTTTGTACCATCTTGAAGAGCATGGCTTGAGGGACGGATCTTTGTTCTCGAGGTTTCTTACAAGCTGTGACTATGGCAGAATTCGACTTCGACAACTCTCCTGAAGCTGGACTGAAAGGCTCGCTGCGGAAGGACTTCTTCTGGGGGTACGTACATCACCTACTTCGTGCCTGAACAGCTTCGCCTTCGCAAGTTGTAGGTACTTGCTATGGCCAATTTCCCCTGTACTAGAGCTGCAATATGTCGACGCAGGGACCTCCATCCCGAACATCGGGTCTGTTTGGAGCTCCGACTTTCCCAACTTTCGACGTCTCCTGCCCTCGACACTGCGTCCCTCCTCCCTGAAAGAAGCCACGGCTGATCCACCGCCAGCTACGCAACCGCCGCCCCCCAAATCGAAGGCGCCTGGAACGCCGACGGCAAAGGCCCCTCCACGTGGGACATCCTCGCACACACGCCCGGCCGCGTCATCGACGCCTCCACCGCCGACGATGCAACCCGCTCGTACGACTTCTTCCGCGAAGACGTCAAGCTCATGAAGAGCTACGGCGTCAACGCGTACCGCTTTAGTCTCTCCTGGAGCAGAATAATACCCCTGGGAGGCAAAGATGATCCAGTCAACGAAGCGGGAATAAAGTTCTATTCGGAACTGATCGACGAGCTTCTCGCGCACGATATCACGCCTTTCGTCACCCTCTTCCACTGGGATGTCCCGCAGGCGCTGGAAGATCGGTACAAGAGCATGCTAGATGCTGAGAAATATGTTCCTGATTTTGTGCGGTATGCAAGGGTGTGCTTTGAGACGTTTGGAGGAAAGGTGAAGCACTGGATCACGTATAACGAGCCGGGGGTGTATGCGCTGGCAGGGTATGCTGGGGGCGCTCACGCACCGAATAGGAGCAGCGATCGGGAGAAGTACAGCGAGGGGGATACGAGCACGGAGCCGTGGATTGTACGTCCCCTTCCATTACGCCCCAAAGACAGACACACGCCTCAAAGCGCATTTGTCTGGACGACGTCGAGGTTCGCACTGGACTCCAGCTAAAAGAGAGATGCACAGGTCGGCCACACGCAACTCCTCTCCCACGCACAAGTCTATCGTATGTACAAGGAAGAGTTCGCGCACACGCAGCACGGCACAATCGGTATCACGCTCTCGGGGAACTGGTCCGCGCCCTACGACGCCACCTCCCCCGCCGACATCGCCGCCGCGCAGCGTGCACTCGAGTTCGAAATCGCTTGGTTCGCGGACCCCGTCCACGGCAGCGGTGACTACCCCGCCTCGATGCGCGCGCAGCTCGGGTCCCGCCTGCCCACCTTCACAGACGCAGAGAAGCAGACGGTGAAGGGAAGCTCCGACTTTTACGGCATGAATACGTACACTGCGTTTTTCGTGAGGGATAAGGTGCCTCCGGGACAGCCGATACCGCCCGAAGATCATAAGGGCAATCTCGCGTGGTCGGACATCAACAGCGAGGGCGTGAGCCGCGGCGCCGAGTCTGATACCGAGTGGTTGCGGACATCGCCGTGGGGTTTCGCGAAGCTGCTGCACTGGGTGTGGGACAGGTACCGAGTCCCTATCTACATAACGGAAAACGGCACTACCGCGAAGGGGGAACATGTTCCTGCGCCGCCGGCGGGGGATGTGCTGAACGATGTGCACCGGATCGAGTTCTACCGCGCTTATGTGGGCGAGGTGGCCAAAGCTGTCACGGAGGGGATCGACATCAGGTCGTATTTTGGGTGGACATTGCTGGATAATTGGGAGTGGGCGAAGGGGTATACCGATCGGTTTGGGGTGACGTGGGTAGATTTTGAGAGTGAGGAGAAAAAGAGGTATCCGAAGCGGAGCGCGGCGTTCAATCGGGAGTTCTTTGAGCATCTGATTGCTCGCTGATAGGCAGGAAGCTAGCTTTCAACCTGATGTCTCCGTGCCATACTCGAACACCCTCTAAAATCACGTTTGCCGCATTGTCCATTCTCCAAATCCCCCTTACTTTCGTCGTCTAGTTCAGACTAATCCGCCAACTACGTTCGAGGCACTTCCTCGACGACACCATGCTCATTTCCCTCCCGCGCCTCGCGATCCATCTTCGCTTGCTCTTCCTTCCCCTTCTGGATCAACCTGGAGAAAGTCAGCGAAATCCACATCTGTTCGTTCATCTCTGCCACTTACAAGCTCATCTTGACAGGCTGAATACCCGGAGTCTCGAAGATACTGTCAATCTCCTCCAAGCTGAGATTCGCAGTCTCAGGGAAGATAAAGTACGACAGCCCAAGCTGAATGGTGTTGTACGCAATGTACACCACCCAGATCTTGTACCCTACCTTCTGAATGCCAATGCTGATGCCATATGCTTCTACTACACCGCACGCGCCCTGTATCAGCCCGTAAAGTCCCATCCCCTTGGATCGCAGATTCAGCGAAAGCACCTCCACGGGGTAGAGGTTGTGCATGGTGGCTATGAACGTCGCGCTGAAGCACTGAAACATGAACATCCAGAGGATGGTGAGACCAGCGGTCGTCTTAGAGGGAGACACGTTATAGCGCCAGGAAGTGATAATGGCACAGGTCTGCATGGCAATGATGGTGATGAGGCCGGAGAAGATGAGTGTGCGGCGCTTCCAGAAGTCGATGATCCAGGAACCGAGCAGCGTGAAGACAGTGTAGGTGATTACGAGGCCGAGATTGATGCCGAGCTGAGGGATTTCATCGTGGATGCCGATAGTTTCTAGGGCGGGGGTAAGATCTGGGCACGTTAGCGAGGGTTGGGATGGAATGGATCAGCTAAAGGTAGACTTGCAGTACGAGACGATGCCGCCGCCGTTCCAGGATTGGAAGGCGCTGTATAGAATCAAGACCAAGAGGCGGTAGCGGACGACTTTCGTGAAGAACACGGCAAAGTTCCAGCTCTGCTTGAAGCCCGTGCGCGTACTCTCAAGAGACTCTTCGATCTGAGCGATGACCATGCCCACAATCGGCTCGTCGGTTGACTGGGAGGTCGTCTGGTACTTGGCAATCACTTTCTTCGCCTCTTGGATCTTGCCTTTCTTCACGAGGTAACGTGGCGACTCCGGAATTGTGAAATAGATCAGGACGACGACAATGGCAGGGAAGATGGCTTCGAGGAGAAGCGGAATACGCCACGCTTTGTTTCCGGGCATCTGGCTGAAGCCGATGAGTGCGGCGTCCATGATGATGGAGCCAATGTGAAACGTTGCGCCCATGATACCGACCAGACGTCCACGCAGGTGGACAGGCGCGATCTGCGAGGCGTTATGAGCTTGACATGGTTTCGAATAGGAGGCAAGAATTCAAACGCACCTCAGCCATGTACTGCGGACTGCAACTCGCGACAAGGGTGGATCCAAAGCCCAAGAGGAACCTCCCAGCCATAAACATGGGCATACCAGTGGCCAGACCCTGCAACAACGCAGCCAGAATCGTCAACGCATTGCCAACAAACATAGTACCTCTTCTGCCGATGACATCGCTCAAAGCCAGAAACGGACTGCCCGCGATGGTACCGATACGCATTAGCGCATTCAGCGTCGCGAAGGTGCTTCCCGCTGTGCCAAAGCCGAAGTAGTCATGCCATGATTCGAAAGCATTCAAACCACCAATGACCGCCCAGTCAACACCATAACCGCTCTGGTTGCACAGCTGGATAAACATGATGAGGATGATTCGTAGACCAGTGTTGGACCAGAACTTCAGGGCTTTGGCGGATTCCTTCTGCAGGTTTTCTTCGGAAATGCGCTGAACGACGACTTCTTCGACGTGGACGTCGGCTTTGGCGTGGACGGCTGGGTCATGGCCGAAGGAACGGATTTGTTCTGGTTCTGCCATTTCGATGTAGCACTGTAACTAGGGTTCTCTGTTGTACGCCCAAGGTCAGAGAAAGCAATGAGAAGCTTCAGTGGAAGCAAGAAGGCGACTGTGCCCAGAATTAAGACTCTCGAAGCCTTTCACAACGCCCACTGAAGCTTCTATCTCAGTGGTCGAATGCACGACTCGCGTGCCCTGTTGATCGCGCGTCTATCCCGCAGGTGAACAACCATATTCCCCATGCAACTTGAGCCACGCCCCAATTATTCCATCCACTGGATATCTCCTGCCCCTCTTCTATCTCGGTTCTAATTTTTCCGTTGCAGTTCGAGGCCCCCAGCTAAAGCTTCTTTGGATCTTCGTGGTCGAGCCGATCGTCGAAGGACCGCTTGGGTCACGCCCCGCTCGCACATCCCCCAGTTCCCCATATTCCCGGCGTATGTTCTCGTGGCATCCCGGAAATACATCAGCTTTCTTGGAACATCAGTGCATGCCAATTTGGTCAAGCTGTCCATGATCGAAACACGATCTTCGTTCAGGTAGCACATGTTTTGTGTACCGTAGTACCATCTTGTTCGTATCTGTTGTACTCGACCTAGGATAATCTTCACCCCTAGACAGAAAATGCTGCGCTACCCCTCCCCCGCACACAAATCCGACTGGGAGTCCGCCCTCCCCATTGGCAACGGGCGTCTCGGGGCGATGGTGTACGGCGGAGTGCACACCGAGACGCTTCGCCTAAACGAGGAAAGCGTGTGGTACGGCGGCCCTCAAGCCCGGACGCCCAAATCCGCCGCATACCTTGCCCAACTCCGGGAGCTCATTCGCAAGCGCGAGCATACTGAGGCTGAGAAGTTGGCGAGGAAGAGATTCCTTGCGAGGCCGAGAAGCGCAAGACATTGTGAACCGTTGGGTCAGTGCTATCTTGAGTTTGAACACGAAGAAGAGTTCGGGGATTATGAGAGAACGTTGGACTTGGAGAATGCGGAGGTCAAAGTGGAGTATACGGTTGGTGGGAGCCACGTCAGAAGGAGGTACATTGCGAGCTTCCCGGACTCAGTCATCGCAATTCACATAACGGCCGAACAGCCAGTGCGGTTCTCTGTGAACTTGTCGCGCATGAGCGACAAATGGTACGAGACAAACGAGTTCCTTGACTCGACTGCTGTACGAGATAAGAGTATAATCTTGCATGCCACGCCTGGCGGGCATAACAGCAACAGATTATGTATGGCGGCAGGTGTGCAGTGCTGGGATGCGGCAGGAACAGTCGATGTTGTTGGAGCCTCGCTAGAAGTCGCGTCTACAGACGCACTTATTGTCATTGGAGCGTCGACATCGTATGAACCAAAGATCGATCTGGAAGAGGCCGCTATACAAAGGGTCGCTTTAGCATTCCGACATCATCCTGAGCTATTGTGGGACCGGCACCGAAGAGACTGGCAAGGTATTTACCGCAGGCAGTTCTTTCAATTGCTGTAAGTCGCATGACGACACTCGAACAATGATGATGAGAGTCTAATTACGAATGTAGGCCGAAATCCGACATCAGCAATGAGATGCCCACCCCCAAACGCCTCAAGGATCCTAACGACATGGGCATCATCGCTCTCTACCAGGCCTACGGCCGCTACCTTCTACTTTCCAGCAGCCGCAACACTGACCGCGCGCTCCCTTCAACTCTTCAAGGAATATGGAACCCCTACTTCTCCCCGCCCTGGGGCGCAAAGTACACCATCAACATCAACCTCCAGATGAACTACTGGCCTGTCAACACGGGCAACCTCTCAGAATGCCACATGCCACTATTCACGCTCCTACATCGTCTTGCGATCAGCGGAAAGGATACAGCGAGGGACATGTACGGCTGCGGCGGCTGGTGCTGTCACCACAATACGGACATCTGGGCAGACACGGCGCCGCAAGATGAATGGATGCCGGCGACGTTGTGGCCGCTTGGAGGAGCATGGCTGTGCGTACATATTTGGGAACACTTCATTTTCGACGAGGATATCGAGTTCTTGGCGTGGATGTTTCCCGTGCTGCAAGGCTGTGTGGAGTTTCTACTAGACTTCCTGATCGAAGACGAGAGCGACGAGTGGCTGGTGACGAGTCCTTCGCTTTCGCCTGAGAACACCTTTGTGGATGCGCAAGGCAGCAAAGGCATTTTCTGCGAGGGCTCGACAATGGACATGGCTATTGTCAGAGACGTATTCACCGGCTTCCTCAACAGCCTCGAGAGACTGCAACGCCGCGAGGGGCCCATGTTTGCAACGCAAATCCTCCAGCATCTCACCCGAAAAGTCCGTGACGCCCTTCCCAAGCTCCCACCACCACTTATACACCCCACGTACGGCACAATCCAAGAATGGGGCCGAGCCCCCTACGCCGACTCCGAGCCCGGCCACCGCCACATCTCGCACCTTTACGCCCTCTACCCCGGATCGAGCATAGCCGCCGCCTCCACACCCCGCCTGGCTGCTGCCGCACTAGCAACTCTAGAGCGCCGTCTCGCCCACGGCGGCGGGCACACGGGCTGGAGCCGGGCCTGGCTCATCTGCTTCTTCGCGCGGCTCCGCAAGCCCGCGCAGTGTCTTGAGAATATCCGGGCGCTGCTGCGCGACAGCACGGTACCGAATATGATGGATAGCCATCCGCCTGTACAGCTGGACGGCAATTGGGGAGGCTGCGCGGGGATTTTGGAGTGCCTGGTGCAGTCGCATGAGGTGGTGGAGAGGGATGGGAGAGAAGTTAGGGTGATTAGGATTCTGCCTGCATGTCCGGAGGAATGGTCTGCAGGGACAGTGAGAGGAATTAAGGCGAGAGCTGGTTTCGAGGTTGGGTTTGAGTGGGAGGATGGGGCGGTCAAGGGGAAGGTTGAGGTGAGGAGCAGGTTGGGGTATGAGGTAGTGGTTTGCGTTTATCGGTGTGGAGACGATGACGCAGTGGATGGGGTGGAGTATTTGATTACTGGGAAAGGTGATCATGAAATACTTGTAGGAGACGGTTGCGAGAGGAGCAAGCTACAATGATCATTTATCAGCTTCACGCTGATGCGTTCGTGGATAGAGTTTAATGGCTTGTGGCTATTACAATATGTACGTGCGTAGACCTATGCATGGCACGGGATGAAGACGTCTGACTCTTCCATTAAAGGTGTCAAAGAACAGTAGAAGTGAGAAGATAAATTACAACCATATAGACGTAAGTGCCCTGGCACAGAGGGATACTATCGATCGAGCGCTTGCGCTTGACACTGTATTACAAGTTAGCAAATTGTGCGAATATGTTCGGCGGGTGTTACTGACCATCTGGTAGTATACGCCCCTCTTTCTCAACAAAGCCTGGTGATCCCCCTTCTCGAGCACCTTCCCACTTCCCAGAACGAAGATCACATCCGCGTTCTGGATTGTCGCCAGACGATGCGCGACCGCGATGACTGTGCGCCCGCCCTCGCCTGCGGCTCGCTCAATCGCCTCCTGAACCAGCTTCTCGCTCTCACTGTCCAACGAACTCGTCGCTTCGTCGAGTAACAAGAGTTTGGGACGGCGTAAGAGGGCACGTGCGAGCGACAGACGCTGCTTCTGGCCACCAGAGAGCGACATACCCTTCGGCCCAAGCCGTGTCGCATACCCATCCGGCAACGACGTGATGAACTCATGGATCTGGGCATCCGCACAAGCAGCCTGAATATCCTCATCCGTCGCGTCGTCCACGCTTAGCGCCACATTCTCCCTGATCGTGCCCTCATACAGCGTCGGCTCCTGGCTCACGAGACTAATGTTTTGGCGATACTCGTCCGGATCCAGAGTTGTGATATCTTGCCCATTATATTCTACTTTTCCCGACGTGGCGTCATAGAAGCGCTCGAGGAGGGAGATGGTGGTCGATTTGCCGCATCCTGATGCGCCGACTAGAGCAGCAAATTGGCCAGGCTGGATGGAGATGTTGAGGTTATTGAGGACGGGAGTGGGACGCAATTGATAGGTGAATTGGACGGAGCGGAAGTCGATGGCAACGCCGGAGGGAGAAGGCTCTATGGGTGCGTAGGTCGGAGGTGGGGCATCGCGCGCGGGGCGCATACTGAGGATTCGATTTGCAGCGCTGGTGGCTTGGGCGATGTCTGTAAGCGCTATAAGCTTGGAAGATCAGGTTCTTGTGGATAGAAGACATACTTGGCGCGAAGGAGAACCACATTCCTGCCGCGACGGCGCCTTGGACGATGGACATGTAAATTACGAAGAAGTCGGTGACCTCGTACTCTCTGGAGGCTAGCAGGGTTCCACCATACCTGTGAGACTCAGCGACGATCTATCGAAGTGTTGTGCATATGTCAAAGAATGCTAAAGACTTACCAGAAGGACAATGCCATGCATCCTAGCTCAACACTGTCCGAAGCGGCAAAGACAACTGTTCCGAGCCTCGCATCGCTGAAAGCCTTCTTCACGTGGTACCGTAGCAGCGTCTCGTATCTATTGCCGATCATGTCTTCCATGATCAATGAAAGAACTGTCCTAAACGCCCCCACAGCCTCAGTCCCAAACTGCGAGCTCTCTTCGAATACAGCAGCATTGGTCTTTTCGAACTTTTGTTCGATGCTGAGGCGGAGGTATCCCGCAGCGAGAATCGGAGGTAGCGCGGCGAAGAGGCCAACAAGAGATAGTTTCCATCCGTACACGAAGGCGATGATTGTGGAACCAACCAGGTTGACCACAGCTATGGCCGCCATCGACATCTCAGTGCTCATGAGTTGCTGGAGCTGTGTTGCGTCACCGCTTACTCTGGACGTCAATGTTCCCGCCGAATGACCTTCGCGATCGAAGAACGGTATGCGCTGCCTTATCAAGTTGAGGAGATACTCTTGTCTGTAGTGACGGGTAATGGCGATGGAAATCATGTGAGTGCAAAAGCCGATAGCGAAGTACGCAATCCCGACGCCAGCAGCTTCGATGCCGAACATGCCGGCCCAGAAATAACCCTTCTGCACAAAAGATTGACCACTCAAGGTGAAGACTTGAACAACATTGGCAAAGACGTATGCCTGTATGGGATACACAGCTCCAGCGCCGAGGATACCCACGAAGGCGAGCAAATATAGGACAGTGTGGTGACGTTGTTCCAATATCATACGCCCACCGGTACTCATGAAACTCTTGTCAGTCCACTCCGGCTCATCTTTTGATGCTGGACGATCTTCTTCTGTTTCCACGATGTCGGATTTTTCGGTCTCAGCGGTCTTCGATTTTCGCAGCGGTGCATCTGCAAGCTCTTCATCTGCTTCCATAGCAAGGTTCTGAGCGTAGACGAGACTATGATAGACGCCGTCTTCAATCTTAACGAGTTCATCGTGGCTACCCTGCTCAACGAGTTTTCCTTGTCGCATCACTATAATCTTATCAGCGCGCTTGATAGTTGACAGACGATGCGCGATGACAATGGTCGTTCGATTCTTCGAGACACGGTCCAGGGCATCCTGCACGATCCGCTCGGTACGAACATCGATCGCACTGGTGGCTTCGTCGAGAATCAGGATGGGCGGCTGCTTGACGATACTTCTAGCGATCGCGATTCGTTGTCGTTGTCCACCTTCATGCGATTAGCGTAAGTGTTTTGCACACAGTCAATCCTTGGAGAACTTACCGGATAGCTTGATGCCACTCTCGCCCACCATGGTGTCATAGCCTTGCGGCAGTCTGTCTATAAATTCATCTGCGTAAGCCTCTTTGCAAGCTTCCTTGACCATCTTCATTTTTTCTTCTTTCGTCAAGTCTTGCCATTTCGTTCCACAGAGACCAAATGCGACGTTGTTAAAGAGGGTGTCGTTGAATAGGAATGGCTCCTGTTGCACAAGCCCAATCTGGGAGCGCCACCATTTGAGATCAACCTGGAGAAGGTCTATGTTACCAATACGCACGGTACCTGTACATGTATTGGGCCCTGAAGACGTTCATAGTAAGCGAACTGCTTGCAAAGCTCCCAACGGAGCGTGACTCACCGAGGTTGACTTCCTCTTCTTTCTCGCCCGACTTGACCAACTTCTTGTCCTTGTTCTTGCCTTTCCTCCACCCCTTCTTCTTCTTCTTCGTTTTCTCATCCTGAATGGGTTCTTGTCCAACCAGATCCGCCGGTGCGGAATCCTCGGTCTTGTCTTTGGTCACCTGCTTAGCAACCGTACCTGATAGGTCGTACCACCGTTGTATGAGACCGACAATAGTGCTCTTTCCGGAACCAGAAGGACCAACAATAGCTGTGAGCTTCCCAGCTTCAAATGTAGCGTTGAGACCATCGAGGATCTGCACGTTCGGACGGCTCGGATACGAGAAGGCAACATTTTCAAACGAAATGGATTGCTCAGAGGATATCTCTGGTTCTTTCAGGCCAGAAATATCGGGGACTGGGAAATCGATAGTGGCGAAGATCTCGGAGGCAGCCGTCGCAGCTTTGGTTATGGCTATGAATGGGCCTGCTACGCGCCCAATCAGCAGGACCGCCGTCATTACAGAGAAGAGGACCCTGTGTGGATTAGCACAGTCGAAGAAGTCGGTAGCGGCCGAAGAGATGACACGAGCCATGATCACTTCCCAGCTTGAAACGCAAGGATAAAGCCACTTACACGACGATGTCTCCGATGTTTGAAGTATGTCCGTGCTCGTACTGTCGCACTCCAAACCAAAAGGTTAGTCCGAAGGTGCCGTACATCGCCATCATGGAAGGAGCCATCACTAGGCCCATCCAAGGAGCTACTTTTCTGCCCTGCTTTTTCGCATTGTCCAAGAGCACTTCGTGTTGTTTAGCTAGTTTTGCCTGTGCGCCGAATGCTGCCACGATGCGGATCGAAGAGAATATCTCGTATGCGACCGCAGATGCCTTCTCGAGGATCGCCTCTGTAGCCTTGGCTTCTTTCATCAGCGGTGGAACTATGATTCCGTACGTGATGAAGATGAATGGTAGCGAGATGCTAGCGATAAGAGTGAGAAGCGGTCCTTTGACGAACGCAACCACATATAGACCGATTGTGAAAGCGAGAGATTGGAAGAGCAGAGCGAGTTGTTGCGAGATACCGAGTTGAATCGTGTTCGATGAGGTGGTGATGCGCGTCGAAACTTTACCAGGTGAGATCTATGGAACGTCATGAATGGTGAGTGTGTATTCCCTGCAATCGATCTGGGGTCAACTTACAGTGTCAATGACGCTTACGGGTTGCGCAAATGTCGCCCTCAGGTAAGCTAATCGAAGCGCAGCACTCATTCGAAGTCCACTGATCCGTATTGTGAACATCGAAATGTAGGACATGCCGAATTTGGCTATGAAGAGATAGACAATGTACAGGGCCTGCTTGTTGACTTCTGACATGAATTCCTCTTTGGTCACTGTCGAATTGGGGAGAAAGTAGTCTGTAAAATGACCAACGAGCTGGCCAAAAACTATGTTCATCAAAGGCATTGTTATTCCTGCGCCGATCGATGTGAGAACACAAAGGGCGATAAACAATGCGTCCAGCTTCGTGCCATACGTGAATACTCGCTGAGAGCATGAGTGAGACGAAGCCTAGTGCTTGGTACGCGACTTACAAAATAGTTGCCCAGTCCAGCATCAGCTTTCTTCTTTTTAGTCAGGCCATCCTCGCCATCGTCCACAACAACGTCTTGTGATTTATCTATGTCCACTGCTGCCTCCTCGACTAGCTGGATCTGCTCTGCGGGATTCTGCGCAATCGCCGCAGAAGGAGATGGCAAATGGGCATCTTTTTCGACACTCATCGTGAGTAAATCAAGACGCAGATAGAGAGGTTGTCAGAGTGTGTCAGTGAAGCGAACCCATGAGCGCCGGACAAAGTTGAGGGACAAATTGCTGATGCCTGGGGAAGTTGCGCGTTACAATGCTTGGAAGGAGAATACGAGATACGGCAGCCAATTGACTTCGCGACGATGCCCGGAAGGGGTAGTAAGCTCGCCACGGCGGGTCGACAAGAGCAGAGGGGTGGAGCTCGCGTTTGAGAGCCGGCTCATTCGCATGCAGCTCCCTTATATCCTCTGCCCTGCCAGGAAATCAGCAAATGGAAACGATGGCAAGCGCGTGTTCCATCGCATTTCGACGCTAATCCCAAAAGGAGCGAGGAAATGCGAGGTTCCGTGCGCCGCCTCTCGACGTGAAAAGGCCAGCTGCAGGCACCGGCGTTTTCGCCTCGCAGAATCTCGACGGAAGGAGGGTTCCAGCCGGCTTTCGAGTCGCAAAGAGTCATAGGCAACGCAATCTGGTCTCGCAAGTCCTATTGAGGACGTGAACTGCGAACCTCCAGCGGGCAGGTACGGGGTAATGCGCTAGGCGAACGGGTGATCCTCAGCGCCAAGCCATCGGCACTCAGCATACGAGTCGCCGTGTTTACTTCATCGCCGCCGACTCTCACACCGCACCACTTGGCGCTCATGGCCTCACAATCTCGCCGCAAACCCTCCCACCCGGCGCTGAAGCAGGCAATCCAAGTCGTTTGCGAAAACACGTAAAGGTATAGTCCGAGACGGATACATGTGATTTGCACTAATCGCCACTACACGGCGCTTGCCTGTTTGGGAGAATCTCCTGGCCAAGCATAAACCCGACCATGCAAATTCAAAGCGCGCTCGGTTGGCACTGTTTTACCGTTCACCAACGTCACTTGCTGTGCAGAGCTAATCAATGAAGAAGTTATGTCTTTCTCTGGGCCTTCGTCAGGTTGATTCAGAGCATCGCCAGCTATCTGCCACCCCACGAAGAAGCGTTGCTAGCTCTCCCCTGCAAACGAATGCTTTACACTCTCGGTCCTGGCTCATGGAATACGCTCTCCAACTTGCTCAAAGAGCGCAAGATGTTCATGTGCTTGCTAGAGCGTGATCTACCGGCTACTACGCGTGCAACTATCACCTACGGCGCAAACTCTCCCACAGCTACCCTTCCAACTTGATGGACAATTCAAGGCGTCATGATTCGTAACGCTTTCGAGCATGGTGACGGATCTGAAGTTTACTTTCCGGAATCCATGCCGGAGCCGCAGTTACACTATGATTAGTATGAGATAGGGCAAGAGGACATAAATTTGAAGAGCTGCATCTTCCCCAGGCTGAATTAGTCCAGGGAGGATTGACTACCACGGTGCTTTCGATTGCGATTTTCTTTATTTCGGATGACGCAGGCTGTAGATAATTTTCTTGCCCCACTAACTGACAAATGGATCGTAGGGAGAATAGCGCTCCCGCGAAACCTCTACACTCACTCCCTTTGCCAATATCTTTTCCATCGAAACCAGTGATACTCAGTCCTCCGGCGCACCCACCCCGCCGACACCCACCAACACCCCCGCCAATACATACGCCCCCACAACCTGACTAACCGCACTCACACCATCCCTCCCCAACACCCCCACCGCACCTTCAAACACCGTATCACTCACCTTCCCATATCCCCTCGCCAGCTCCAGTCCCAGACGATACACGACGTTTTCCTTCTCACCCAGCCCCGCTACGTCCTTCCCCTCAAGCGCCGCAGAGATTTGGGAATCGGAGAGGCCTGCGGAGAGTCCGGCTTTGCGATGCGCGTACGCTACATATTCGGACTTTGTCACGCTCGTGGTCGCGATGATTGCGAGTTCGCGCTCGCGGGGGGTCAGGAGGGGCGTCGTGTTCACCTTGACCGCGAAGGCGAGATACGGGGCGAGGACATCTGGCGTATATGACAGCGCACCAAAGGGACCGAGTAAGTTGCCGGCCGCGTCTTTGAGCTCGATGCCGGGCCCGAAGGTGTCGCGGACTGCTTGCTCTGCTGCTTCGAGATCGGCTTGTTGCGCGGGTGTGAGAGCGGTTGCTGGGAACCGGGGGGTGGACATTTTGGTTGGATCGGAAACGCGGTGTGTTATCAGACGTAGAGAGGGTAGGGGGATCAGAGTGTTGTGCTTTCACGTTCGCGGTTGGGGGTGGATGTACCTGTGTCTACGGGTGGTGGAGCGTCATGTGGAGGCAGGGTTGGAGTAAGCGGCGAGGGTAAGCGGACGCCCGGCTTGGATCGGTGTAAACTTCAAAGGCAGTTTTGGGGGCCATGTGAGCGGCGTTGTTGTCAGTTTGAGGGGTTGTATGGCAAGCGTAGCACGGTACTGAGGAGAGGGCAAGCGTTCACATCCACGCGCTTATACACCTGAGGCTGTATCTCGACGCGGGACTGCAAGTGATGTTAACGTTAACTTTTCAGTCCAATCGCTACTTTCGAGAGTGCATCTACGACTTCTTCGTCTCCGCAGCAGCTTTCCTCTCACAGTCGCTCAATCCCTGTTCTTAAGCTCGTCCAGCCGCTCCTTCAGCTTCTCCCACCCCGCGCTATCCTCCCACGCCTCTTTCGCCTTGCCCATCACACTCCTCACTGCACTCCTAGCTTTGAACTTCCAATCCTTTGCCACCAGCTCCCCACTCCCTGCGCCCAGTCCCTCCGTCCGCTCCCTCGGTCCCAGCGTCTCATAAGCATCCACCAGATCCACCGTCTGCTGCACGACCCCATCCCACTCCTTCTCCCCCTTAGTCTCCCAATTCGGCTGGCTCGTCACCGCCCGCCACGCCTTCTCGTGGCACTCGAGCGCCGACCCAGGCCGGCTGCTGTGCATGTACAGCGTGGCCAAGGTGTTCCACAGCGTGGGAGACACAGTAATCAGCGGCTTGATGTGCTTCTCGACGAGCTCGTTGACCATGCGGGGCAGCCCGGGCTTGCTGACATCAAAGCCACCGTCGGCCTGGACGACGTGGCGCACGAGGAGCTCGAGCAGCTCGTCGTCGACGCACGCCTCGCCATCGGTGGCGCCGCGGATCTCGCAGATGCGGCGCTGCGCGTTGACGACGTCGGACCAGGAGGGCGGGTTCGTAGACCCCGCGACGGCGAGCACGTTGGACCAGATGCGGTAGTTGTCGTGCTTGAGGGCGGCGGCGCGCTTGAAGGCTTTGAGAGCGTCGGTGCGCGGGTGGTTGGTGACTTTGGCTTCGGAGAGCTCGCCGTCCTCGTTTGTGGATGTTTTGGGGCGGAGATGGAGGAGGGCGGCAGCGAGGTTGCTCCAGGCTTCGGCGTCTTCATCGTCGAGTTGGACGCAGCGGGAGAAGGCTTCCACGGCGTCTTTGAAGCGAAGGAGCTCGAGATAGGCGCAGCCGAGGGCGAACCAGGCGGGATGGTTTAGAGAGTTGGTCTTGAGAGATAGCTCATACGCTTCTGCGGCTTCCGCATATTCCTTACGTGAAAAGTATCGTTGACCCAGCGAGCGCTGTGCACGACCATATCGCTTGCCTGAAACCTCCCACGCCTTCTGGTACATGGCCACATCTGCATCGATATCTCCCAGGATACAGTAAAGTCGTGGGGCTTCTCCGGGGGCTGGATCACGTTCTGCGCCTTCCCACTTCTCCTCGTCGGGATCGGCCGCCTCATCGTTGCCATTCGTTGCATGGAACAGCTGCCTTCGAATGATACGCTTGGCTTTTTCCTCTTTCTCAGTCGCAGCATAACACAACGCGGCCTCGGCCCACATTTGCAAGCGCTCGTAGATCTCCAGCGCAGTCCGCAGACCGCCCAGGCTGACCCATCGGGCGGCGAGCTCGGCCTCTAACTCCCAGCGCGACGGAGAACATAGCGAAAAAACATATCTTAGACGCTCGTTAACTGGGGCGGATTCGCCTTCTTGTGCCTTCGGCAGGAACGAAGTCACTTGAGTACCAGTTTCCGCGTCCGTGGTCGCTTGACCAGAGGTGTCCGCGATAACCTGGTCTACAAGGGCCTGCAATTGTAGAAGTCCTCTTTCCATGGTTCGAGATTTGTAACCCTCAATGCGACTTCGAACAAGCAACGCTTGGGTATAGACCTGCCAGTTCGAGCTCCCGCCTTCTAAGACTCGCGTAGCATACGGGATCGTCTCCTCTCTTGTGATGCCATCGGCGGGGTTAGTGTTAGTGATGGAAGACGCCAGCTCGAGCAGGATCACCGAGTCCAGAGGGTCTAGTTTGGGTTGGTTCTCGGGGTCCAGGGACGCAAGACTAGCCGGCAACGAAGATTCGTTTTGAATCTCGGTTGGCGCGGCCTTAGTGAAGGAAATCGACTCGAACAAAGTATCGTCATTCAAATCCAGAGCCTTAGGCTTCGACGCTGTTTCTTCGGATGATCCGGTTGTCTCCGAACCTGCACTGCGCGCCAATACCAAAAGCTGGCTGGTATCCTTCTGCTGGAACTTCGTCCGCTTGCCCATCAACCCAGTCAGAGCGAATTCAAACTTCCTCTCTGAAGTTGCCTGGTCAAGATCGGCCTTCGCTTTCTTGTCGAAGCCATGGTGGGTATGAATAGCTGCCCGCTCCAGCAAGAAATGAACATGCAAATCCTTCGCCTCCTTTTCTGGAGACCTGGATAGGATCATGCGCTCGACTGTCGCCAGGTCATCATAGATAGCCTTCTGCAGTGAGGGCGCCGGCTCTGACAGCAACCGCTGGTGGATGAAGTTCACTCGCAGTCTGGCCCAGAATGAGTGCTCCACGTATTTCTGGATTGGGGGAGAAACCAGGATGGTTTCTGCAAGACAAAGAAGCTCCATGTTAGGTGTCAGCGCAAACGCTGCGACGCCATCCGCACTAAGAGAGGCAACGAGATCGGCTCGCAGCTTGCTCAGTGCTGTGGTGCTCGATGTGATATCCTTCGGAAGCAGTATTTCAGCCGAAGTGAACGGGAGCGGAGGCCCCGTGACATTAGACTGCAGGAACGCATAGAGCGCGGCAACCGCCGCCAGGAAGAACAGGTTCTGGCGATAGGCAGGCGTCTGTTCAATCGGAACACCAGTTTCTCCGGTTCGATTTGACAGGATCAAACCCAGGCGGTGGAAGATGTAATCACTCCATGACGGGAAGTCCTTGAGCTGGGTACTCCGCGTGTTGTCGTCGTCCTGGTGGCCTAATAGAATTTGAATTTCGGGCGTTTGGAGTACCGTTAGAAAATCTCCGCTTTCGACGGCTTTCAGAGTGTCTCCGAGCACGCTGGCGAGCTCTTCGGGCAGAGCGCTCCGGAAATAATCAAGAAGGACGTCTCCCATTTTCGCAATATCTCTTGAATCCTGCAAATACCGCGAGTTGTCAAATATCACACGTTGGGCAACGATGTATTTGATGGTGGAGAAAATTAGGCGGTGGCGCGCTAGCTGCTTTAGTCATGCGGGAGAAGCAAATGGAAATGGCAGCAGCGAGTAGAGGTTATACAACGATAACAGGTGGTATTTCATAATTTTGCGAGACCATACAGCCGAAACCGTATACTCTTGAGAGTTTTATAGAAATCTTTCATTACTCATTATAATCCGATCGCGGGGCGTCAGATCGAAGACAACTACTCATTGAAGACATGGACTGACTTCCAACAAGACAGTGGACATTACACAAACTAGAGACAACTTGAGAGACTCCAACACAAACCGAGGCGCCTGTAGCCACAGTACCTCAGAAATCACAGCACAGACACCCTAGTCCGAATCGCTGCTAGACGAGCTGCTAGATCCGCCGCGGCTCTTCGACCTGTGCTTCTTGTGCTTCTTGTGCTCCTTGCCGCTATGGCTGCCGGCATACAGTCCACCTAGTCCGGCGCTGCCAGCGTATGAGGCACTGTGGTGCGAGCCGCTGCCGTGCTTCTTATGCTTCTTCTCCTTCCTGTGGCACTAGTCAGTAACACTTCAACATTTGGAGTCGCATTGCGAGCTTACTTTTTGTCTTTCTTGTCCGAGAGCATGTTCGCGCCCACAGCACCTGCCACGAGGCCACCAACAGTGCCCAAGACGCCGCCACCCATCTTGTTGGCCAGGAACGCGCCGCCCGCACCTCCGATTAATGTCGAGCCAAGACCGCGGTCGCCCTCCGCAGGACCTCCTGGACCTCCGGGTGCTCCATACTGGCCCTGGCCCTGGCCGTACTGGTCATGCTGGCCGTATTGACCTTGCTGTGGCTGGTGTTGGCCGTAGCCCTGGTCGCCGTATCCTTGCTGCGCCGGCGCACCGTAGTGCTGCTGCTGCTGTTGCGGGGGGTAGGGAGAGTGTCCGCGGTTCTGGTCGTAGCCTTGGTTGTAGTCGCCCTGGGGTGGCGCGCCGTAGCCTTGCTGTGGGGGCTGATATGGCGATTGCGCCGGGGGGTAGGGGCTCTGAAGAGCATCAATATACGGGCAGTGACGAAAGAATGGTCGCGCTTACATGCTGCTGTTGGTGCTGGGGAGGGTACTGGCCTTGCCCCTGGCTATACTGGTCGTGCGGCTGCTGGCCGTACGCCGGCTGCTGAGGGGGGTAGTTGTGGCCTTGCCCTTGCTGGCCATACTGCTGTTGCGGCGGGTGCTGGTTGTGAGAACCGTCCCCGCCGTAGTAATCGTAGCTGCTCATAATGGTGGTCACAAGGCTTGGTGAGGTGTCGTGGAGGTGGTAGAATAGAAAGGGGTCGAGGGGCGGAGAGTAGTAAGAGCTGATGGCGGGGGAGGGGTTGGACAATCACACGGCTTTAAAGTAAGACGTGCGGCGTGTGTCAGCAGGGGAGGAAGCGCCACATGGACGGGGAACGTCACTTGGGCAGGCGGTGGTGCCCGAGCCGCAGCATGGCGTTTACTGGAAGGTGCGGCTGAGCTGCGCGCGTTTGGGAGCGAGTGCAGCTGGATGCGCGCGTTGAGTTGCGACGACGAGGCTCGGAGGTACTACACAGCCACCTGCGCCACACTTCCCCTCGGGCGTCCCTCCCAACGGACAGCGGATGCCCAACCAACCGAGCTCTCCGAGGGAGCCAAGCGCACGCGTATCGAGAATGTGCGATTGTTCCTTACGCTAATCGATGTCGGTATACGTCGCGGGGTAAGACAGACGTGGTCTCGCAGGCGAACACCGGCGATGCTAGATGCGGTCAAAGCTGTGGACGTACACCGAATACGGTTGGCCAGGGCTGAAGATTATTTCCGTCTCGCATGGACGGCATACTGTCGGAATTAGTCAGCACGGTAGTAAGAGACTCCTGAGGAAATCTGGTGATATCCTTCACTTGCTGTGAACAGCACTAGTGTAGAGCACACTTCTGGGGTGAGAAGCGCAAAGAAGACAGAATGTTGGCTGTATGCACAGTATTCTACCCCGCTACGTCATGTCTTTGTATGTCTTCCAGCGATTGATACCAGGCTGCTGTCGGGGCCATGAATCTCGCCGGCATCGCCTATTCAAAGCTCAAGAAGGCTCCTGGTTGCCAACTGATATGCATAAACATGTCCCAAGACTCCAACTATGTGTCGACTGTCACGAAACTCACGAAAGGGCTGAAGCCGTCATGAGGACACCCTAGGGCAGAGTGATGGGAGACGAAAGGGCTGCTCAGGTGTAGATAATGGGCTATATCCATCGTGGAGCAGCACGAGTCGTTGTCTGGCTTGGAAGTCTGACCCCGATCCTGGAATCTGGTCTGGATGCATATCCCGAGGCGGTGAGAGGAGACATGGCAAAACGGCAGGACCCAAAGTCCACCGCAACAGAGAGCAAGACGCCTGGACCTTCAGCTGCAGGTGCAAAGAAGGGCGAACCTGGGAACAAAAGCGCGGTCGATTTCGATGAGTTTGCCAAGGACGTAGCAATGCTCACCATGATGGTGCTTTTCCTGACTCGACGCTGGTCGCAGACTGTGGACTGTCCAAGAGTGCTGCCTCGCTCGAGACGCAGTGTTCCCGATCGATACAAAAGAATTTGACCTGCACCTCATGCATCAGGCACTCCAAATTGAGAAAGTCTTCAAACCTTCGATGGCGGTACCGGAGTCCTACAATGGAGGAGGTTTCAAGGGAAAACTCTTCACGTGTTCCGTGACATTCAAGAAGTGGTTCGCACACGAGAGGTCGGCATTCAGAAGGAACATGCTGAGACACGCAAGGAATATATGGCAAGGAGGAAAGTGTCTATGCAGATCGAGAGGAAGAAAGTGGAAAGGCTTGGGGTGGAACTGAAGAATATTCGAGAGACGAGGGGGAAGAGGAGTGGGTGGCAGCTTCTGGGAGAGGTGTACGTCGAAGGTGTCATGAACGGCGAAGTTGCGGACACCATGACCCAGAGGATGGAAAGATGTAGCTTCGAGTGGAACCGGTGAGAGAATTGAGGGGTCTCCCACCTGAGGCATGGAGAAGGACCAGTCTGCCCTGGGCAAGCCCCTTGCTCCTTTGGAAATACAGGAACACTACATCTAAAGCTCCCAGCCACCCCACCTTCTTATCCCCAAACCCGCGCAAGTACTTACGCAAGCACCTTCGCCGCACGACACAGAATCGCCACTGAGGGATACGACGCCGCCCAGAACGCTACCGTGCGCAAATAGCTGGTCTTCCTCCGACTCGTCCTCAGGTAAAGGTAATTATACGCCACCCTCGCACCCACATGCACCATGGTATAATAGTCCATGCTCGCCTTAGGTTCCTTCATCAAGTAGCCAAACACCTATGCCCACCGGTTAGCCCATCCCTCTCCCATCTCTGCGGCAATTCACAAGGTAAGAACAGAACGTACAACAGCGACCCCCCAAACGCCCCACCACTCAAACCCATTTTGCTGCGCAGCTTGGCCTCTCAAAATCGTCTCCTCGACCTCGCTCAGTTTCTTGCCGCTCGCAGCCTTGGCATTCAGGCGCGCCACAAAAGCGCGCGGGTTCTGATTTGTCCAGCCGCCTTGGACTTTTTGGGACTGCGCAAGGTAAATGGTGTACCAGTGAGGCAGGGCCGAGAGGAGGAGGGTGAAGGGGAGGGAGGCGATGCTGAGGTTGATGGAGTCGAACATGTTGAGGTTGGTGATTGGGGTTGAGGTTGGGGTATTAGATTCAGATGGCGATATGGTAGTGGGAACTGAGAAATAAGGTTGGCTCACAGACAGGGGATACGGAGCATAGATGTAGTGACAGGCTTTTGATATTTTTAATTTTCCTGTTTGGGAACCGAGGTACCGAGGTTTTTTGTAGCTTGCTGGTGTTCGCACAAGTAGGGCCGATAGCTGTACCTCAACGTTCCGTGCATATATGAGGCGTGCAGCGTGCTATGCCATAATCCTACGTGCAGTCGGTCGGAGCTAGAAGAGCACCGTTTCTCAAACGCATATTCTGCAAAGAGAATACCGCGCACTTGCAGCAAACTCCATGCTAGTGCTGCCATGGCCATTCGAGCGCGCAAGCAATGAGGAATTGAGCGCAGAAAACCTTGGCTCCAGCAACTTAGAGCTGAAGGCGCGGACGGATGCGCAGCCGTCTGATGGCTGCCATAGAGAATTCAGCGAACTACACACAGCTGGTGTACTAGGCCCAGACGGCTATCCAAGACATTGGTATCTTCCGTTGCTTTTGGGAGCGTCGCTTTGAGAGGCTGCAAACCTTGGGGCTGGTCCAACCATCGCACTGACCCTTGCCCTAAAAGATCGGAGGCCTGAATCCTCCATCGGAGTGCGGTCGTACACCAACCTCGGAGCGTTGTTCTCGAAGACGCGGATCCGTACAGACTCTCCGTATGGTTCATTGGTAATCCAGGATGGCATTCACCTCTTCCGTGTCCGTTTCGGAGCTGGCTGTGCTTTGCCTTTGTTCCTGTTGGTCCTACGGGTGCTGGGGGCGGTGTCTTCTTCGGATTCGGAGCTGGACTCGTCTTCGTCCTCGTCGTCATCTTCCTCTTCTTCTGCAGAGTCGGAGACGGCAGACTGAGCTTTGGTGTTCTTTGCAGCCTGGCCTCTGCCTGCTTTCGCGCCCTTGGCAGCTCCCTTGGTTGCGCGCGTGCCCTTCCCTCTCTTGGACGCCGATGTTGCCTCTGCGGCGCTTTCGGTCAGCTGCGACAGGATGCCATCGGGCTGGTCCTTTAGCAGGCCCATGTCGGGCACATAGAGCAGCTTCTCGTCGTCGGCGGCGAGCGTGGGCGGGGAAGACGACGCCTCGGAATCCGGGCCGTGGAAGCGTCGCTCCCAGATCATGTCGCCGAACTCGTCCTCTGGGAGTTCGAAGTCGGGAATGGCGGGCGCCTCGTCTGGGTCAAGCGGGTCCGGGTCGTCGCTGAAGGTGTAGGCGTCCTCACGCTCGTCCAAGGCGCGCAGGTCGTACAGGGAGGCGACCTTGCTCCAGATGGCGGGGATGCGCGTGTGGGGAGCGTCGTCGGCGGCGAAGCCGTGCGAGCGCAGGTCGGCGTGGATGGAGATCATGCGGAAGTGCTTGTGGAGGCCTGCGGGGACTCATCAGTGCATCGCTCCTTCCTGCAGCCTTGGACCCGGGCAGTGGCTGTACCTGTCGGCTTCCACTTCATCATGCTCTTGAACAGCTGCGTCTCCTGCTCGTCGGCCCACGCATCGTTGAGCAGCTCCTGCTCCGCCGTCGCGCCCGTGTCCTGCGGTGTTCTGGGCTGCGCGTCGGGGCGGGGCGTCGACGCGGCGCTGGCTTTGGCTTTCTTGCGCGGCGGCATCGGGTCGCGGTTGTTGTGGTGTCGTGCAGCTGGGCCAAGCGTGGTTGCAGAGCTTCGGAGGAAAGCACCAGGCTCGCGTATTCGTGCCTCGTAGGGCCGACGTTTGGGCGTTTGGCGTCATGCCGAGGCCCCTCACCGCTGCGGCTTTGTGCGCAACACTCCTCAATGGGCGATGACGGAGAAGACCACGATGCCTTTGCGACGGACGGCCTGTGGAAACCCTCGTCCTTCTTCGAAGACCCCGCGACGCACAAGACGTCGCTGTTCGCGCCCATACAGCTCGACGGCAAGTCTCGTCGCGTGTCGCACTCACGCGTCGCGCCCTGCTAACGGTGAGCAGTGCCCCAGATAAAGCTCCACCATCCGTATGCGCCTACCAAACCCCTCGAACAGGAGCTGCGTCTGCCTGACATTGAGTCTTTCGAGTTCGGACCCCTTCCTGAGCTCGATGGCTTCGATGAATCTTCGGTATCCATCGACACCCCCCCGCCACCACACGAGGACGATGTCTGGGAAGTTGCTTTGGAGTTAGGCCCTGCAAATAAACACATAACATTCTTCACATGGGAATGGTTCGAAAATTCAGAGCACGTGGAAACAAATACACCGTACATCACAGAGTCTGGTCCAGCTGCCTTCGACGCAGCTCTCGTTTCTGACGATTCCAAGACGACTGCTGGACGCGTTATCAAGGACCGTGTGCTGCTAGAGTCTCTCTGGAATCTCGGTCTGGGACGGTCTTCCATCCTTTTCTCCTTCAATGCGAAATTGCGCTCCTTCGAGTCCGCCATAGCAGACGGTAGAGCCTCTGGCGTCAGCCCTCGCACAGCCCAGAGCGTCACCAACCAGTTCATCCATACCGGGAACACCTTCCTCCACCTCCGCTCATTCGTGGAGCGCACTTTTGCTGCTGCCGACTCTATACCCGCGAGAGTCGCCTTGGCCACAGCCGTCTCGAGCCTTCTGTCGACCTTCGAAGAACATCTCGGTCGTCAGTCCAACAACATTAGATCGGTACTGCAACTACAACGTCTCTTTGCCAAACCACGGGAGATACTAACCCATGTTGCAAAGACTGTTGACAATGTGAAACATGCGAGAAGCAATGAACAGCTATCTTCGCTGATCCATCATCGTCTCCTGGAAGCCGAAGAGGGAGATACTTACATTCGCAAATTATCGTGCCAGATCCTGCGCCAGGTCGCGCAGCCAAGCATTGATCTGTTGAGCGAATGGGTTGGCATTCGGCAAGAGCAGGAGACGGTCCCATTCGCAGATCGAGGCGGCTTCGTGGCTGTCAATGATAATCCGGAGCAGCAAGGCCCCACCGAGTACATATATCGCTCGGAGCTAATGCCTCGGTTTGTTAGTCCTGAAGATGGGAACACTGTGTTTGAGACCGGCAATGCTCTTCGGTTTTTGAAGTATCATCATCCGGAGCACCCACTGGCGTCGCTGCACAAATTTGATGTGCAGTCGCCGCAACTGGAGTGGAAGTTCGACTGGGATGATATCGAGACTATCTCGACCAAAGCGAAGGCATATGAGGAAGAGCTTCGGAAAGCTATACTGGAGTTCTCGAATGGTACATCGACCCAGAAACACAAGATAATCGGTGCCAAAGACAGCTGTTGTCTGCAGCCCACAGACCATGAGGAATATCTTCAAGACTCCATGCGATTCCTTGATGGTCCACCCAAGCAGCTGTCAAGTGAACTGCCTGACGAACTAAAAGTTCTGACAGAACAAGTACTGCGAGGCCGGGAAGGGTCTCACTCAGCGGGCACCGATACCTTCTCACCACCGCTGTCAATAACTTCAACATTGTCCTTTGGACCTCTTCTGTCAGCTCAGGCAAAGCTCGTCAATGCGACCACTGTGCGTCTCTTTTTCCGTTCGCACAAGCTTCGTCTGCATCTTGCCCTGCAGCGGCAGTACCAACTCTTCGGCGACGGCGTTTTCTCGTCCGGCCTGGCTTCAGCTCTCTTCGACCCTGAGCGCGAGAGTGCTGAACGGCACAAAGGCCAAATGCGAAGCGGTGTCCACATGGGACTGCAGCTGGGCGCTCGCGAAAGCTGGCCGCCAGCAAGTTCCGAATTACGACTTGCCCTCATGGGTCTTCTCAGTGAAAACTATTACTCGTCTGCGCTTTACCATTCTACGCAGGACGCCAATGTAATGCCAGCAACGGGTCGCGACAAAAACGAACTTCCTGGCCAGCTCAACTTCGCCGTTCGCCAGCTCGACGAGTCCGCCATGGAGAGAATCATGGACCCATATGGACTGTACGCGCTCGACTTCTTGCGCCTGCAATACGTTCCACCAAGCCCACTAAATTTGGTCATAACCTCCGTCGCATTGGAAAAATACGACTACATCTTCAGATTCCTACTCCGACTGCTGCGCATGATCTTTGTAGTCGCGCACTTACCACGTCAATATCCAGATGTAGATTCGCGCTGCTTCAGGACAGAAGCACACCACTTCGTCACTGCACTCTCAACATACATCTTCCAAACCGGCATAGCAGAACACTGGGATGGTTTCCAGTCCTACGTGACAACTCTCGAACACCGGCTTGCCGACGAAGACGCTGCGAACGAGCTCGGAGTCCGCGTCACAGAGGGTCTCGCCGCCATCCGCGACGCCCACGAAAAGTGTCTCGACAGCATCCTCTTCTCTCTCTTGTTACGCCGGCGCCAGCGCAAAGTCATGGCACTCATCGAAGAGATCTTCGAGCTCATCCTTCTCTTCGCGAAGAAGCAAAACGCTGATACCAAAGTCGAAGACAGCATCAAGGATATGTACCTCAAGCTTCGGGGCAAGATAAAAGTCTTTCTGAACGTGTGCAGGCAGTTGACAGGAAAGAAAGGGTACGGCAAGGGAAAAGGCACAGCGGAGGAAGACACAATGGAGAGGCTGGGCGTTTTGCTCGAGATGAACACGTATTTCTCGTAGAGAACGGCGTGAGCGCGACTCAAGCTTACGCGTGTCTCGTATGTCCCTCCGCTTTGGGAACGCTAGCCGCCATGGACAACGTCCCAGGGAACTAGGCATCCAGTTTCGACACAACACAGACACACGCAAAGCTCGAAGCAACGTCATTATGGCTTCCCAATCCCCATATATATAATATAATTGTGTCACTTTCTTTCTTTTTGTGCATGCGAACTGTCCCCCCCTCCCCCTCCCTTCTCCCCACACGCAGGTCGACCCACAATGCGCACCCCGCGCACCCACTCCCTCGACAACCTCCGCACCTTCCTCACCGCTCTAGTAATACTCCACCATGCGTCTATTCCCTACGGCGGCCTCGGCTCCTGGCCGTACATCCCCTCCCCCTCCTCCCCTTCCGCAGAGCCAGGCCTCTCCTCCCTCGCGCTCGTGCTCTTCAACATCGTCAACCAAACTTTCTTCATGGCGCTCTTCTTCCTCATCTCAGGCTACTTTTCTGCCAGGGCTGCGGAGAAGAGGAGTTCAGCCGCATTTTTCAAGGAGAAGGGGAAGAGGTTGGCGGTGCCGGGTGTGGTGTACAGTGTCCTTGGGCCGGGGGTTGTCGAGGGAATCATCGCGCTGTTGCGAGATGGCGCGCCGGTCCACGATGCATGGAATAGGAGTGTGGGGAAGGTGGTAAGTGTGAGGGGCGCGCGGGGCCCGGTGTGGTACTGCGGTGTGCTGCTTGTTTTTGACGGCGTTTTCGCGCTGGCTTTGTACCCGCGTGCCTCGCGCACCGCCGATGTCAAGGAAGCAGGGGATAAGAATGCAGCCAAGCAGGACAAACGCAAGCCGCACATCTCGCACCTCCGCGACGCACACATCTTCCTGTGTCTCGCTGGTGCGGCGCTGGCGAGCTTCCTCCTCCGTCTCCGCTGGCCGATTGGAACGACGTTCACGCCCCTAGGCCTAGAAGTCGGCTTCCTCCCCCAATACATCGTCTACTACGCTACGGGCATCTACGCCCACTGCTCCCTTGGCACGGAATTGCACCGCCTCGTTCCACGCACAAGCGTGCGGATCCCCCGCGCGCTCTCCGCAATCCGCACGATACAAGGCATCCTCGTGCTCACCGTCAACACAGGCGTTTTTCTACTGCTCTTCACTCCGACACCGGAGGCGCATCTCCGCGGTGGCTTCAACGTCCTCGCCGCATGCTACGCCGTCTTCAATGAGACCTTGGGCTTCTTACTATCTGTCTTGGTCCTCCGGGTGTTCGGTGAGCAGGACTGGGCGAGGAGGAAGTGGAGCGTCAAAGGAGGGTCGCTAGGAGAGGTCGAGCTCGCGCGGTGGAGTTATGCGGCCTTTTTGGTGCATGCGCCTGTTGTGGTGGGGCTGCAGTGCGGGCTCGATGGGTGGGGAGTTGACGGGGTGGTGAAGAGTCTTGTGGTTGGGGTGCTGGGGTGTGCGGGGAGTTGGGTGAGTGGAATAGGGCTGGGGAGCGGGTTGGAGAGAATAGGAGTGAAGGGTTATGTATAGGGGCGTTGCGGAGTTAAGGGGGGGTGAAGACGTTTGGATAGAGTGACAAAATTAAGAGCATAGATTGCTGGGTTTGACTTTCTGCATGCAATCGATTTAGCATATACATTCTGGACTAGAAAAATTGAGAAAAGAGAACGAGCGCGCACAGGTTGGTATACTTGAAATCAGTATGATTATCAGCAAGTACGGGATTATACTTCATAGAACTCAAAGTTCTGAGTGAGATTCGGTGCCAGTGATATGCTTCAAATCTTAGCATTCCGCTAATGCGTCTCTTTCCTCACTGTCACATCATGGCTCTAATTGTGAATACGCCCGAGCCGATTTTCATTATCCCATTACAAAGACAAAAATACTATTAATTCACGTTTTTCTGCCTCGTGGTAGCATGCGGTACTATAACTTTGGTCCTTGTACTGAAGTATTCCGTTGTTGCGGCTCTCGGTCATGTTGCCCCAATTTTGGAAAACTCTGAGCCGACTACCCTGGGAAGATGAGCTGCACAGAGTCAAGATCCCGACGTTGAAGTTCCCGGGAAAGCGACGGCCATGTTTCCCGGTAGCGGTTTTGGAGCAGAACGCGGGAAAGACCGACGACCTGGAGATTGGGAAATAAATATATCGTTTCCAGAATCTCCGCATCATCAAAGAAGCAGTCGAATGATCCATGGAGGCGTAGGTTCTTGAGCTTTGGCAGTGTGGTATAAGTTGTGCTATCACAGGCCAATGGGAATGCTGCCAATCCTCGCCGACCAATCGATAGCTTGAGGTCACCAAATTGACCGACAAGTGCTTAATGGATGAATAGGTCATCCACAGTACGCCGTATCCGCGATCTAGTAAATTGCACGACCACAAGCTGAGACCTTTCAGAGGAAGCTCTACAGTATGAAGCTTAAGGAAAGTGCCGCTACAGACACACAGTAGATTGCTGACGTGTCTTCGTCGAAGCTGCGCAGCGGTGTACGTCAATTGTAGGCCCTATTGCCAGGTAGCCGAGACTGCCAATTCCTCGTGGTCCAGTGCGTCGTCATCTTCGACAAATTGATTATCCGTATAACGTAGTCTGACACGTTGGATACTTCGAAAACCGTCAAGTACCAGATGTGCCACAAACCCCCAAACGTCGTGCGGAATGTCATAAGGCTTCCGGGTAAAGAAAACAGGCAGAGTCATCATTGTCATTTTGTGTGCGTACTTGGACCAACGAACATTGTCCATCAGATCCATCCGGAAACCTTTGTGGAAGAGCGGAGTCTCCTCTAAACCCTTGACGAAGGAATCTTGCACCGATATCGATTTAGAAGAGCCGCGGAATACGAGCCGAGCATTAAGTACGGCTCGCCTTGACTCACCGGTGATTGTAGCGAACCGCTCGGTAACGAGGTGATGGTAGACCAGTAGGTGCTGCAATGTGCTCTAAGGTGCGGGCACAGAGTCGGTATGTGTCAAGATAGGGTGCTATATGCCTTATCTGAGCCATTAAGAAGTCTTTGCTCCTGCAAGAAAGACATCTCCTCTTTGAATTTGTGTTTTACTAACTTCGAGGATTTCCACGGGCATGTTGTCCATTGTGGGTGCTGGGTGCTGGGTGCTCGGTGTCGTAGTCGTGCAAACGAAGATACAGGGTCGTTGTGCCACGGTTGGCACGCGGGTGTTTTGTGTATCGACGTCGTGCCCCCAAGCTGCGAGACGGGTCGGCCAAAAGCAAGCGGTTGATAACTGGTTGTCGGCGTTGTGCCACTCAGATCGCCTGAGGCGGTAGGGCAGCAATCGCTGGCTTGCGAGGGCGCGTCACAGAAGCCGGCTCGAAGCTAGATGTTTTGCGAGGGAGCAGATGTGAGGGGTGCAGTTGTGCCTCAGGGAATTCATGCGCGTGAGCGGCTTGGCGATGGCGAGAGAGGTGAATGGCTGGTGCGGCAGTGGGCCGGCCAACGGCACGTGCTCTTTCTACTTATGTCAAATTTGGAAGCATAGGCTAGGACTTCTTGGTTTCTCACGGGCTTAATCGGGACAACGACTCCGCTGCTGTTCACTAATGAAGGTGAAGATTCCTGGGTAGTGCGTGAGCCTCTCCATCTTTGGCTCGTTGCATACATACGTACCCTTGGTAGCATGTCCTATATTCCCTTGCAGATTATACCAATCTCCAGTGCGTGACCATAGCTGTGCACCGTTCGTCAATACCTTGCCATTGGCTGCGCAATAATCACTCTTCATCCGTCGCACCTTCCGCATCAGCCAGCCGAACGCCTGACCTCAAATTGCCACTGCATTGGTGTCCATTTTCTTCAATTACGCTCGCTCAACCACAATTTGCACGTCTTGAAAGTTCGAACACCTTCATTTGCATATTCTTCCACTTTGGACGTCCTCGACAACGCTGCTTCTGCTTTGCAGCTCAGATTGTCCACGTCGCCGAACAACACCATGAAGCTCGCCATCTTCATCACCGTCCTCACCGTCGTGGGTCTCGGCCTCACTGCACCGTCCGTCCACGAGACCAACATCGACATCGCCATGTCCAGGATCTTCTCTCGCAGCTCGGGAACAAAGTGCGACGAGTGCAAGGAGCACCGTGATAACTGCCTCAAGGTACCAAGTTTCTCTATGGCGACTAGAGCTAGTCATTGAAAGCTTTAGTACGGCAACGGAGACGATAATTCTGGCGAAGACAAGGTCTGCGCCTCGTTCATATGCCGCAAGTACGACGTGAGTACTTTTCCTGCTCGGTCACCATCGGGACTGACGTTGAGTACACAGTGCCGTAGCTGCGGCGACGAGTTTAACTGCGACAACGCCAACCTTACCATGCCGCCGGGCTGGTAGATACAGGGCGGGAGCATTGCGTCGGGTGCGTCGAGCAACCACAATGCACCACCAATTGATTGGGGAATATCATCAGGAGTTGTGATCTTGAGGGCTTATAGAACCGATCTATTAGCTGGAATGGGCGGGTTCCTAAGCGATACGATTTGGCGGATTTCCCTTGAGACCATGTTTAGGATTATCTCGGCGTCGGGTCAGCCTCAGGGGATTTACCGTCACAAGCCGGATTTTTCCGTCACCCACATGGTAGCGCTCCCTAAAGGGGACACTCTATCTGTAGTTCCTAACCTCTTACAACACCTTTGCTCTTACTACAACCTCGCCTTCCCCTTAACTGCCCACTCCCCTTTCTCCGCCCTCGCACAAACCTCCTTTACAACCCCCGCCGCCCACTCAAAGTCCTCCATCTCCAGATACACCTGCCCACTCATCCTAATCCACCACCTCCCAGCATAGAACATCGACTGCATGAACGTCTTGTAGTCGTCAATCCACGCCCTGCTCATCCAGTCGCGAATCGCAATACCAATCTCCCCCTCCTCCAGCCCCGCCCGTGCCCCAATCTCATACATCTTCTTCGCATCCAGCGGCAGCGCCACATTCGCCATGCAACACTTTGTCAGTGTCTGCGTCTCGTTATCCAGGACATTCGTCCCGAGGATCTCCGCCATGCGCTTAGCCCCGTGCTTGGCAAGCGTCTGGTTATATCGGATGATGGTGTCTTCGCCGCCGATGGACTCGCGCCATTTCAGCGCTGCAGGCACGCACAGGTAGGACGATGCGTCAATGGTGCCGATGAATTCGAAGTTCAGCTCGAAATCGGATTTTGGGGCGTTGGAGGGGGGAAGTGGGTTCTTCGAGGCTGAAAATTGGGCGGAGGGGGAAGGAATGAAGCCGTGGGATGTGGGGAGGGTGGAGCGGATGATGGATTGGTTGCGGAGGGGGACGTGGAAGATTGCGCAGCCGCGGGGGACGTGGAGCCATCTGCACGTGATACATGTCAGCATATTGCTTTCTTTATCAGGGGCGGAGGGAGTAAATGGGGAGGGGAAACGTACTTGTGGCAGTTGCTCACGAAGAAATCCGCATCCAGCGCTTTCAGATCCAGCTCGACATGTCCAATCCCATGCGCCCCGTCAATCAAACTCAACACCCCTTTCTCCCTGCACACCTGCGTGATACGCTCAAACGGCAGCCTCACACCAGGCATGCTGACTACCGTGTCGAACACCGCGACCTTCACCTTGCCGCCTTTCTTCTCGATCTCATCTATCTTGGCCGCGAATGCGGAGACCAACCAGTCGTCCTCAACTGGGAACGTGTACTCTATTTTCGCAGCCTTGGCGGGCGTCGTCTCGGTGATGTAGGCGACGGCTTTCTCGCAGGCGCCGTAGATGGAGGCGCTGTAAAGGATGTACTCATTGGGTGCGAAGATGAGGCTGCGGAGGACGGTGTTGACACCCGTAGTCGCATTTTGGACAAAGACGAGTTCGGAGGTGGGGACGTTGAGGTACTGGCTGGTATCAGCTTTGTCTCTTTCTTCGAATAGAACGACATGGGGATGCGAGATAGACAATGGTGAAAGATCGGGAGATGGTGAGTCAGGATTTCAGCGACAGGGGAAATGTAAGTACTTTTGACAGTGCCTGACGAGCTTTGTCGTTGTGCTTGGGGTATTGGTAGCGGATAAAGTCATCGGGCTGGGCTTCGTGGGCGTCTTGGAAGGAGCGGAAGACGTCGCGGATGGCACGGGGATAGGTGCCAAAGGAACCTGATGATTCAATTAGTGTCAATTTATGATGTCTTGGAGACACGTAGTTGGATGTTGGATGAATTCCGATGGCATGCTTTGGGCCAGGTTACAGACGAGTGAAGGTGGAAGATAGACAGAGCGTATGCCAGGACGACTGAAAGTAAAGAAAGAAAGAATCAATCAGAATCTTGAGCCAGTGCATCCAATGTAGGAGAGAAAACTCGGGATGTCGCTTGACAACGGAATTGGAGACCACGCAAGTGACTCTGAATGAAGAAGAAGCAAGAGGAACAACACTCACCATGATTCAAATTCCTGAACCCTTCCTCGAACAAGAACTCTTTCCTCAATGCCTTGCCAAACCGCCCTCCATTCTTCGTCTGCAGCAGCTCTTTCGCGTCCGACGTCATGATTGTGCAATTTCTTCACCGAGCTCTCTGATCAATGCAGCTGAAAGACCTCGAAAACTGCTGGTTTTATACTCGAGAGAACGGGTGAGTCAAGCATACGAGCTGCGAGTGTAATGCATCTTCGCGATATCGGTATGACTGTACAGATGTCGAAGGGCGTGTCAAGACGCTGGAGAAGCGGGTTGGCCAATGGGAGAGGAGCGCTAGGCGGGTAGCGTCGGAGAGACTCCGCAGTCCGACTAATCCTCGACGGCATAGGGCGACTGCAGCAGTGAGCATATCACACGACGTGCGGGGACGTAGACTTCTTGTATGCTATCCGGATATTTTTCCATTGGTTATTGTCGGCTATACCGTTTCTAATGTTGGTCTACCCTGGACTCCCCTCATGCTTCTCACGAAGATAACCATCGCCAGGATGTCCAGAGCACGCCCGTGCTCATACTGAGTTGCGGACGTGCCTGGGGAAATTATGTACACAAATATTGGTAAAGACAAAATGAATGACTGGCATCCCAGAACCTCACACAACACACAGACGCAGAAATACTCGAAACACACATGGGCAAGATAGAAAGGGGGATATCGTGATTCTTCTACAAAGTCACCGTGATGACTCTAGATCGTGCGCATGTTCCTCGCGACCTCGTTCTTCACGCGGCGGCGGTACTGTTCACGGAACTGTATCCGGCCGTAGGTGCCGAGACCGACGACGCTGATAAAGCTGACGGCCCAGACGAGGGTGACGATGAGACCGGCCTTGGTGACTCGCGAGTCGAGAGTTTGACCGGGAACGACGAAGGGCGCTGCGCTTTGCACGGCGGCGGAGGCGGAGGCCAGGGCTGCGGCATCGGTGCCTGTCGTGGCTTGCTTGGCGAAGACACCGTTCACGAAGGACGCTTCGGTAGAGGAGAGGGTCGCTTTGACGTCCTGGCCAGAGGCGGGGTTCTTTGCAGAGAGCTCAATCTGCGGAATCAGGAGAGGTTGGAGGGTGGCTCTGAAGGAGAGTTAGCGCTGTGTTGTTGTACATTGTGGCAAGGCTACTTACTGTGTCATGGCTGATCCCATCAAGTTGCTATTGATCTTGCCAACATACATGAGCACCTTGAGCTCTTGTGGGGCACCGGCCTGTCGTTCCACGAGGCTCCTCTCCTTGATTGGTGGGTACGAAATGTCTATAAGGTCGCGCTTCGCAAAGGTTCCGTTGGTGTTCTGCACGGTAGCGCCCAAGTACGACAGCGCCATGTTCACGTCGCCCGCAGTAACACCCTTCCATGGATCGATCGGTGCTGAGACGTTGTACATTCGGAGTTCGGCTTGGAAGATACCGGTCTGGTTGTCAAGGAAAGGTAGGTTGTAGCACACGGCGATGCCACTGGGGTTCGATGCCTGGCCATTGAGTACGGTAAGTGCATTGTCGCAGGCGGCCTTAGTCTGCGCCTCCCATTTTGCCAGATCTGCCTTTGCTGCGTCTCCAGAAGCCGGTGTGGTTGAGATTTGCGGAGCGGACTGCGCGCCGTTGGCGTCTTGTCGTCGTGTGAGCGTGGCCATGATGTCCGCATCACGTCGTAGCATGTCCTCGATGTCGCCGCCGCGTTTGAAAAGAGCGTTCACTGTCGGAGCCTTGGCAGATGCACAACCGGCAAGCATCAAGCCACCCACGAGGGCGTTGTTGAGGAGCATGGTGAATGGAAGGATATTAAATAGGCCTGCTGATTAAAGGTGTTATGCGAAGGGAGAGAATGTCGTCGCCGGGCTGGCCAGCAGCAGTTGGAAAAGGAGGGTGGCAAGAAGGGAAACTGAGAAGAGAAACAAAGAGTGAGGAGTCACGAACGGCCGACGAGAAACCGGCTCTGCATGGGAAAGGTGCGATGGCGCTGCCGAGATTAAGAAAAGTGGATGGGCACCGGCAACGGTAGGGTGACGAGGCCCCAGTCGCAGACGTCCGTTCACGAACTCACAATGGCGTGAGGGTCGAGGGGAGCCAGACTCAGAGAGCAGCACCAAGGCGGGAGCCGTGATTCAGTTTGGCAGAGTTGAGACGGGTGCGACGCACACGAGACGACTGGGGGGCACATGGTTATGCGTGGGCACTCGATGAGGCTAAAATTAAGCTTGATCTAGTAGAGTGAAGGCGAAGTTGCTAGCGGGAGGCTCTTTGCCAACCATGCTGTGGCGCATCTGGGTCGAGGAACGGGCGGGAGCATTGACGAGGGTGGCCTCTTGAGACAATTGGTGTTGAGGTCTGGAGCGATGGGGCACGCGCGAAGCAAGGGGCGCTTCACAAGGCCAGGGCTTCGCCTCGGCACCCAATCAGGACGCCGCAGCCCATGCTGAGGGCCAAGAAGTGTCACCTCCTGGGGTTTCACCACGCAAATCTTGAGCGTCTTGTCACAGCAGAGCGCAGCCAGCACCTCCTTGCCAGCCCACGAACCACTCGTGACCGGCCCTTGGAAAGGCCTCGCACTGCTGGCAGGTGTCGAGAGGTTCGCGATAATCACTCGGAGCGCACGCTTGGCGCGGCGCGCACAACGTACATAGGCGTTACGCCGCACACCTGCATCCGCGATCTGGACGGCCTGACCAATATTCCCCGGCGCCTACCGAGCGACGGACCCCAGCTCAATTCCCAATTGCCGCTGCCAGGTCCCCGGAACTGAGTTGTTCCCGGCCGGCTGTGGCGGTGAGCGTGTGACGCACAGCATCGCGCTGTCACGTCCCCAGTGTCTATCTACAGGCACCGTCAAGCAGCATCATCATCGCGTCGCCGGCGTCTTCTGATTCGGGCACATCACCCGTCCGGGCCTCCTCGGGACGGCGCGCTCGTCAGACGCCGCGATGATCTGGCACCACACGACCACTTCTGCCCAAGGCGGGCTGCGAACCTATGCAGAAGGATGGACGTTGCGAGCGCGAGGCGACTCTTAGGGCGACACGTTGCATGCATGGTGCTAGCCCTTCGCATTCGCCCAACACTCCATCTCAGGCTTATATTGTAAACCGCTACCAATACGGTGCGGAGTGCAGCCAGCTAATTGCCAGCACATCAGAAGCCTTTGCGCGCGTTGTGGACATAGCCTGGTCCTGCCCCAGGAATTCGGGAAAGACTGCGTCCTCCGTCTGATGACGCTCAGCACATACATCTACCTACGCTGGGCTGCTGGGTGCTACCTACTCTCACAGCTGAATCCCACGTTCCCCCTCTTTTGCTGATATGCGTCTTTTGTTCCTTTTTGCGCTGCAGCGTGGGCTCTCAACTGGCTCATACCACCAATAGCCACCCCCCGTCCCCACCCATCTGCACTCCCACGCGCTCGCGCCTCTCTGTCCGACGCTCATTGACCAGTTGCCACTCACCTGACAGGTCGGCTCTTGAGTCTTGCAGCAATGCAGCACAACCCCAATTCACCCTGGCGGACTCCCGCGTCTGATTATGCCAAACCCTCACTACAACACACCATATCTATGGTAAATCTACACGATGAGCCTAATTGGTACAACCGGGGTCCGTCCTCCCCCACGGCCTCTTCCGTTTCTTCGTGTGCTAGCCGAAGCGCAACCCCTACGAGTACCAATACGAAGAATCCGTGGTCTCATGTCATGAACAGCCCAAGTTCGACGTATTCGGATCAGTCAAACTCAACCTACTCGACCCAATCTACCAGTTCCCCCAAAGACAGTCCCAACCGAACTCCACAGCACACGAGCCGCGCCACTACACCCACACCCATCGCACCTCAGCCTTTACGACCTATCAACGCTGTTGCAGGATTTGTGCCCATGTCGCCACCGCCCACGTCCTCTGGGGAAGCCTTCAGGAATGGAGACTACCCAAGTTCACCTATCTCAAGCTTTCCTGGATCCCCAAATCCCTATCGCCAACAATCTGTACCGTTCTCGCCCTTAGTAAATGGTTTCATCAATACGTCCTTGTTGTCTGCACAAGGACAGTCACTCTCCGGGTGGTTCTACGAGCTTGCGAGTAAGCAGTTCACAGACAGGGCCATGGTCCGAAAGGTGTGGCAATGGACCATATCGAACCCAAAACTGGCCATACTACTAGTCGTCTGCGATGATGTGGCGTCGTGGCGTCAGGCAGCATTCTTCGATCTCAGAGATGAGAGTCTCCCATTCCCCGAGGATCGACTACAGGGTATCGTCTCAGATCCCCAGCGTGTTGTTGACGAACAGTGGAGGGCGACCGCTAAGGAGTTGCCCCTGACGGGCACACATGTGGACTTCGGATCTCGTGACACAGTTCCCTTGCAGCATATCAACCTCGTCCGAACATCTCGAGGCTCTGAGAAGAGTGTCGACCGTGTTCGGATGCTAGGTAATGCCGACGACCAAATCTACATTCGCAAACGTTTCGTGATCACGCGATCAAGCCAGAAGACGTCCTTGCTTGAGCAGATTAACAAATTCAAAGCGTACGACCACAAGAACATAGCCAAGCTGCTATGTTCTTATGCCCAACCAAGCCATGTCGGGATCCTGACCACCCGGACGCAGTATACGTTGGATGATTATCTCGGCGTACAAGCATCGGATCCAAGTAGGGCAAAACTGCTCGTAGACTGGATGTATGATCTAGCCCACGCGCTGGATTACCTCCATTCCCAATCAATATGCCATCGTAGCATTCGGCCGAGGAAGATTCTTATCGAGGGATCCAGAGTCTTTCTTGCTCCATTCGGCATCGGCGCCAACAATGACCAACATAGCCCTACCGTACCTGGGCCTCAGCGACTAGACCAGATCCATACATACTTCCAGGACCAGACGTACATCTATGCCGCACCGGAAACTTTGCTTTCACGAGGAAAGCGCTACTCCGATGTGTTCTCACTGGGATGCGTTTTTCTGTCCATGATCACGGTAGCGCAAGGACATTCGCTCTCTCGATTCGCGCAGTATAGAGAAGGCTCGTCACAGGACGCCTCCTTCCACAACAATCTAGACCGCGTCGCATCATGGCGGAACCGCCTGCAAGCGATGACGAATTCCGGGCAACGGAACGGCGGCATGCTCGGTTCAGGCCGTAAAGTGCGCCAGCTTAAGTCGGAGGCCGAGTGGCTCGAGATCATTGAGCAGATGATCAAGCCCAAGTACCAGGAACGCGTCAAAATCGCGAAAGTTGTGCACAACTACGGGACGGGAAAGACAATAGGTGTACGCAGGAGGAGCCTGGACGGTGGCGGTTACAGCGGACAAGTTGGCGCTGCGCTGGGTCTTGGAAACCCAAACACCGTCAGTGGAGTCGCATCTGGAAGCAATGTTTACGGACATACGAGCGGGACCGGACAGAAACCGGAGCTGAGTGTGTTCGACGGCTATTTCCAGCAGCAGCAGCCGCGGCGTTTTGAGCCAGCTGGGATTTGGTGAGCGGTGTCAAAACAAACCGCTGACATGCGCGGCGAATCACACAACTTCTTGGCATGATCTGCCCCCGGGCGGCGAACATGTCGTCTGAGGACGTCTTCGTGGGGTTTACACTTTATTATTCTTCTCGAGCAAGACTGCAAGTCTGATTCTGCATTCTGAATCTAGCGCTGCATCTCTTTTCCTTTCTCTTGTTGGGCCGGCATCTGATACCCCCTTCCAGCATCTCTTTGTCTCTTCGATATCAGCGTTGAAAGCTAGACGGGTACGACAGCACGAAGCTATGATTGCATAGGCCGGCACCGTTCACGATGGCATTATCATCACCTTCATGAGTACACGCAAGGCATTGCACGTTTTCTTAAGTTTGATAACCCAATGGCGTACAATCGGCGCAGAACCTGGATATATAAGCATCCAGACCATCGGTCTCCTTGACGTTAGCGTTTTGTATATAGAGGATATTTTCAAAGATGTTCACTTCGGATAATCGATTTGATTGCAATAGCTCGCGCGATATATCCCCCATGCCCCAGCCCAGTTGCTGTGTGTCCAACAGATATCTACCTTCCACCCTGCCCCACAGACAATTCACATTGAAACGTAGTACTAGATCAGTAGCTTTGACAGTGCGGCGCTGCTTCGACTTGGCCCAGCGGCATGGCACTGTATTTTCGCACATGTGCATTTCACAAGCCATGCATAGCCCAGGTACAACGAACTATCCCTTTACCGCACCTACCGCTCAACCTTCGCCACCTCAGCCGCATCGCGGACAAGGAGACCAGTGCGTATGTATTTCTCCACATCCGATGTTCCCCAGCACAGCCCCACGAAGCACGGCTTCCACACGCCTCCCTGCTGCACACCAGCGCGCCATTCTGCATTCCCGCGTGGAGCCCGCTGGAACCCATGCATAGCCCAACCTTCTGAAAGCTCACACATCTTCGTCTGTGCTTGGATACCTCTGATGTCAAGACAATACAGGAGGAATACCGGAATGCTTGATACTCGCTGCTTGTCTGCGGATATGTGCATGGCTGCGCATGGGTTCGGGCGGTGCTGGGTGCGTGGTAGACAAACTAATGCGTGGCCTTGGGGGGATGAGGTGGTGTGAGGTTGACAGAGCGCGCGGCGGCGGTGATGAAGCGAAGGTGGGAGATTGTGCTGAGGTGGTGGTTACTGTGTTGGTACCACGCTCTTGTGGCTGAGCGGGACGCAGAGGGGGAGAGGAGACAGACTGCGTTGTAGGCACGAGGACGAAAAGGAAGGGATTGGAGTTTAATCTCTTTGCAGCGTTCCAAGAGCGATTGTTGATGCTGTTGATGGGGTGCAGGAACGAACTTTGACGTGTGCCCGGACAAGACGTTCCGAACAACTGCTTCACCAAAAGATGGCCCATCCATGGCTCAGACGAACAATGTAACTGATCATATCAATGATGCTATTTCTACACACGGTTCCCGGATGGTATCCCTATGATGTGACATATGGTACATGTACAATGGCGTTCCCGCCTCTTCCTCGCTTCAACTCTAGGCACTAATCGTGCGTAGCCCTCACGCGCTTGCGTCCACTCGGCCTTCGTCGTTTTCTCTTTTCTCGTCGCTCGCTCTCCAACCTCCAGTCTTGAAAAATACACAGCCGAAGAAAATTGACCGTCCCCTCCATGCATGCATACCAAAGCGGACCCAGAATAACTCCAAAGCGTGGTTTTACAGCGGCCTCTTATACAATGACCTCGCCGCAGTCGATCATGTTCGGCTTCCACTTGGTCGTGTCAAGCTCGCCTTCCATGCTGCTCGGGACGGTGACATCGAGTGGCCTGTAGAGATACCAGGCCTTCAGCGATGCTGCGGCTGCGCGGAATCTTGCCTCCTCCAGTGAGGCTCCGGCTCCTTCCCCTAGCTTGTCTTTTCCGCTATAGATACCCACAACGAAGACGGGGTGTCTGCTCAAACGACCAGTTTCTGAGATCAAGCGAGCGACCGGGGCTTCGAAGCCTTCTCGTGCGCAAAGACGTGACAGATCGCGGGTAGGTGTGCGGAAGTCGAACATGTCGGAGATCTCGAGGTGTCGGCTGAGGAAGTGGCTCTTGAAGAAACGCTTCACCAGGGGTGCTCCGAGGTGCAGATGTAACGATCCAACCAGGGCACGCACAAATGACTGCGCAGCCTCTTCCATGGGTACTGGGACATTGGCCAAAGACTGCGGGGTCGGCGGCGCGTTACGAGAGCCGAACTCGTCTGTTGCGACGATCCTGTGTGTTTGGGTGACGTTCCACTTCCATGGCACTTGCTTCCGCAATGCCGCGGGAATGCCCTCTCCAGGCTTCAGTCGCTTGAATTGCAACAGCCCGGGCTCTACTTCACCTCCCGGCTCCGCGGCGGCCTCGATGCCCCATTCGCTGGCAACTATGGCCAAGGCCCTGGGCCCAACATAGGCTTCCGTTGCAGCGAACACAACCTCGATAGGAAGACGAGGATAGTTGCAGAGCAAGTGTTCGGAGGTGTAGTAGCTAAGGAGATTGCCTCCGAGGATGCTTAGGGAAGCATTGTTGAAGGCGGGATCAGGGTCGGCGGAAGGGTGCACCAGCGTGCGGGCGAGCGTCTGCAGAGGAAATCGTTGGGGCAGCGATAGACGCGCGCGGAGGGCTGATAGCTTTATTGATTGATTGGCCTCGTAAGGATGTGGTGATGGCATGTGCTCGGGCTTTACATGGCGATGGGGTCTTCGTGACGGGCTCCGTGCCTTCTCCGTCTTGAACGCGGGCGTTTCTATCTCGATCTGCTGGCCCCCGAATTCTTCAACGGCGGCCGTCGTCTGGAACCGCGCTTGTATCCGGTGGTTATGAGGCGCGATGGTCCTGTGCAGGGCGGTGGCATAGGGACAGAGCGGGCGGCGCGCGGCACTCGGGGCCAGCGAGGGAGTGGCACATGATGATATGCGTATTCGCTTCATTAAGGACGGGGCGGAGAGGAAAGGGAATATTAAAAAGAGGACGGGAAGAAGCGCGACGCAATTGGGCTGTCGTGTGTCTCCTGGAGCTCCGCTGAGCGCGATTCTCCAAAATTTACGCTTAGTCAGGAGGCTGCTACGGCGCGGCACTAGCCTGCAACCACAACCTCACACCAGAGCTCGGGCGCCTCGAACCCACACCACCACAGTACAACAATTCACAATGGGCGGCGGAGGAAAGATCCCGTAAGAGCGGCGCGCCAATGCCTCCTGCCGTGCACTACTGACCCGCTGCTGCCCAGGTACCCGAAGCACGTCTGGTCGCCGGCTGGCGGTTGGTATGCCCAACCCGCCAACTGGAAGGCCAACACCTTTGTCATGGGCGGCGTGCTCGCCAGCATCGTCGGCGCCGCCTGGATGCTCAGCGCAAACCTCGAATACCGCGACAAGATGCCTCAGGAGGGCCGGTTCTTCCCCAGCCGATAGTACGAGTGCCTTCGCCAGCGCGCGCGCCGCAACGCTAACCATGACCCAGCTGGAGCAAGCAGATTATCGAGCACGAGCGGAAACTGAAGGAGGAGAAATAGATGGCCAGAGGGCAGCGGCGGGCCAGCGGAGGAGCACCAGCGTCAATTGCTAGAGCATATCATGGCTGTACATATCTACCCAGCCTTTCCTTGAATTCTGAAAGTCTATCTTCGACACGAACCCCGTTCCAGTATTCACCGCCTTTCGGTTTTGGAGACCGCGAAAGCATGGGCATGCCGACCTGTTCAATGGCGAAACTTGCCGAGATAGCGCCCCATGCTGCAGCCTCCTCGATGTTCTCCATCCCCAAAGTACCACTGCCTCTGACTAACCCTACTGCCAAACCGCCGAGAAAACCGTTGCCTCCGCCTGTAGGATCAATTACGTTCTCCCCTCGCTGATGGTAGGCAGGCAACCACTTTCGGGTCCCTGAGCGTGCGACAAGGCAGCCATCTTTACCAGCTCTGACGACGACACCACCTTTGCCGTCCATACCAATACCGTTCTCCAACCACTGCTCACACAGCTCCTCGATCAGGCGGTAGTTAACATGGTCCTTGCCGTTGGTGTCTTTTCCGAAGAAACCACCGAGCTCAGCGTGATTGGGACTGACGCAGTCCACGAGTCTAAGCGCTTTCAAGCAGTTAGGCAACTCTTCGGCAACGCAGAGATCAGGCACTGGTTCCCAGACGAAGAGTGGCCGCAGCGATTGCGCGTTCTCGGACTGGTTGCGCAATGCTAGAATGTTGTTCACTAGCTCGATGCACCGCAGTGGCGAGCAGATGAGATGGAAAGACTTGGACCAGAGCAGCTGCGTGTTTGCCAACGCATGGTGATTGAGACGCAGCTTTGGGGTCGTGTAACGGAAGGCTGCAACATCAGTGTGAGCTCAACCCGCAGCTCGGTCAAGCGTACCGCGATGTTCGTTCTCGCCATAGCCATTCCACCCGCGAGTGGTCAGGCGATCGGGCGTCTCGCGCATGAGAACACCAGTGTCCCAGCTGGCGATGGTCTCTCGCAGTGCAGCAGGGAAGTCGGAGCCGCAGTCGACGATCCATCCCACTGATTTGGAGTGTGGGGGCGGAGAGAATATGCGCGCACCCAAAGCTGAGTAGGACCCGGCCCCGCCGAGGATATCCTTCACAGGCGGTTTCGGTGGTGCAAACTCGATCTCATCTAAAACATATTAAACATTGGCCACAAGCGGTGACACGGTGCGTCAAAGTACCAATGATGAACATGCCCAAGGTGCAGAAATCCATGTGCTCAGCCGCTTGCGCCATGGTTGTGGTTCATGTAGGCACGCTCAGCGCTGCATAGGACGGCGCTGACGCATGCACGTTGAATGGCAGGCGCTGGGGAAGCTGGGGCTTGGCGCCGCTAGCATGGTAATCGATGGTCCAGGTACCCTTCCTGATGTCGCCCGTGATTGCGCCGACACTTGGACACACTGCACAGTGCATTCGCGCCCTCCCGAGAGAACCGTTCTCGTACCCCGCGCCTATTCCTAGCATCGAAGTTTTCTAGAAGGCAAGCGCTGGTGCATCGTACCTGCAGTTATCCGCCCCGGAACCAACGACCGAGCTGCCCCTTCTCTGGCTGCGAACAGAGCATCCGCGCAACGGCAACATGGCACAGACGGGCATGCACAATCTGCAGACGCTTATTAAAAGGTCAGTCATGGAAGGCTCTCCGCGCGTCTCCACCAGGTGCAAACATGGTGGATAAGACCATCCTCGGCCGCTCAGGCACCGTGCCGCTGCCGGGAGCTAGACTGACGGCTGCACTCTCCAGGCTCGAAGCTGCCACCAGCAGACTCGAAGACATAGCATCCACTTCGGCCGGATTCGAAGCGGGCACCCCCAACGGAAGCCCCGCGCCACCACCTGCTGCCGCCGGCGCCGCAACGAGCGCCGCGCCCCCGGCCAAAGCTGTTGAGAGCTTGCCCCCCTCCGTCGAGGCCTTCGATGCCATCATCAACGCCGACCTGAAGCCGTGGCTCGAGCTGAGCAGCAAGCTGGGCAATGTCATCGACGGCCAGGCCAAAGCTGTCCAGCAGGCCTTCACGGCCCAGCGGGACTTCCTCTTCATTGCGGCCAAGGCGAAGAAGCCGGATATTTCCACCAACACAGAGATCCTGAAGCATCTGCAGGCCGCCATAGGAGAGGTCGACGAGATCCGCCAGGGCAACCGCGACCGCGCGCTACAGAACCCATTGACCATGGTGGCCGACAGTGCCTGGGCTCTGGGCTGGGTCACCGTCGAGGGCAGCCCGAAGCCGCATGAGTACCTCAACGAGCTTTTTGGCGGTGCTCAGATGGCTGGAAACAAGGTTCTCACGGAGCACAAGGACGGGTAGGTGAAGGAGGCCATTTTGCACTGGGACACTGTTGACCTCTACAGCCCGGACAAGACGTACGCCGAATGGGTCCGCGCATACTACAAGCTCTTCAAGTCACTCTCCGAGTACGTGAAGAAGTTCCACCTCAGTGGTGTCGCATGGAATAAGGACGGCATCGACGCGAAGGAAGCCGCCCAGCAGATCAAGAGCGGCTCGACGACTTCCGCCGCAAACATCCCTCCCCCGCCTCCCCCGCCCCCAGCTGGAGGCATTCCTCCACCTCCGGGTCCCCCGCCGCCACCAGGCCCACCCCCGCCAGGCGCTCTGCCTCCGCCGCCGTCATCCAAGAAATCGCCCGCGGACATGGGCGCCGTATTCGATGAACTGAACAAGGGCGAGGCCGTCACAAAGGGCCTTAAGAAGGTGGACCCGAGCCAGATGACACACAAGAACCCTTCGCTACGAGCTACCGCGCCCGTACGCAGCGACAGCAATGGGTCACTGAGGAGTAAGAGCCCTGCGCCACCTGGCAAGAAGCCCAAGCCCGAATCGATGCGGACTAAGAAGCCGCCGAAGAAGGAGCTGGACGGCAACAAGTGGATAATAGTGAGTACATGAACCGCCATAATCAGTCATACGGCTAATGGTTTTCAGGACAACTTTGACAGCCCGGGCGACATGATCGAGATTGAGGCCGAAATCAACCACTCCATCCTCATCTCGCGATGCAAGAACACAACCATCCGCATCAACGGCAAGGCAAATGCCATTTCCATCGACAACTCGGAGAAGACGTCCATCGTCATCGATTCCCTCGTCAGCTCGGTCGACGTCATCAAGTGCCCCAAGTTCGCTCTCCAGGTCCTCGGCACGCTCCCAACGCTGCTGCTCGACCAAGTCGACGGCGCCAGCGTGTACCTGAGCAAGGACTCGCAAAACACCGAGATCCTCTCCAGCAAAAGTTCGAGCGTCAACATCAACCTGCCGACTGATGATGACTATGTGGAGACGCCTGTACCGGAGCAGATCCGGACGTACATCAAGGACGGCAAGCTGATTAGCGAGATTGTGGAGCATGCTGGATAGTTTTTGGCAGGGCTTTTGTAAGATGAATGTAGGGCTTGCCGCTGGTTGTATTGAATCTTGATCACGATGCATTGGGTGGAGTCTGACGTGCTGCGCTGTGGCATTTGCGGCCGGCTAGCGGACTGGCTTTTGAATGAATGCAACTTGATATCTTTGAGTATCTAGTCTATATTGCAGTACAATATTGGCTTCTCATCTTATTCCACCTTTGGTCCCGATGCTCAGCGTAGCACGGTACTTCAGTTCCCAAACCATGCTGCAAACCCCTTCCCCTTGCCTTTTCTCTCCTGTTCCTCCCTCGCCTTCTTCCGCTCCATGATACTCATCACCATCGCCCGGTCCCTAGCCTCCAGCTCCGCAGCGCTCAGCAACCCCTTTCCCCCATCAGCCTGCTCATCGTGCTCCTCCTCAATGTCAGCTCTTCCTTCAAGAACGCCCACCCTCGCACACAACCTCGCAACCTTGCCCTCCAGCCACGGCCCGTCCACGAGCCCCTCTCTCCAATGCGGTGGTAGGGATGTATGGCCTAGATATGCCCCCACTAGCGCGCCGGCGACCGCGGCGTTGGTGTCGGCGTCGCCGCCGTGCATGATCAGGTCAGTCATCGTATCTTCAAAGAGCGTGTGTGGGGGGAGTCGGGAGGGGATTCGAGCGCGCATGCACATCCGTAGAGAGAGGATGCCGGCGCCGAGGGCTTTGTATACGTAGCCCATTTCGCGGGGGGAGTCGAGGGACAGGGCATCGAGGGAGGGGGCGGACGTGTGGGATGTCAATTCGTGCTTGCTGAAATGGATCGGGGGTTCTGGAGTGGCGGCTTCCGCTAGAGAGGGGTTGGATAGGAAGTGGGCGTAGGCGCGCTCGACGAGGGCATCGATGTGCGCTTCGCGCGTGACTTCGCCGCGGAGGAGCCCGCGGATTAGGCCAACAACAATGAGGCAGGCGACGCTGCAGCGCGGGTCTGCGTGCGTGGTGCGACTCACGGCTGCAGCGACATCCCATGTCTCCTCTTCGCTGAGCCCGACGCCGATTACGCCTAGCGGATGCGTGCGCATGAGGCTGCCATTGGGTGCGGCGTTGCGTCCGGAGCGCTCCCAGGCGGCGGTTGCGGCGGCAACGGGGGAGGCAAGGTAGGAGGGTGATGTGACGACGGAGCCGACGAGGCGGCCGATGCCGGCTGGGGGGCGGGAGAGTGCGAGCAGGCCGTGAGAGAGCCAGATTTGGAGGCGGGCAGCGAAGTCTTGGGGGAGATGGGTGAGGGGCTTGGAGGGGTGGTGGAGGTAGGAGAGGAGAATTAAGAGGGCTTGGTCGGTGTCGTCGGTCCAGGAGCAGGTGGTGAAGCGTACTGTGTGTGTCAGTGGTCGTAGAGTTGTGGTAGGACATGGTCACGGTCGATGAAAATAAGAGAACTCACACCGATGGGTGTCTGCATGGATCTCCGTCACTGGCTCTACCAAGCTGAACTTTCTCGACTTGTAGATTGTTTCGCAAGCGTTCTTTGGGAGGAACTCGGTATACAGCCCAATTGTGTCTCCGAGCGCTGAGCCCACTATGCAGCCATAGATTTTGTCGATCACGCTAGCTCTAACAAAGGGATGGGTGTCTAGGAAGGCGAGATATGACGGTGAATTGGGATTTGTCTCGCCCGGCTGCATTGATGGACGGGCAGTTTTATCTTCAATGGGTGGCTCCTCGATGGGTGATCCGACAAGTACGAAGTCTGACATAGTCGAGTTGGTGGTTAGGCGCAGTATGCTACTCTGTAGAGGCGGTTAAATGCTCTCTTTGGTGCAAGAGCAATGAGCAATGCGTTCAAGTCATACGATTGATAAGGAATCAGGAACTGGTGGTGAATGAGTGTCCTAAGGGAGCTTGCAATCAGAAAGGGGGAGTTTATCCTTCCTCGTATACTAAACTGGTGCCTGATATTGGCGACATGACTACTGTGACCGCTATGTCGACTCGCGATCGTGGTGGCGGTGCTGCGTAGATGCCACGTTTCCGAAATACTTTCCATGATAGATTATTGGTGTATCCTAGTGTAGGCATGGAATTAAACCGCGATGATCTCTCCTGTGGTCGTGCAGTGAGCGGGAGGACCAGGTAAGGTTAAGCTCTAATTAGAGCTTTCGCTAGCTCGATGCGGTTTGGATCCATCACAAACCGAGCTTCTGCCACGCCCAGCAAGTTAAGAGACGCGTTAATGTACCTTGTCTCCACGAGCATGCCATCATTTCGACAACACAAGCCAGTCCCCAATGAAAGCTCAACCACTTGGTGAACATATTGTTCATGAAACCTTCGATTGACGTTGTCGAGCTGAAGTCTTCCGACATCGGCGATTCTCCACACGCATGGGGCTATAACGTGTTGACAGAGTCCAAGGAGTTTCAAGCCAATACCCACGTTTCCTGCCCTTCAAGGAGACAGTCTGATACTTTGCATGTCGCCAATGCCGAATACACGCTCAAACATCACTTGCAGGCATGTTCAGACATCATTCGCCGGCACGCTCAGACATCACTCGCAACATGCAGGGAACAGACGTCTCAAACACTCTCATTCCAATTGACAATCCCCATATACTACACACCTGACTATCGTTTAGTTGCAGGAGACAAAATAGGTACCAAAGAAAACACTAAAGCTCATTACATCCACCAGGGTGCACAAACTGTCCGGGAGTTAAGATAAAGACGCAGTCACCATCCTAAACCCCCGGTCGAAGCTCAATTGCTTCTGATTTAGTTGCCCTTGCGTCCCTTGTGGTGAGGGTCACGAGTCTCGAGATCATGTTCGGCTTCGGCCTCAGCCTCAGCCTCAGCCTCGGCCTCACGCTTCTGCTGCTTCCTGCCCTTGTCTGCGAACTGTTAGGACGGCTTGATTGAGGTGCCAGGGACTACTCACGGTGGCGACGTTGGTTCTTGCGTCCTTTGTGGTGAGGGGCAGGGTCGCGAGTCTCGAGTTCAGCATCGTCCTCAGCCTCAGCCTCAGCCTCACGCTTCTGTTGCTTTCTTCCTTTGTGGTGCCTCGCCTCGATATCGCGCTGCTGCTTACGGCCCTGTATACCGTTAGAATGAGTCAGGCCACTTGGTAGCTGGGCGTCATGCCTTGTGGTGCGGGGATCTAGCCTCGACCTCAGCATCGACCTCGGCCTCGTCGACTTCGCGCTTTTGCTGCTTTCGGCCCTTGTGGTGACTGAGCAGCAAGTCAGTGACATGTTCATCAGGAGGAAAAGTGGGTGGAAGTATGCATCCCCGCTATAGAAGCGGAGAGGCCAACTTCGTCCCTTGGCACCACGTACGGGTCACGGGTCTCGATCTCGATGTCGCGCTGTTGCTTGCGACCCTTGTGATGACTGGATAGAAAATCAGTAATGTGATCACGTGGAAAAGTTGGTGGACAATTGGGTTGAAGTGGTCAACTCAGCCACTATGGCCGAGATAACCGCTGCATACCCGGGCAGTACGTACGGTTCACGAGCCTCAATCTCGATATCGCGCTGTTGCTTGCGCCCTTTGTGGTGACTAAATAATGACAAAGTCAATGAAGAGGTCACAAGCAGGAAACTTGGGTAGAAGTGGTTGTCTGAGCCGTCCGAGCCGGTTCAACACACACACCTCACACCGTAAAGGTACGTACGGGTCACGAGCATCGATCTCGATGTCACGCTGTTGCTTGCGACCCTTGTGATGACTGCATGGGTGGTAAGTCAGTAAATGATTGAGAAGGTGGGTTGAAGGAGTCCTCTCAGCTTCGACAGCCGAGATACCCACTCCATCTGCGGGCGGTACGTACGGGTCACGAGCATCAATCTCGATGTCACGCTGTTGCTTACGGCCCTTGTGGTGACTGTATAGGCAGAAAGTCAGTAAGACGATTGATAAGATGAGTCAGAGTAGTCCTCTCAGCCTCGATGGCCGAGATACCCACTCTATCTCTCGGTGGTACGTACGGGTCACGAGCATCAATCTCGATGTCGCGCTGCTGCTTACGGCCCTTATGGTGACTGTATAAGCAGAAAGTCAGTAAGAAGATTGATAAGGTGAGTTAGTAGTCCTCTCAGCCTCGATGGCCGAGATGCCAACTCCATCTGCGGGCGGTACGTACGGGTCACGAGCATCGATCTCGATGTCGCGCTGTTGCTTACGGCCCTTGTGGTGACTGTATAGGCAGAAAGTCAGTAAGACGATTGATAAGATGAGTTAGAGTAGTCCTCTCAGCCTCGATGGCCGAGATGCCAACTCCATTCCCGGGCGGTACGTACGGGTCACGAGCATCGATCTCGATGTCGCGCTGTTGCTTACGACCCTTGTGGTGACTACATGGGTGGTAAGTCAGTAAGACGATTGATAAGGTGAGCTGAAGTAGTCCTCTCAGCCTCGATGGCCTCGATACCAACTCCATTCCCGGGCGGGACGTACGGGTCACGAGCATCAATCTCGATATCACGCTGCTGCTTTCGGCCCTGTTGGATATTAGCATCTCCTGGATAAGCATGAGCCTGTATCTCATACCTTGTGGTGAGGGTCCCTCGCGTCGATGGCGATGTCGGAGCGTCCGCTCACAACATTACGAGCAGCTACAGCAGCATCGCTCTGGGAGTTGCCGCCGGTAACGACGTAAGCACTGGTGGCTCCGAGAAGGAGGGCGACGATGGCGAATCTCATGATGAAAGAAGTTTAGCGTGTGTAAAAGAACGTAACGAATAAACTGGTCCTGCCGAATGAAGCAAATGAGGGGATGAGAGTGAATGAGCAGATTTGAGTACGATCAACGCCTACCGAGATGGACTAACCGACCGACGGAGGGGTTTATATTCTGGCTCTCCCTCCTGTTAGGCTGAGTCCCTCTCATCGCTTGTGCTCCTGAGACGCAACAGCGAACGCATTGACACAGACCTATGAACGAGCCTCAGGACCAGTACACGCGCACGCTTCCATTTCGGTTCTCATTCAAGACAAGGCTGTCACGTCCCTGGAGGAGACAGAGAGCGCCTCGGAGCAAGATCGAGTGGGCTTCAAGTTTCCGATGCTGACTACTCGGGGGTGCCATTGGCTGGGCACGTTCCCTTTCTGGCCAAGGCCGCTGGCAATTCGACAGGAGAATCCAAAAGAACGACCGTCAAACTGTCGCTCTGACTCCACACTGGCAATGCTGCTGATTCGGAATCGTTTTTCCCAGTCCATAATAGCCATATACTGAAACAAAGCTTGTCTGCAGTCCTCGTCGCTGACTGGTTGCCAGGAGCGCATACAAAATGCCGCTGTAGCAAATTGGCGGGAGAGACGCCGTCTTGGAAAGTCTTGTCACTTGTTCCGTGTCAGGGTGGTTGTTACAGCCCCGTGTGCACGATCGCCAAGATCAAACAGTGGTGCGGACTGAAGACATACTTTAGCGCGCTTTTTCAAACATCCTCGCTTCGCCCACCAACCATACCTACCTATACACCCGCGGGGCTATCGCGCAAATGCTTGTGTACGGCTCGTGTTGCCTTGCAAAGCTTAGCCTACGTTGCGTTGCCTTGGGAGCTTCTCCTCTCCGCAGCTTAATGGCTATCTCCACCATTCGGAGCGGCGCCGCGTTCAGCTTCGGATTAAGCGATGCGCATCACTGTCTGAGGTTGTCGCCGCACCTCCAGGCCTTTTCTATGCTCCGCCCTTTCTGCCTGACACCCTCATCCTGCATTCTCACTCTCCAGCGTTGACCGCATTCTTCCTGTTTCCTTCGTACCTCGCTGGCCGATTTTAGTATAATTTGTTTCTACTCTACCTAATACCCTTTTGAATTTTCACGATGCAGCCAAAGAGCACCAACGTAGAGAAGCGGACGCAGAACGATGTCGAGTACGACGACTTCAGTTCACAGGATGGGGAGACGACATCATTCCTCAACCGGGATCACATTAAAGAGACCGCGAGGAGGAAGGGAATGACCTACCTTCTGCTGGCCAATCTCTTCGTGTTCACGATGTCAATGTTGACATTGATCTGCGCTGTATACTCCCAGAGATCGCAGTCCACCTACTCCGCAGCAAGACTGATGGACGAGTTTGGAGTCTTCTGTACGTCAAGCAATTCCACTTATCCCAGAATTCAGCTAATGTCCGATAGCGCCAGCTATGAACGTTGTCGAATACAAAGAAGTCGAGTTCAAACTCCCCAGCCCTGTCAACACCTCCAAGTACGTCGGCGTGTCTCAGGATGTCAACAACGCTTGGTTGGATATTGCGTATGTTCCTGACCAGATGGTCTCTGTGGATGACTTCCCCAAGCTCAAGAAGCCTATGGACTCTGTCAAGGTCAAAGATCCCAAGTCCGACGAGACGGGATACCGTGTGGGGCTCGAGGTCTTCCACCAGCTACAGTGCCTCAACCTCTTGAGGATGGCGACATACCCGGAGCACTACACGAAGCTCCAGTCGGACGAAACCAGCAAGCCCGAAGAAGTGCGCGCATACTTGGGTAAGCCATATGAACTAGCTTCCAGTAGACAGATGCTAACAGCTCTCAAGACCATTGCGTAGAGGTTCTCCGCACTAAGCTCATGTGTGCTTCCGATGTTAGCGTATTCACGTACCATGCCATGCCGGGGCAGCAAGCTCCAATGCCTGACTACGATTCGAAACACGTCTGCCGAAACTTCGACAAGATTAAGCAATGGGCCACAGACAACGCGATGCCAGCTTTGTAGATTTTTTGAGCACAGTCAGCTCAGGAGGACTCACTTCCCGGTCTCCCAAACTTCGCGCAGACTATGAGAACTGCCAGACCACGATAGAGAACAGTCTGGATGTTAGAGTTCTGGACATCATGATGGGAAGTCTCGTACTGGAGACACTGCACGTACCCAGCAGAAGAATGCGGAACAGAATAAGGTAGCCAAACCGCTTATTTGATACCCAAATATATATATCCTGGAGCTTCCTTTTTTTCACCAATGTTTCCCTGTGCTACCGTGTCGCAGCACTTGTCTGCCTTAGTGTTGCATTCGTCCTCTCTGCACCTACCATGCTTGTTTGTTCATTCTCCGGCATCAAGTTCGTCATAATCATTCTACAGTTTGTGTTTCTACAGACGCGAATGCTGAGGGCCAAGATGCTTGGACTACACTTGGCGTTCAGCAGGGACGTTTCAAACATGACATATAGAAGACAGTCGCAAGGAACCTGGATCCAATATGTTATTGGAACCGTACTTGTGGATACAATCTTCGGACCTTTGCTGCCTGGGTAGATCGCTCACCAGGTTGATTAGGCCACGACATCAGCCCGCATAAGCATCATTCTTTGTTCAGTCCTTGGAGTTTTGGTACGAGGGATACGAAAGGTCAACCGCCGGGCTGGCTTGCGCAGTCTAGGGTGTGACCCATCAGTGCTCATGCGTCTGTGTCAATTGCTCTCATTTAAAATATTTTTCTCTGTTCCTGCCGGACTATTGTAGGTATGTACAACAATGGACGTCGTCCAAGTATTATCCGTCGGTCTTGCAACTCTGCCTCTATCCTTCAACACTGCGAGCGTTAGTGACGCTTTTACAATCAAGCGTGTCTTCGTGCAATTTCGCTCTGGTAGGAATTGTAGGCAACTTACAGCCAGCGTTGGTGATGCGCATCCGCCCTGTGTTTGATGGAAGCAAGCCAGATTTAAGAAGTATTTGTACTCGCACAACTAGATGAGTTAGTCATGATTCAATGTTGCCATTCGCTGGTTTTCTCCCCCCTCCTTGCCCGTAATGATGACCTTGTCCTTGACTCACCTCCTTAGCGTTCATCTGCCCAGCCGGGATGATGGCCTGTTGGCAGCTGCATGGCAACTGCAAAGTCGGTGTTGGTTCCTTGTGGTGGTTGTGATGGCGCGTCTTCGTTGCATTTCCCGTAGGAGCCGCGAGGACGGACGAGATTGCGGAGGTAACGGCTTCGACCTTTGCCCATGGGAAGGGCGATGCGGCGACGGCGCTTGCGAAGACGAGGAGCGTGAACCGCATGGTGAGATTTGATGATCGAGATACAGAAGATCACTTGGATCCAACACGGCCTTCTGACGGAAAACGATCGTGGGAGTCTGTTAAACGACGCAAAAATGTATCAGCCACGGTGCCTGGCAGCAGGTGGTATGTATGCCATAATCTCGATTCAGCCTCCGTCCAGCGGACCGCGTGTCTCCGCATATGAGCAGCACGTCAGCTAGTCTATTACGGCTTCTAGAGCCAAGAGGCCACAGGCGTGCGTACTGTGTATGCGTGTTTTAATCTATGCACATACGATCGTACATTAGGAACGAGGATGATGGGTGTCGTTATATGGACCGGATAAAGAGCTGCATTGCCGAGTCGGAATGGATGGTTGGATCGTAGCGCGTCATTGGACGATCATGATCTCGGAAGACGGCAAGAAAAATATAGAAGGCAGAAAGAGCAAGAGGACATACCAATGGCAATTCTTGGAAGGCGCGATCGTAGAGACGGCACGGTCTAATTCCCGGTGTCGCGAACGCGAGAAGGTACGAAAATAACACAAGTTGCTACTTGCTACTTGCTCAATTCCTTCAAGCCAATTCCTAGGACCCTCATATGCTTCATATATGTTGTAGGGGCGTGTACTGAGCTTCATGGGCATGACACGGTTTTTTGAGCTGATTGATAACCCAGACGTCCATTAAAGAAAAGCCACGGAACCAGGGACAAAAATCGGAAAACTGCCATTTGTGACCAAAATGCGAACGCGAAAGTCTGCATAACGAAAAAAAGCGTTGCTCTTTTGCTGTGAAAGGGAAGCTGGTATATGTTACAGCGAATTTTGCAGGTGAGGCTGAATTGTAGGCTCGCATTTAGATCGTCCAGTGAGGTTGTAGCTATTATAGCCATGGGAGAAGCGTAGGACTAAATCCTATACCGCGCTTGCTATCTTCTGACAACGCTATATGTGGCACGCTTCTCATAAAATATCATCAAGATAGTCACATAGCATACATATACATCGCGACATATTCCTTTCGGACGAGAATGGAGGAGGCTTTTGACTTGCTCTGCATCAAGTTAGCTTGCCTATTTTGGTTTGGCTATCAGTCGCCGTGTTTCACATTCTCTTCGCTAGCAAGCCCGTATTTGGTAGGGTCTTCCCCAGCACAAGCCATACGGCGCCTGGGCAGACAGTACCGACCGTACGAAGCTCCTGGAGCTTTGAAGGCATCGCAATATTGTTTTGCGCATCGCAAAAATGTCTTTCGTCACCAAGTGGGTTCATGAGGCTTCCAGGGCTCTGCCACAAGCTTCTATAGCTCAAATTCTGCATCGAGCGGCAAGACAATTTCTACGTTCGATGTTTTCCTGGACCCCAAGAGAGTGGGGCCACCTTAGGAGATTGCTAGCGCAAGGCGAACATCCGGGCGTAATGGGGCTTGTAATGCTCAGCACATCAAAAGGTGCTCCATGCCCATCTCGCACGAACATGGCTTCTCGCGTCTTCACTTCACGCGCAGTCCTTCCTTTTGAACTATGACGGACGTTTACACTGGGTTCTGGATAGACTGGGGTACGCGCATCTCTTAAGTCTACCAATGCATCTCACTGAAAGCAGATAGAGAAAGGTCGATCCAAAGGCGCCACTTTGACTTTGCCACAAGCACAAGGCTTCATTCTAGTATCATTCCTTACACTGTTCGTTCAGTTCTCCGGAGCTTGCCTCTGGCGCGTGGTTTGCTTCATACTACATCAAGCCCGCTCGACGACGGCCCCGCGCGATGGCCTCTTCCAGCAGCAACAAATCATCCTCCGAAATGCGATCACAGCCCCAAATGCGCTGTGGAACTTAAGCCGTTCTACCTTAGCATGGCGAGGCCATGTCGAATCACCTTTCCGCCAAGCTATGGCTCTCATTTTGATCACCGTTATACACATGTCCTTCTTTGGTGTGGCTGGTCTATTCTCTTCGCAGATTGCATCCACAGGTGCAGGTTCGGCGCTCGTCAGATCTGAAGTCTGTGGTTATCCTAAAGAGATCTCCCACATCCGCGCAGTGGAGGCGTACAATCTCGAAGGCGATCAGCTAACTACCTTCAATTCGGAAGTCTTGCTCGGACGCTTGACGCTGACGAAGAGCGCTACATACGCCCGATCGTGCTACACCAACCCTCTCGATAGCGGCGCGACAGATTGTAACATCTATATCAATACCTATCTCGAAGGGGTCGATGTATCGGCCGTCGAAAACGCAACGTGCCCGTTTGGGGGAAATTCGTGTGGCACTTCCAAAGGCGTCAGATACGACTCTGGTCATATCTCGAGTAGCAAGCATCTTGGTATCAATTTTCCGCAATCGGAAGATGTCTCGATCAGGAGAGTCACAAGTTGTGCGCCGATTGACAGCGAACAATACGCTACTGATTGGAAACCCAATCGCATTGAAGCATTCGGTGGAAGGACCAATACCAGCGTGCGCTTTTGGGAGTTCGGACAAGGGCCTCAGGGATGTCGGGCAACAATTCCAAACAATCAGACTGCAGATACAACTTTCTGTGTTAGTCAATATCAGAAGGACTATTGGCAGGAGCCATACACTGTTCTGTACGTTTCGGAGGGCGCATGATCAAATGTCCAGACACAGCTGACCTTTTGCGCAGAGCTGTCACTGCCTACGTCGACAATACAACCGCTAGCGACTTCAAGCCAATCTCGGACTTTCAGCGAGACGACGCTGACGTAACTCTGATTTCCATTTTCAGTAAAGCCAAGTACACGGACGTGGTTGATGACCCCCTTTTCAATGCTCACAACAACTCATTTACTAAGGGAAGCAATGGCAAAAACTTCTCCACCCCCACCACCGACCTCTCAGTCCTGGGCTGCACAGAACAGTATCAGTTTTGCAACACCGTAAACACGAAGTGCACCAAGTTAACCGGGCTGTACGCTGCCTTGAAGACTGTCGAGAACGGCGACTTGCAACTCTCCCCACAACAAGCTGCCATCTTCCGCGTCATATGGAAGGCGGCATGGTCGATGGTTCTCCAATGGGCCACAACTATCCTGGATAACTCGCTGCTGCTCGCGCAAGACTTCGTCTTTACGATGAAGTCGACCACTTCATCTCCACTACCGCCCAACCAGTGGATACAGGAAGCGCATAACCTGCACAACCTATCACTCGCGGTTCTGCAGCGTCGTGTCAACGAATTCTCGTCACCGGAGAATTTCGATATACGTCCTGGGCTGAATTCTTTAAAACAGATCAATGTAACGACGGATCCGCACGAGCTCAACATTTGTCAGCTCCAGAAGATTCGCTCTACTGCACATGTGAGCGTCAGTGTGCTCGGCATGTGCGTGATCCTGGGTGTAGGATCGATCTTGATTTTGCTCGACTGGACGCTTATACAGCAGGTACGTATCCGAAGTTGACCGCGGAACCATCTAACATGAGCAGATATTCTGGTTCCGTTCTGTTACCCACTATAGGCAAGCGAAGAAGGCAGATTGGCAGGCAACAGGAATGTTGCAGCTACATCGACAAGCCCTGGAGGCGAGAGCAGTGGGTCCCTGGAAAGTGAGTGATTACTTATTTCCGGTCCTTGTGGAGCAGGGGAAGAAGTTCCTCGGGCTGAGCGTGAAGCACGATTACCCCGAGTATAGCAGTGTGCAACGCGAGGGTTCGGAGTATAGCTTGAGGGCAATGGACAAAGGTGGTCAGTATTCGGCCATATCGGCTGAAATACCCATTGAAGCGTTGGGCGACCAAAAGGGAAGAGCGCATTAAAGTCGTGAATGAAACGATGCCGAGAGGAAGCGCTTCATTCTTTCTTCAAATCTGGAGGTGGTACAGAGTATCTTGGGAACTCTTCCTCGCCCTTCATGTGCTCGATCTTGGTGTCAATTCGATGCATGCAACTCCATTCGTCCAGATATAGCTCTTGCACAAGGTTGACGCTGCCAAAGAACTTCTCACCGATCCCAGAACCAGGTAGATCAGGGTTGAGTTTGAACGCTCTGCTGCTCCCAGACGAGGAGCTGTGATTCTCAAAGCACCTCAAGCTTCCTATTGCCCAAACCATCCGCTCATTCGTAATATAGTGCTCCCTCAGCCGTTTACGACGAATATGTTTCCTTATTTCTACCTCCGCAAGGGCTCGGGGCATAGGATAATCATCCGCCGTGAGATGTTCGCGATTCGCGAGTCGCTTCTTGTTTATTTCCATAGTCTTCTCGCTCTCTGCTTCCCATCTCGCTCTGAGGAACCGGAAAAGGGCTTGCTCGCGAAAGAACAGGGTAAGCGTGTGCCGCCAGTTGAACTCGATCTGTCTCGTCGCGATATCGATGGATAAACCGGAGAGCTCCGTGTCATTTACAGTGTTGCCAATCCGTACTGTGTAATTCGGCATCTCTGGCTTCCACTCATTGACGTTGCTTTCCCATCTCTCCATGATCCTGTTGTATTCCTTCTTTCTCCCGCCAGCGATTTCGCTTTTCTTGCGATGGTCTTGGAAGCACACCAGTGCCTTATCTTTGTCGCCGTTCTCTAGCTTGAGTCCAGGCACAAATCGGGCGAACGTGGTAGGCACTTCGGGGCGTTTGCTCTTTCCACCAAGGTTATATTTCTCCAAGTGAAAGTCGATTTTCATATTTCGAAGGGCTGAGTCGGCGAAGACCTGTTCGGTGTAGGATCTGAACTGCGACGATACGTTTCGGCATACCGTCCAAAGGTGCGTGAGATCAGTGTGGTAGATGAGGATGCGGATCCACAGCTCGGGCGGGAGTGAGGGACACAGCGGAGTGCGCGTTTCCTTCATATTGGGCAAGTATCAGTATGAAGTACACACAGCGTGTTTCAGCCAGGATCGTGGTCCTGAAGCCGCATTGCAGAATGTTGAACAGTGCTCGGTATTGTATCGTTGGCGTGCCGGAAGGATGACGAAAGAAGCGAGTCATGTCATGATTATGTAACTCATATCATGACTAAATGGTTTTCTCGCCTACGATCCTTATGGTATGGACCGTCTTTATGAACATCGCTTCATCCCCAGTTCTATCGACAAATAGTGTCAGCGATGCTTACCTACGGCTACGAAAAGTAGAAGGTCCCATGGTGAAAGTGACCAAGGTATTGGGTGATGTACCACACTCAGATGCTATCGCTTTGCAAGGCGCCATTGATATCACCCGTATGCTGTGTAGACTTACACCTGCAGTTATTCGAGTCCATTGCGCACTTCGATCAACTTTCACATCTGCGCAAACCGCTATCTACACAGTAGATATACCGTTGTGGCTGCCTAAAGGGTTGGCTCTAGATTGAGATGTGTGTGGGCACTACCCCCATGGCTTGGCTATGATCTTCCTAACACTGCCTGCGTGTTCATGACCTCTCCAGGACTTCGTTCACTGATGATCTCGACGTCGCTTATCTAGGATGTCCGACATGAGGACAACTTGCACAATTGATTTCGTCTACGAGACAGTTGCGAGTATATTCAGGCAAATTATCTGCTGTCCCCCGTCCCTGCTCTACCGTGTATTGATTCGTCCTTGGCTGAATCAGAAAATCACTGCCAAAGCTAGGCATGCGGCGAAAGATGAGCTGGCAAGAACTACTGCTCCAGCGCCTAAATGGCGGAAGCGCGTTTTGAGCATCTCATCGGCACAGCCAACACTGCCAAGGACACACGCGCAACTCGAGTCCTTGTTTTCCCGACTTCCGACCGAGCTTCGCAACCAAACCTACGCAGAGTACATCAGTTACGAGGAGATCTGCCTCTATCAGATTGATAGCCAACTACGTGCATGTGGTCGCGGACGGCCACGCTATCGAGCAGTTGGAACATGGCCTCTAAAACCGCTTTCTCTTCTAGTGACATGTCAAAAAGTGCGAGACCTCAAGCAGCGTCTCAAATGACCTCTGACTATTGACAGCTATACTGAAGCGGTACCACTGTCGCACTCAACTCCAACATTCTATCTTCAATCGCAAACGGACTTCTTGTTCTGCTCTGGTTCAATTCTTCCGCCGCGTGTCAATCTGCTCCCTGCGGTCGGATTGGACACAGGAGAAAGTAGCATCTGCAGTCGCCTTCTCCTCGAAGTGTCTGGATGTTTCGACTACCATTTTCTACTACACCCTGCTCACCTTCTTCGTCAGCTCCCCGCGATCATCCCTCCATCACGCGAGAGCGCCTGGCTCTTTTCATGTAAGATTATGTCCACAGTTCCAGACTGGAGATACCTCAGGGCATTGGGTTAAGCACCTTCACCCTCACAACGTCAGTGTAATTACGAGAGTCTCTTGTGTGGCTTGCACTTGCTTCCGAGGCACAGTATGGACATGTTTATACCATGGACCGGCATATATATTCAGAAGACTGGCGGAATGACGAGGATGAAGTGCGATGGACGGAGCCGGACGGATACGAGTTGCTTTGGTGCAGGAAAGACGATGCAACGCAAATGTGGATATATGAGTGGAAAAGCGTGAGATGAGTGCTAGGCTTAGATTCGATTCCTGAGCCTGCAATCGACGCCAAATGCTGTTGCTGCCGAGATGCGTGGGTGCATGCTTCAACGGCACGTGACTACATGAGCGACGCGTCAAGTTCGCGTGACGCTAGTGGCTACTGGTAGTCACACCTTCCACCTTAGTCTCCCCTACCCTCCTACACTCCCATTCTCGCAGCTTAAGACAGCGCGAATCGGGTCGATCGCATATGCCCACGAACTATTCGAAGAACGAAAATCCTATATTGCGGTGATGTTTTCGTCAGAAGTGTCTCTCAAAGTAGAGGGCAAATGGAAAGGCTCTAAGGTAATACTTCAAAGTAGGGCTGCGGATGCCTCGAGCGCGCCGATCTGTGACAACGGGATGTCGCTGATCTGTCTTCTCTAGGTCATGACTCCAGCGGTTCTCAGCGGAGTTGGAATACCCTTAAAATACGCAGAACTGTCTGAATCAGAGATTGCTCATCTGATCGCGAAACCTCCAGATAATGTTACATATGCTTCACGATTGCATTGAAATGTCTAGGTATCTGAGTTATTCGGCCTTTCTGCATCTTCTAATGGTCGAAAATTATTTCGCGTACTCTAGCAGCAGCGAAGGTCGAGGGTGCCATGACGGCGTGAGGAAAAATTCTGGGCCAGAGAAACAACCCTATGGGACCGTGTAACGACTTTTTTTCTTGGCACGCGATCATATTAGATAGAATTGTGGCTGATCGGAAGCGATACCCGCTCTTCCTAGAGGCTCGTCGTACAACAGGAGCGTGCTGTGTCATGCCTATGAGGTTACAGAAGGACACTATGCCCCGAGCTCGTTTTTATCCGATGCGACACCCAGGAGGGGTTGCTTGTTCAAGTAGAAATGTACCGGGCTGAATTGAAGATTACAGGTTTGAAGAGGATGTGGTCTTTGGCGTATTCTTAGTATGCTCCATCCCGCCTCTTCTTCGCCGCAGCAAGATCTTGAGATCGAGGAAGGGCTTGCCTTCCAATAAGCAGAGCATAATGCATCTGCGGCAAAGGACACGCGCTCGAGTGTGGAATGCTGCCCAGATCTCGGCATCCTTTCGCCTTATTGGATGGGCAACATTCCAGTGCGTCACAGCAGTCTTACAAAAGGAAACGTTCTTCAGGCGATGTCTCAAGGATGGGCGACTGAACCTCCATCGTGGTAAAGATGAAGTGGAAGATCGGACTGTTCGCATTCGTTCTTCTTGCGGTGAATCCTTATGTCGCAGCCATCGATCATAGCTCAAGGTCCACATCAGATCGAATTAATCATGTCGAAGAACCCATTGCAGAGCGGTTGCGTCGTGCAGCTATATATCCGACCCGCCGTTCGACCGCGAGGAGTTCTTTGAAGGCTTTCAACACTGCAGCAAAAACCCAAACCTCGTCTATCAGGATAATACCGTCGGGCAAAAGAGCGACTAGCTTGAGCTCAGGCCCAGTTCTAGGCATCAAGAGTACGCCAAAGTCTACCTCTCGTTTGACCACTAAAGTCACTTCGACCGTTCAAAGTTCTGCTCTGTTACAGGCCGTACCAGGCTCAAGTACTCAATCTATGGCGAACATGACTGCAGAATCAGTTGCAAAAAATACTATGAAGTCGACCGCGAACTTGACTGCGAATTCGACTGTTAAGTCGACTGCAAAATCGACTGCGAAATTGACAGCAAAGTCCACCGCGGAATTTACAGCGAGATCCACGGTGAAGGCCACTGTCAAGTCAACTGCGGGACCTGCACGGAGATTAACGGCAAAATCAATTACATCCAACAGGAGATCCTCGGTTGCATATCAGTCGGCTGGCAACCTATACCCAACGACTAGATCTACATCATCGAGCGTTAAAGGGATCGGAAGCTCCGGATCTTCATTAAGTCTGCTGCAATCAAATGCCAAGGGCATCGCAAGCTCGAAAGCCCCTTTGACGTCATCTCGTCGTGTCCAGCCTTCCTCGACTCAGGAAATTGCAAGCTCTATAGTATTGCATCGGTCAACGACAGAGGAACAACAGATCTCTCCAATTCTGGCACCACTTGCGACACGCCTGGCTATTGCACTACAGACGGGGAATGAAGGGGCCGTCACTGAGAACGAACTTCTCAGCGTTCTTCCTAATGCACTAGTCAAACGATTTTCGTTGGGTTATCAGCTACTTCCCTTTGATGTTTCTATTACCTGGCTTTTGGACGCGAACACTGCTTTTGTGGAGAACCCGGGAACCCTCCAAAATATTCTGTTCGCAAACAAGAACCTTAAGCCTGGCGACTTCCCTAACAACAACCCCTTAGCTGCTGCTGGAACAGCCCCAGGTTCCGACACCAGAATGGCATACTTTGGCGGAAATCCTTTTGTGACCAACGATGGAGGCACCTACTATCCCTGGAAGCCGGTCAGCGACCCCGGAATGAAGATGTTTGACACGAATATCATCACCTGGCTTCTCGGGCTGCCCACTGGTACACGCGGAGACGCTGTCTCAGCGGGCTATGATATTATCCTATCGGGACTGAAAGATAATGCAGAGAACTTCACACGGATTGCGCTCTCTCAACTCTTCCCAAACGCTCGAATCAACGGCGGAAGAACAGGAAACAATGTGTGTGACTTCAGAGGAAGCAGTAACCCCTGCCTCGATGGCGCTAGCCTTCTAATTGTGGGAGATAATCGCAACCCTGGAGATGATGATGTTGCCACTGCTGTGGTCAGATCGTACAAGAACGGTTTGCCGCTATTGGTAATGACAGAAGACGGCAACTACGAGCCGGACTCTTGGAAGATCACTGAATTGCTAGGCTTGACTCTTGGACAAAATTACTTCGAGGGTCAAAAGGTGATTGACAACTCGCCACGAAGCTATCAAGCCCCCAGCAGCATAATCCGTGACGTCTTCCGCGCCGACGTCCTGCAGGTGTACTCTTCCCTCAGCATCGACCCACTCCGGCCTTCAGACTACGCAGTATGCATAGCTCGGGACGGATTGTCGACTCAAACTATACGTATGGGAGAATGTGTGGAATCTCCTCCTAGTGGAGTCGCCGCACATGCACTTCCTTACTTCGGTGCAATCCACAGGTTACAGAACATCATGAACAGTATTTCTTCTAACGGTCTCGATATCTTCAGGACAACCAACGGCATCAACACGGAGACCTTGCGCATCCTGACTCTTTTGGCCAACAAGATCCGAGTAGGCCCGCGGGGTATGTCCGGTGACACTGCTATTGCAATCAAATATCCTATCAGCACTAGAACCGATGGAGTAGCTGTGACAAGAGCTCTGTTTGCAGATTGGATTGTTCCCATGAGCACATATTCAACCCCGCGTGCTCTAGACCTCGGTTCTTTGTGGTGCCCTGATAATGTGGTCTACGAAGCGGGAAACTGTACGGCTCCTTCCTTCCCAGATTTCTCCTCTTTCCAGGTGGTCTTGAATTCGACGCTAGGGGACGAGTGGACCTCTACGGGGTACACCCAATCCCCTGGCCGAGCGGCCACGATCACTCTGCTTAATGATCCTGGCATACCCGTTGCCGTCAGAACGTTTGCAACGCGGAATGCCGATGGCCGCACAGCGGAGTACAGTGCGGCAGGAAAACCGCTCTACAATCGTCCTCAGTTTCCTGTTAGTGTTTGGATCCCACTGAGACCTGGAATATCCACTGTGATCAATTCACCCTACGGCGGCCCGCTGTATATTAGTCTGGACGGAACAGATTTGACCAGCTCCCGGCAAGCATCCTTTTTATTTCAAAACGTGAGCAAACACTTTGCTGTCCTTGATGCCAGTAACGACAATGCTCTCAGGCAGCTGGCTCAAGATCTGACGAGATCGCCGGCTTACTGGGTCGACATAAAAGGGTCCGGCTTCGAACTCCATGTGCCGGCCGGGAAACTTATACAGTCCCTTGCACCTGGAGGCATAGACATAGGCGTTGGACGCATGGTCTACTACAACACTACTACTACTGGACTTAGCCAGCTTATGATCGACTACAAGACAAGTTGGGCTGAAAGAGAGTATCGCATGGCAGGGTTGAAGATCGATGGAGAGGCTATGACAACTTCGCTACCTCTTGAGGATCAGCGACTCTGCCAATTCCTCGGCTGGGACTGCCTGAACGAGTCTATACATCGCATAACTGAAACGCAGCATCTGACATACGATACGTACGCCGCCTGTGGCCAACTATGCTCGGGCAACCCAATCACCTCCAGCACAGTACCAGCACCAATCGCTTGGGGTGAAGGACACGAGTTAGGGCACAATCTACAACGACAGCAGCTTGATATATATTGGCCAGATACGAGCTTAGGGAAAGGGCTAGGTGCTATCAACGTTTGGGCCAATTACTCCATGAGAAGCACTGAGGTGTCTAACAACATCTTCCCATACTTCAACCAGTGGACATACTTTCGTCTCACGCTTCCTGCCCGATTTGGAACCGGCATAGACGATGGTCCACTGCGCCGTCACGTACTGTGACCTACTCACCCATTATGACCTGACGCTTACACATACACAGGACGTACAAGATTTCACCATACTGTTTAGTGCACGTCAATCGGCGTATCTAAAGTTGCAGCAGAATGGCCAAAATGTCGTACTAGACCACACCTGTAAAGTGCTCGGCACATTTCCAATTGGGACCCGCTCCGATGTTATGCTTGCAGATGCAGTCTGGAGTAACAACGGTTACGCCGTAAACAATGGCGAGCGCATGAGCTTCTATTTCGCACTCCCCCAGATTTTACAGGGAAAAACAATGGCAAATAATGTAGTCCTCACCGACGGAAGGAACATATACACGCTCATGTACCAAGCTGCACGTCTGTTTTCCGCTTACGCTACAGATGCTGCGAATTGGCAAGCACGTGCGACCTCATTGGGCTTCAGTCGCTACGCCTATACCAACGATGCCGTGTATGGTGCGGGCAAAACAGTCAACGACATGATCGGTAACGACTTCCTGGTTGTGGTACTATCATTGATCACTCGCTACGACTTCCGTCCATACTTTACCGCACACGGCGTTTTCTACACGTCGCTTGCGAACACACAGGTCTCAGCAAACACTCCAAGCGGTGGCTACAAGGCCCTAGGATCACCACATGTGGTGCTTGGGAACCAGTATCCAAAGACGAACCTGGCCGTCACTCCAGAAGGGGGACCTGGGGCATATGTGTCTCGCAATGTCGGGATAGATATCACAAACGCGGCGACAACCTGGCCAGGAGCGGACAACAATCTGGATGGGTTGCCAGAGGACCTAGTGGGATTTCATCCGAGGAATTGCCCGGGTGTTACGGTACCTTGACCGGTATGATGGTCTCTTTCGCCAGTCGAATAGCCAATCTCGTGAATTTCTTCAAGTATTTGTTTTTCGTTGATCAGGATCAGAGGTGTCAAATACGCTAGCACATCTTCAAATCGCCAACTTGACCCTGCCTCACGTTCGTTCCGGTCCGCTTCCTGCAAAGCCGGGAACGCCGCTATAATCATCTATATTGCTTCGTTCAGTCTCGTCAAGCTATGCACTGCCATGTTCGGCTGTTACGTCTTATTTCAGCTCTTTTGGGTGAGGAGTCCTATGTTGGGTCCATATGTTCTCGCACTACCCATTCTATGGTGTATGCCAATTAAACGCCTTTCTAGCAGCCTTAACTCACCTGGTGAGTCTTCCGAGCACGCCCATTTTGAAATGGTACAAATTAAGCTAGGGTTGCTGCATAAGTGGGAAGAACCCCAGTCGTACTATCACACAAGACATGTCACACACCTCGTCCGTCATTACTATTATTCGCAATTACCATTTTCGCCGCTAATATAACGGCCTTTCTACCCACAGAGGATGGGAATGCGAAAAAGGCGCGAAATGCCGGAAATCCGGGCAGCCTCGGGAATCAACCCCACGCTATGCTTCACTGAGCTGCATCCTAACCCACTCGCTTGATGCAGACATCTTCGCTAGCGGAAACGGTGAAAGTGGCAAACGCAAACTTACACGGTTCAGCATAGAGCTCATGCATCTTTTAGCAGAGCCGCGATACAATCCTTTACCTCTGCGACAAGCCAACCTCGAGCTACTGCAGGGAGAGTCCGGTCTTTCGATTTTAAGGCCAGCAACGAAGGTCATGCTTCAACCCTCTGATGATCTGTGATCACTGTTCAACAGTGCACTACTGCAGGTACTTGTGGTCGAAATCTTGTGGCCAAAGCATGTCTCACAATACTGAGCTTGGAGCAGCGGCCCCGTTCGCGGCCGCGAGCTTCCATATCGAGATGTAGATCCAACGATCCTCTCGGTTGTCTCCCCAATCAGTATAGTGGAGCACCAGATTACGCAATATGAACATCTCGTTTGCCTTTGTATACCAGACTGTAAATAAGTGGGCAAAGTTTGTCGTGGGGGCTGCCGAGGGCGTTGGTCACTGAACCTAATGGCGCAGGTACCGCCCAAGGCACGAACATGACAGCAAAATGTGTTTTTGTATTAGTCGGAAATACTTCCAGTGCGAGGCCTGGTACCAAGGATCACGATTTCTTGCCAAGATCTAGCTTTACCGGGCAATCGTGGGCGATTGGAGAGAATGGTTCGTCTCCCACTTTTTGTGCATACAAGCAGACAGCGGTTCGGTGTGGCCGCGATTGACCTCTCTCACAGATGCGAGACCGTCTGAAGTACGAGGCAGCTTTACCAACGCACTGGTCTTGCCGCTCAGTATCTGAAGCAGCGCCAGACACATTCCACACCACCATCAGCACAGCTCGCCTGGCCCATAGATGATCTAGCCATGATCAATTATCATTCGGCCCTATTCAAGTATCGTTGACTCTCCAATCTCCAGTCTTACAGATCAAAACTAGCTCACTCCGTCTCCTTCCACCTACAGCATTCTAACACTAACCAAATCGAGACATGCGTATGTCCGCCACCCTGTATGCACGCACGACCCCACAAGTAGCATCAAGTTGAACCCAACCCAAGTCCGAAGAGAACAGCCTTGTGGGCGGTCCACGCCTGGCCCATCCCAGCAGTTACTCGCTTCTCAACTTGAAACGATGTGTCTTGCAGTGCGTGCTCGTGCTCTACCTGAAACGACGCCTTTTGGACAATGTAGGTATCTATAGCCATGACGACGCAAACTGCAGATTGCTCTTTACTAAAATCCACGAGTCACTGATTTACTTGTGCAGCCGGCCAACTTTGCCCGAAAAGATCAACAGCTTTCAGGGCAAACTTTGTTACACAGCAGCAGTCGCACGAGTTGCTGCTTGCAATGCTATGCACAACGACTAATCCTGACTATTAGCAAACAATGTACTTCGATTCTACATCTTCCCCGGGAAATCTTTAGCTATCTTCCGCGGGGGGAGGGAACTTCATCCACAAGCGGACAATTGGTGGGACGATATGCACACACTCGAGGGTGACGACATTTGTGTGGTGGCTTCAGGTGGCCAGACGGGTAAATCCTTGCCGAAGGATTTCCGCTCGGGATGCAGATTCGGCGACTTCAACGACCCATTTCGCAATACCCGAAGTTCGGCAACTTGGCAATCAACCAGGCCAGTCGGCTGCAATGAGCGAGATCAACGCTGCACTACAGTACAGGCACAGCATGATCTTCACTTGAGATCGTCCTCTTGAGAAGCCACCCGCCACGCGGTTCGGGGGCTTTCGAAGTCAAAGAGAACGGTTCATAGACTATGTCCTGCATTAGGAGAATCCATCGCGCGCAATCCTTCTGCGATCTGTAATCTAGGCTCGCCGAGGCCGCGAGTGCGCGAACACAATTTTGCTCAACCCGAAAGCCTCACTTCAAATTGTCCCACCCGACCGAAACTCATCACGACGGCATCGCATAATGGTCGCCAAACCTTTGGATGCGATTCGCTCTGGCGGGCCCTACCATGTTTCGCCCAGCTACCAGGCAAATGGAGTACAGTGGGACCAAAGATCCCAACACTTGATGGTCGACGCGGGTTTACCCAGCCGTCGGCTGCGGTTCTGGCTGGTGGATTTCCGCGCCGCGACGATGCAGCAGTCCCCACAAAGTCTACGGCATAGGCGATATTGTCAGAAAACTTGACGAGGTAGCTGCCTCGTGCATGCAGCAGGGGTCAAGACAAGCAACAACAACCAAGGCTCAATCACTGTCCACTATCGCAAAGCCGCTGACAGCAACGTCCTGCAGGTCTCAGTTTCTCAACGTCGATTTCGTCGCGATCGCGAGTTTGGAATCTATTGGAAAGTGGGCGCGTGGGGGGAACAAAACATGACATTGCTGTTGAAGATCGTTGTGAGTGGCTGGGAGCTTCGCGGGTTTTCTGACTCTGCGTCTCGCGCCTTCCACAACACCATGACGGTGCAGCAGGAGGGAGACGGCATAGCTCTCCCCACGCGATGCGATGAGTGTTTGCGGGAGCTTGAGCCTTTCTCCACACTGTGTGCGTGCACAGGGTGCACAGGGCAGATCATCGCGAGCGCTCCCGCTGTCTTGTCGTCGACAGAACATGACGGTGCATTGGCATGGCTTTCCTCAGGAAGGATTCTGATGGTACCCCCCACGGTTCGCGCATGATGCAGAGCATCACAAGCGTGCCACAATGTCGTGTTCCACTGTGCACACTGTGCTGGATAGTGACACTCCACCCTCGAAGTCAATGTGCATCCCAAGTCCATCTGAAGCAACTATATCGCAAAGTCTCGATTCGACCTCGCGATGCCCGAGAATTTTTGCGCGCACTGGCCTCAGCAAAGTGTGACGCAACCCTTCACATGCAGCGCACACAGTACGGCTCGTAGAAAAAGCATGCCCACGACTCGCAGCCCGCAAACGTGCCGAGGGGTGTCACCGTTGAGCCGCAGAAGGATGCGCTCGCATGCGTCCCTCCACCATACACATCGCGTTGCATGCACGGCAAGCCGCGTGCGTGCTCGCGGGTAGATTAGAGATAGAGGAACGACTCCATCCATGATCGACGGCTTGTAGCGCCATCGAAATTCGGCCAGCCCGCGCCGCCTGCGACAGGAGTCGCGTCCCCGTGTGTTCCTTGAAATGTCACTTTTCTGCTCGCAGTGGCCTGGTCCTCGTGTGCATTACGTATCGTGCCGTCTGCGCGGGCACCATGGTACAGGTTGGCAGCAACAAACAGCGATCTGCGATGGCTTGCAAAGTATGCTCGGTGTTCGCCTAGGACCTTGCCCTACTTTGGTAAACTAGTTACTAGGCTTGAGACGGAAGGGTATGCAGCGAAAATGTAAACGGCGTAGCCCCAACGATGCGCAATGTACTTGCACGTTTTCCAAGGGTTGGAGGCAGAGGGGCCGCGCGAGGGTGGTGCGTGCGCGCGGCTCAAGGTGCCTTCTAGGAAGGGTAAGTCGTAAAGGTGATGTTACTCTGTGGCTGATACACGCATGGACAGAGTGCAGTGTGATAGGCACGGCGAGGCAGCATCTCCCCTCTGCTCATCGAGCATCTCGCAAAGCCGCGAAGGAAGGCTGGGACGCCAAACCTCGACGGCAAACATGACAGAGCGGGTGCCCAAACGCCTGGCGTGAGCCGTGATAGACTGGTGTTGCACCGCGTCACTGAACCCAGAGTCACGGTGTGTGTTCATACATGTCGCCCTGGACGCGCACATGCAGCCCCTGATCTAAGCCCCAGCGATTGCCTCCCCCGCAATCAATGCACCCCCGTCCCAGTTTGCTCCTCTGCGCAAGCGCACGAATAGTTGTACTGCCGTGAGGTGGCCCGGCCCGAGGTAAGACAACGCCCGCGCCTCCCCGTCGCCCTTTCATCGAGGGAGACAAGCTTGCGAAACGCAGACGAGAGACATACATCCAGTTCGTTACAATCAGCTTCCTTTCGTAACACTCGCTGTGAATTACTGAGAAAGGCGACCTGAGGGGTGAGGCTGGAGGATCGTGTCACGCATGCATGATGGCGACAGCGTGGGAGAAACAAACAGTTTCTGACATGAGGAGTGAGAGGTGGAGATGTGTGACCTGAGAGCAGGGACGTGGCACTCTGAGGCGTTGAGTCTGTTGGGACGTGGGATGGGAGGCCTTCCTTCCGCTAGAGAACCGTTGACGCTCGCAATCATCGCTGGATGGTGACGATAGGTAACAGCAGCATCCCGCGGACAGGGCATACAATATACCCTTTTCGAAGGCCAATCCCTTGCGCCCGTAAGAACAGCCACCAGGCCAAAGGAACTGCCCTGCATTGTCGCGAGCCAGAGGCCCTTTATCCAGTATGCGATGGAGAACATGCTGCATTTCCGCACGATCCTTCGAGTACCCTGCCGGCGGCGAATTCACCCACCCGATGCAGCCGCTATTTTGCGTACACTAGATGCCACATTTGGTCCTCGGAGGGCACTCCTCCCGCCATCGATCCCAGGCGAACGACGGGATGCTAGCCAACATCCCCCAGGTGTCCACCATCCTGCATCGCCATGTGCTCGCCGCATGCAAACACCCGCACACACCCTGATTACTACCCTACCCTACCCTACATAGGGTAAACTGCATCTGTCCCCATCTGTATGCCTTCCCATACATCTATCCCCAACCCTTACCCTCTCGCCCGACCAATCAGCTCCCGCGTTCCCAGACGGCAGGATCGCAGCCGCAGCGTTACAGCGATAGGGGTCATCCCTGCAGAGAGCCATTCACTGCGGGAGTGGCAGGGATGCCGCGCGCACGAGATTTAGGGTTAGCCTGGTCAAGGGTGGCCGTGCCACTTTGCGGCCCGGTCGGCATGCGCACTGCGACTCGATGAACGCATGTGGCCACTGTCTGCTATCGATGGTGGGGTAGTTATCTCGTTCGTTTGTCGCTGTCATGGCTGGCTAAACCGCGTGCCGGCGGCTGGCTGGGTGCCGTCGCTGGCTGGCTGGGTGGTGGGGAAGCAGTGGGAGCTCATGCGCAGTCATTCTTCGTGGCACTGTGCGGTGGGTGTGAGACGTTTTATGACATCGAGACATGGACGCTGGGCAAGGCAAAGGAAGTCCGACTCAACGGTGCGTCGTTCAACGGTTGCCTACCGTGATGGCCCTCAGTCATCTGGAGGAGAGGGAGACGATGCCTGAGAACGAGCCTGCGGCAGGCATGCCGTCGGCCAAAAGAGCCCGGCCACGTACACAAACCATGTCGCAGGCGCTGCTTTGAGGGTAGTGATGACGATCGCATCTGGGGGCCAAAAGCCAAAACGGAACGGGAGACTGGTCGGCCGCAGCAAGCAGCGATCTGCCCCAGTGCAGCGTTAGCAATCCGAAAGAACGATACGAGACTTCTCGAAACACGAGTGTTGGACGATCAGAGTGTCCGCGGACCTAGCTGGAGAGGGTGGAGAGGCTGAGAGGCGATCCCTCGTGTTGTGCAGGCAAAGGCGAAAGGTTGCCAGAACCTGGGGCCACGGCCCATATCCGCGCTAGTCCCAGCCATAAATAAACACACTGAGTACCTTGCGTTCTCGTACCATGGAGCTTCGTGTATGCGCCTCGCTGTGCTCGTACTTTGGCTGCGAAGTAGGGACGTGACAAGTGCAATGCGAAAGACGGCAAAGATGCGCGGAGCGATGGTAAAGATAGCAGCAATAAAGATTATCCTAGTAACTACAGTGGGTGAAGCGAATGTGTGAAATGTGTCCCAGCCAGTCTTCGTAACGCCGCGGGACCACCTCGTGAAGACAAGACAAAACGCCAGAAGATGCAACAAGACAAACACCCGACCCGAATGATGAGCGTAAATCGTGACCCAAAACAGTCCTTCGAGGGTATAACAGACAAGACCAATACTGAAAAACATGACCACCATTTTTGCTTCCCAAGGAGATGTTCCATGACACCATATATACAAGTGGAACATCCTCGGTTGCCTTCGTACATGGAGAGACATTGTAGAGGAAAAGACTAAGCGTAGATAGGCATCATGTGCGAGCCCGCCAGTCTGGATAGCGTCCACGCGACGCGTGGACGAGCAGGGTGGTGCGCGAACACGAGCCGGCAGATGCGCAGTGGTGGGCGACGTGCCACGCACTTCACCATAATGAGCGCGGAGGAATTCGTTGCTTGATCGAAAGACCATTGAACAAAGCGAGTGTAGCAAACATGACAATCGGACTGGCTGAGCGGACGTCCCCGAGTAGGTTGACGCTAGAAATGCGTGCTATGCCGAAAGTGAGATGGTATAGTGGCTTGGGCACCTATTACGGTCAGCAATCGGGTTTATTACGAACGGACACCAGAGAGAACCCTCCCCACGTCCGCAGCAGAGCGACTTACCAGAATGTCATTTTTTACGTGTCCGAAATCCCGGGTCCAGCTCAGAAGGCTTGGGTGCGGGGAACGATGATGTCTTCCCAGATTGGTTGTGGTGCCTTTGGGTATGCGTACGACTTCACGTTGTCCATGAAGGATGAGGTGACCATTGGCTTGCCCATAATCTGACCAGCGTGGGGTTGAACGTTGCTCCACTCCTGTTGCATATGGCTCGGCGAGTTGAACTCCTCGGTTGAGGCTTCGCTGAGGGAAAGCGAAGGAACACCCTTGCTGTGTGGGGGCATGCCCATAGGCAGCTGAGGTGGTGACACAGACAGAGCAGGGTGTGACCAGGTATTCATGACAGTTGGAGAGTCGCAAAGACCCATTGGTGTGATGGACTCTGGCTCCGGAGTCGACCACATGTCGTTGGGGAGCATGCCAGGCATATCATGCTCGAAGCCCAGTCCGACGGCCATGGAGCCATCGTCCGACCAGCTTGGCGTGTTCATGTAGTTGTCGAAGGGATCGGCAATGTTGATTGGGTCGTTGAAGGCGAATGGCTCCGGAGTGGAGGGCGTCATAGCGCGGCTGGAGGTAATGTAGCTGTTCTGCTCCATGGAGCGAGAGAAACCTCCCATGTTGGGCTCAGGGCTGCTTGAGTAAGAATACTCATCGATGATCTGAGGTGTGTAGGAGGTAGGCAGAGGTTGGAGCATGTTGAAGTTGTTGAAGTTTGCGGGGTACTGGCTGAGTTTGGCGGCAGTGTGGAAATCCATGTGTGAGACTGTTCGCATGATCTGTGGCCGTCCTGAGGAAGGAATGCTGCGAGGGGAAGTGCCCATAGTGCCCATGGTAGGAATGGAGTTGGCAGTGGGGAACCTCTTGGGAGAGACGAGGTGCTTGGTGGGTTTCCTGTAGCTGTTGTCTGATGTGCGGCGAGTTGATCGAGGCTCGCACTGGAGTCCCTTTGCAGTGCAGCGGGAGCAAGATGGAACTGCCTTGTCACACTTGGTCTTTGCCTTTGCGCAGATCGTGCAGGCAATTGCTCGTCGTTGAGACATCCTCTGGTAGGGGTTGTGGGGCTTGGGTTGGTACGGCGAGGTCTGGGCAGAAGGGTTGGGGGAGGACAGCTTGGGTGCCTCAACTTGGGTAGGTTGGTTCATGGTGACGATGTTGCTGAGTAGTGGTTGAAGGTAGTGAGGTGATGTTGGAGAGTGAAGAGGGTTGTCACCGAAGTTGTACTGGGTGAAGATGTGCAGAGGGGGGAGCTCGAGGGATATAAAATAGTAGCGGGAGTGTTTTGGCAGAGGGCTCTAGCGTGGGAGGCATGTGCGCTCGTGGTGGCTGAACCGAGAACTGGAGACTTACGTGGGATACGCTGCTCGATCACAGATTGCTGGTCGAGCTCGGGAACGTCGCATGAGGGGCCATCAACGGCTGCCCAGTGCAGGATCCAGGTCGGGCATAAGCCAATGAGCGTCCAGCCAGGGTTACTTTTCCACAGCGTGGCCGACCTCCTTCCAAGATAGTTCGGCGACGAGCTATGGTCTGTCAATCCTGCCAGCGGTCCCAAGCGGCTCGTGCTGGAATCCCTGTCTCGAGGGTTGCTGGGATCCGCAGAGCAGGAAGTAGTTGCAGTTGAGCGCAGTGCCTTGCCTGTTTCAGTCCAAGGTCGAGATGCAGGGGCATGTCTGCAAGCTGACGGCCGGCATCGCACGGCCCTCGTCGATGATCTGACCATCGCAATGACGAGGAAGACGAATCTAAACCGAGCTGTGGCTTGAGCCATCCAGACGTCGGTGCGTTGCTTGTAACAGCCACTGTGCGCGTTTGCGGGCAAGTGCGCGTGCCTGGCGACTGCGGGCGGAGGATTAGTCCAGCCCAGGGACTGCTGAGAGATGCTGTGAATAGAGGGCGCAGAGCCTCACGGCTAGTCAGTGTACAGTGGGACGGCATTCAAAGAGTGACAGCCAGATCGACGGGGCCTAGGGCAGGCGACGCGCATCGTGGGGAGGAGGGACTGTCCGCCTGTCACGCTCTGGGTTCGCCACGACGGCCGCCTGGTCTTGCGAGCGTCGAAGCGCGGGCAGGCGTACAGCGCGCAAGACCTGCAGGTGTAAATTGCTAGGGTGCTTTGGCGGGGAGGGCGCATGGGTGGTGTCGGCTGGCAGCTGTTTTTGGCGGGCCGCTAGGCGGGCCTTCTGGGGTGGGGTGTGGCCGCAGCCTCGTCGAGCGCAGTGCACACTGCACAGTGGACTATGCGCGCGAGAAGGCCTGTATGCGAAGGCCGTCCGGACATTCGCCCATGGCCGGCGCTGGACTGCTGAGCTAATGGCGTCCGGTATACAAAAGCGACTTGAGGCTCTGCTGCGGACTTTGCCAAGGGCTAATTAGCTTCGGGAGAGTGCGCAACGCTCTCAAAGCATGACCTTCGGGCCATAACAGGTAATACCATAGGCGAACAAACGCGCTGCCCGCCCAATCACTGCCCCCCAAAATCCTCACTAAATGTCACACAAGCCTCTTCCAGTTGGTCTCCTTCTGCTTAAGGCAGTATTAACATCTTGTGCGTCTGCTTGGGTCCTGAAACACACCCGACGGTGAGCGGACAGACCTCTTGCTTCAGTGTACCCCAACAGGCATTGCCGAATGCTTCTAGAAACCCGTGACTACGCTGAACAGCCTCTTCACAGTGCAGGCTCTTGAACAGTGTCGTCCGTACTCCGTCGACACTAAAGCACTGATCTTGCTACGGGTACGCCGGTGTGGTGATCGTAGATGCACTGACACAGTCCAGAATGAGTCTCCTGGCTGAGGCGGGACCACAAAACACGAGAACAGCTGCAGATTGCTCAGGCATCCTGTGCTGAGAATTTCGAGAATGTCACCCTTCTTGGTCGCTCGGGAGCAGTGCAAAGCAGTGACAGTTGACCGTTCAGGAGGGAAACCGCCCACTTCCAGACACTTTCGGTGCCACCGACTTGACTGGCTCACGTTTGAGGCGAATCGATAACACCATTGCTCTCGTTCGGGTGCACCCTCGATGGACGGGAGGAATGGATCGGTCCAACGTACACGGTCCAGCCTCGAGCAAACTCCCTTCTCCAATCTCAACGTCTTCATCCTTCAGTTGGCCTTGCATCGTCGGCCCATGGTCGAAGCGTTGCGGAAATAAACATGCAAGCATCTTACGATCCTATCATTACAGAGAGCACTGCACATGGCATGCTCTGCAGGGCCCTCGGCTATTCGGACGCTGGGAGCGTGCGAACGATTGATTGTACAACCGTGCGAACGGACTTGAATTTGCAGTGCCCAGGAGACGACTTGGGATGTAACCATTTAGGCCTGCAGTCGAAACAGGCTGGTGTTCACATCGGGGGCCACTATAATCTTTTCGCCTCCCTTGTGAGCTTCCGAGAAAGCTATCGCGCCATCTGAGGCCGGAAGCTGGGGATGTGGCTCGTGGTCAACTTTCCAGATGCCCATCAAGTAGCTTCTAGGGCCGTGCTTCGGTGAAGGCGAGATCGAAAGGGCCCACATCTAGTTGAATCGTGCACTTGCAAGTTGAATATAGCATCAGGATGCGACGGCTAGGGCTCAGGGCGGTAGCCACATGGACCAGGTTGTAGCGTACCTGCATGGCCAAGCTTTTTCTGAGGCGGCAGGATGCGTTTCAGGTTGCTTGCCTACACTGCACTGTGGTTTAGAGTTGTCCGGAGTCGAGGTATGGTGGGGTTGGGGCTGAGTCGACGCCGTGGTGGCCATGGCTTGCTGCAGGTACGATTTTGCTGCTAGTATCTGCATAGCGCTCGACTTCATCTCCGTCGTCTATATCGAGTTGACATTCTGAACTGATGACAGGGGCCGACGCGAAAGAGCTCAGCATAGCCTCTGTGCGTCATGCAGTTATTCATAGCCTAGATGCTAGCTTCGGTAATGCGATCTGCGATTACTGTATGTCGATCGCGTACGCTAAGTAGCATATTCCTCATCCGTCTCGTGATCGCTGGAGCATTGTTGTTCGACGTTTGGCGAATCTTGCTGCGAACGTTGTGATGAAGGCGAAGCTGGAGTCGTCGAGAGCAGTCGTGAGCTTCGCCACTTTCGACCCCGGAAGAATTCGGCAGCCGCTAGCGCCCTAGCAGCGAATTTGCTATTATTGGCCTGTCGCGTTTGCTCACCATGTCATCAATCATACATTACACTGCATCGCTCAAGTTTGGTACCGCCCGGCAAATATCTTGTTTGACTTGGATGAAATTGAGCGCACGCCAAAACTATGGATGCGGCCGAAGAGCGCGCCTTTGACCTGGCGCTGCACCTTGCACAAAGCGAAGAACGCAAGGATCCGTCGGATGTAACTGCACCCGATTTACTGATTCTCAATCAGCCAATTAGCGACTTTGCTGTTTTTGCACAACTATGGACTCGGTCGAGGTACCGATTGTGCGCGGATGGCGGTGCCAATCGTCTGTATGATATGTTCTGCGGTGAGCTTAAGGCGCGTAGAGACGATTTTGTGGGTGTTCTTCTGTTTCAACCTCGAAGCCGCGTAATCCTGACAGCGACTAGATACCAGATTCGATTCATGGGGACCTTGATTCGTTGCGGGACGATGTGCGATCCTACTATGCTAACCGTGGGGCTGAAGTTTCTCAAGATCCCGACCAATATAGCACAGATTTCGGGAAGGCCATGCAGAAAATCACTGCTAACCACTCTCCCGCATCACTCGAAGCTCGAGAAGTTCTTGTGCTTGGGACTTTGTCTGGACGGGTTGATCAAGGCCTTGGAATGCTACATGAGATGATCCGTGAAGAGACCATGGATCCCCGCTTGCGACTATGGTTGTACTCTGAAACAAATGTATCCTTCATCTTAAGGGATTCCCAGAACGTTATTAAGGGTGCGCTATCAAGTCGAAGCTTTACTGAGAATGTTGGCATTCTTCCCGTCTATGGTCCTGCAACAATCAGTACGGCTGGTCTCGAGTGGAACGTCCAATCCTGGCCAACACAGATGGGACACCAAGTTAGCACTAGTAACCACGTGAAGGCAGACGAGATACACATCTACACGGATACCCCAGTTCTCTTCACGATAGAACGGGCGAGTATGAGTACGGACGATCGTGGAACGGCAGCGCAATAACTCCCGAATATCCCCTCGACCTGCATAATCGCAATCGTTCCCAAAACAAACGAAAACTGCGCCATGTATGTTCATGCATCTATTCTCCGATATCCCATCCTTCCATAACGACGGTCTGCTAACTCACAACAAGGGCACCACGTTTCGTTTCACGAGCAAGGCACACTTGAAGACGTGCGCAAACGTCCCGCTTTGTACGCGCATAGAACGCATAACGATCGTCTAAATTTAAAGTTTTGACGGGAAGCTACGACTGGTCCATGAAAGCAGCGGACCCCAGAATGTAAGAGTCGTGGGGTTAAAATTATGCGGGTCCGCCGCCGTTACAGATGTCCAGGCCGCAGAACACAGCCACCACTTCTACCAGTAAAGGGTCGTATCATCTACCAGCGACATGCTATCGCAATAACAACGAAAATTCAAACGACGCTGCGATGTAACGCTGCGAAATGTGAATGGCCAGATTGTATGTCATTTGGTAACATCATTTTTTGCCTCTTGTAATTTGCTCTCCGACAGCCCGTACGCGCAAGACAAGGAACCCGCGCTGCTAGCTGCGTTGCATCCTTGTCTGCCTGTGGTATCGAACGAATGAGACTGAACTATGTAAGCCTTATACGATCAGATTCTACAGACGCATCCAGCTACTCAGATTGTCTTTGCAAATATTGTCCATCTGGCAGTCATACACTACTCACATCACAAGAAGCCTTTCCCGTGTCCGACAGCGCGTTTGAACAATAGCATATGCTTCCTCGACCGCAGCCCAAGCGTGCGAATTGCTTGATTGATAACGTTGAACAGAAACATGACCCTTCCATATGCGCTCTGGCATGTTTGTTCCGTGGCACAGTCTAATTTTTAACGAGTCACTATGCGTCCTTGAACCATCAGACCCATTTCTGGTGCTGTGTATAGTCGGTTGCCGTTAGCGCCCTTACCGCACGATTCCAATGGGAACGCTCCCATTGACGGCCACAGGAGCCGTTGAGGGGTTGGCGCGAGAGCTCCCCAAGTGACCCTGATGAGCTAGTGTTGCTCCGCAAGCTGAGTGCGTTCGAGGCCTGATAACCATAAGGCTTCATGCCTCTAAGCATGGAGGAATTTTTTTTTACTGTGGTAGTCCTGAACTTTTGAGGCCTTACATTCCACAGGTACCACTGCAGCGAGCTACGACGCCGGATGGAGCATGGTAACGAAGGCAAACTACGAGACACGCAAACCGAATCGCCTCACTGACCGGCCTTAATGGGTGAAATGGTGCAAGAACCCGAGCCAGATTTGCCGGTGCAAGCTGGACGATCTTCGACGACTTTACATGTGGAGCAGGCCGGTGCTGTGCTCGAAGTAAAAGAAGCTACAGCCTGTCGGAGATCGAAAAGTGTGATGGGTGATCAACAAAGACTCTCTGATGAGCAAAGTGCAAATACAACCTCAGACAGGACGGCCCCGCGCACGTTTACTCCTCCACCGCATGAAGTTCCAGAATCGCAGATCAGCGGCGCGCAGAATGGTTCTGACATTGCGCGTGTTTGTGTGGGCAACATCGGACCTCAGGCGACATCCAGGCTTCGCGCAAGAGCCAGGCCTTCATCGACAGCTACCCAATGTGGGTCAGGCAACCCCATACGACGCAGGCCGCAATCGAATGCATGTATAATTTTTAAAAGTACATCACAGATCCCCGCGGATCTGCAAAGGCCCAGTACGTTCTTGACAGTTCACGATCTAGGTATGGATTATTCGCGATACTACGATCCGTTCACAGACAGCGCGAGATCCTCGTTAGTGGGCAGAGCATCATATCCTTCTAGCCGCGCATCGCTCAACAACGTCCCTACAATCGCTACGGCCACTGGTACCTTTTTGACTCCTTCGGCATCCACTACAAACCTAGTGAAGGACCTAGGGACAGAAGAGAAAGTCTTTCTAATAGACGATCGCCTGGGGGCGCCGTTCGAAGAGAACGATGGGTCAGCCTGGCCCCTTTGGGGTGACGAAGCAGAGGACGACGATGCGTTGCATCTGCCCCACCCCGATGACGACAAGCTGTTCAAGGTAAATTGGAAGCAACGCTTCTCACGCGACCAGATTGTGTCCACAACAGGTGTCATTTTCATGATCCTTGGATTATTCATGGTTTTCATTGGCCTCCCTATCCTAACATACACGGGTATCATAGATTATGTATCTGGATACGAAACATCTCTGAACGAACTGACAGCCGTCCATCCACGTAAGGAAGATTGGGCTTGGGTCAACGATAAAGATTATCCGCTTTTGTGGGGCGTGCGACGCGGACTCATTGACCCTGACACGCCCGAACACGCCAGGCGAAAACTGGGCGAGTTTTACGATGAGTACGAACTTGTGTTCAGTGATGAATTCAACGTCAACAATCGCACGTTCTACGAAGGTGATGACCCATTCTTTTTCGCTCCAGACATCTGGTATGGTGCAACACAGGATCTCGAATGGTACGACCCTGACGCAGTCACGACTTGGGATGGCGTTCTGGAAATTCGAATGGACAAGTTCAAAAACCATGGGCTTGAATTCCGCTCTGGCATGCTGAACAGCTGGAACCATCTCTGTTTCAAAGGAGGCATCTTTGAAGTCTCCATGTCACTACCTGGTCCAGCAGGCGTACACGGTCTCTGGCCCGGCGTCTGGACGCTAGGAAATCTGGGTAAGCCGGGATTTACAGCGACCACAGACGGGACGTGGCCATACACCTACCAAGCTTGCGATGCCGGTATCACTCCCAACCAATCTGATTCAAGCGGCCTCTCATGGCTTCCTGGCCAGAGACTGCCATCGTGCACGTGTCCCGGTGAAGACCATCCATCGCCAGGCATAGGTCGGGGCGCGCCTGAGATTGACATCGCGGAAATGAGCGTTAGTTACGCAGAAGGGAAGCTACCCGTTGCCACTCAAAGCTACCAAGTCGCACCATTCGACGTGTGGTACTATCCCGATTATGAGTTCACGAGGTTTCCCGACCAGCGCTTGAGCTACACCAATCTCTACACAGGTGGTCCCTTTCAGCAAGCTATCTCCGCAACCACGAGCCTAAATCGTAACTGGTATGACGGCAAGGCATATCAACGGTTTTCATTCGAGTACGTTCCTGGTGACCAAGAAGGCTCGCACATCACTTGGAAAATAGGAGGGCAAACCATGTTCACACTTGATGGCCGTGCTCTTGGTCCCAACGGCAATATCCAAGCGCGCCAAATCTCGCAGGAGCCAATGTCGTTGGTTCTAAACCTCGGCATGAGCAACTCGTGGACGTGGATCAACTGGGCTGAGCTACTCTTCCCCACGGTACTTCGGGTGGACTATGTCCGATGGTACCAGAAGAAGGGGGAGAAGATGGTGACTTGTGATCCACCCGGTTTTGAGACGACCAATTACATCAAAGAGCATATACGCGCGTACACAGATCCGAATCTCACGGTGAGTGGTGCTGATCTGAGATCTCTGCCATCACAGATGCTGATCAAAACACAGAGATGGGATCAAACCGGCTACGGTTGGCCGAAGCACAAGCTAAACAGCGACTGCTAAACTTACTATTCTTGTTTCGCTCTTGATACGGGTGCTAGTCTATACTGCAGTCTATACGAACGCACGTTCTTGAGATGGATTTCTTCTTTCAGTAGGTGTCGTATAGCAGCAAGATCGCCTTTCTGCATAGCTTAGCTCGCATTACTGATGCTCAGTCAATGCATATTTTTTATACACTTGCCCGGCCTGTAAGTCTCCACTATGGTATGCCCCCTTACGCTTTGGCCCCAACCTTGGTACCCGATCCGCGCGCAACAGCTCTCCGCAACCCTTGGCCTGCTCGCCCCTCCCATTTCGCGTACATCTTACCTCTTACACAAGCCCAATTCCCCTCGCAGCCTCACATCCTCGCATCCTCATCTCCGCAACACGGGCGCCGATCTCACTCCAGACATACGCTTTGTGCAACCCGGCGAACTGACCGACAGGACCGCCGACAGCTCACCACATCCCTGCGTATACCATGCCCATCGCGGTCGCTATTTTCGGTGCCCGGGTGTATTAGCGAGTGGGGCGGGGCGGAGCTCCCGCTGGCGTGAACACGGACTGAGCATGATGTCAGCAGCACTGCAAGGTACCCGCGGCCCCCACCTTTTGTTCCCGATGGCCCGGACTAGGTATGGTTGTGGAGAGAGGGTTTAAAGCACATTATCTGGATCCGGACAAAGGGTTGGGAAGGGTCAGGGTTTCTAAGCGGGGAATGAGAGGGTAGTGGTGGATTTGTCTACGATCAAGCATATGGTGTCTATACACACATTACAGGTCCAGCATGTACCTCCAGAAAGGCATTATCTGCTTGAATTCCTAGGTATTCGGGCACATTTATGGTAGTTGTCAAACTTGATTCTCTCAATATCGTTCGCAGGGTTGGTATTTCTTTTTCATTCCTTGCATTTCATGCGCCGGTGACGTATTGGCAGAACGCCAGGAACAATATCTCGTAAAAGATTTCCCAAGCAGATGGATAAATTCATGTCAGTAAGAGCGACTCTTTTGCTGGATCAGTTTTAATTGACCCGCTCTCCAGTTGGTATGGTTGCCACCGCCTTCGCTGAGCCTTAAGAATGTTACAGAGAATACGTTAACTAACTTAACGTTACTGGCGCCGCTAATTAGTAAAGCAAGTGAGACCGCCACAAAAGAGGCTGCGAGAGCTGCAGATGGACGTACGTTACGTTAGATGTTGCATGAGGGAGTGCGGTTGAGGTTCGAGTGGAGGCATCGCACGAGATGACACTAGAGCTCAGCGAGCAGTTTGAGCCTTAAAGAGAGTGTAAGTTATTCAATTTATGTTTATATAGATGATGATGGCACCGGGCCACTCATACATATGGTAAGTAGGCATACAGCTGAAATAATGGTAGCTTGCTCCTATGAAGTTTTTAGTGTCTTTCAGCAGTCTCGAACAGTGGCTCGTATAGGCGCTCGCACAAACGATTGCTTCAAAGAGATTTTTCAACACTGATTGCTCCCCCACTGTATCATGGAAACTCATATAAGAGGCCAGAGTTGATGTGATGCTGTGGTCTTCACAGTTTTATATTGTTCTTTTGAGCCCATATGCCTGCATCCACTCTTACGCCCGTATATTCTATGGTCTTGTTAGAGCCACGAAGTCATGCTCAAGGATCGTCTTTGATCTTCAGATCTAGTATTCACATGAAGAGTGTTTTCTTTCAGATGCACACCGAAGCTGTCACACCTTCTCGGATCATCGCGATCTATAAGCGCTGTACTATACCTCGCACGAGTAGCGTTGATTAAGGTGGGTTTCAGCTCGAGCATTGTGCATCTTGCATTGACCCTTTCACTATGAAGTTGCACTAGTAACATCAAGCCTCTCAAGGCTTTCATCGATTAAATCTATATCATTCATTCACAATTCATCGCGTCACCCAATCGTATATATACCTCAAATCCTCATCATGGCATCAAGAAGCAAAATCCGACTGCTAACTCCACAAATTCGAAAACACCCGACTTTCCAAGGAGTACCGATTCTCGACGAGCGCATCAAATGTCGACCAACAACACCACCGCTTTCCCGGAGACGATAAACGGCGTTCGCGCCTTCTTCAACTCCATCCCCTCGCAGACCGATAAGCTTCGCTATGTTCTTGGCCGTCTTACCAAGCCGATCGCTCCTCGATTGGCTGAAGCTACTGTGGTCAACTGTGTTGATACAGAGCACTACGAGTGGGACCACTCCAAGCTGACTGAAATTGGGCTGAATGTGTTTGCCTCTGGAGATCTTCGTCAATATGCTAACACCCTCGAGGCCAACGCCGAGAACATGCTGAAGGAGATCTACTTCTACCACTTCCGCATGTTGCCCAATGCTCATTGCATTAACGAGAAGTTCTGCCCAGGAAACCCGGAAGCGAATCGTTTCGGCAACACCCGGTTTGCCACGTACGCTGAGGGCAAGGCGATGCTCACAGAGTGCTTCAATTGGGATATAAACCAGGGAAGACCTCAGGACGGTAAGTGTCCCTCCATCCTTATTGGTCATGCGTTGCACAATGACACCGGTGGCTTGGAGGAGACCATCGGTTTCGATCCTTACGCCTCAGGTACTGTTGTTGCTACCTTGGATACGCAGCAGATGGCCCGAGAGATGGGCATCTACAACCCAGCCGGCTCAAGGCATGAGATTGGACTCCGTGACCTCTGTTATCACTTCAAAATTCCATACCGCGACTCCCACACAGCAAGCAACGACGCTGCATACACGATCATCTCTGCCATCTACATGGCTCTATATGGACGCGACATGCCAAAGACTGGAAAGACCGTACTTCATTCGATTGAAGCTGTCGAGGCCACTAGTCGCATGTATTCCAATGCGCGCTTCGGGATTTCTCGTTATTGCACGCGTTGCCATCGCACCAACCACTTCAAGAAGGATTGTCACGCACGTATCCCGCCGTGCCATAAGTGCCAGGCGCGCCGTACACCTGGCCGGGATGGCACGCTTCCCGATGTGCATTGGTTCACTAAAGGTCGTCGGGCGCATCTCCCCGAGGATTGCACTTGGGGTTCTTCCATTAAGGTCCTGCACGGCCTCACGAGACGCACAGACTGGCGAGACACATCATGAATACTTTGAACTCTATCCAACCTACGACTCCGCACAGGCCTGAGATCTCCATCGTTAGGGAGGAATAATTAAATTTGCTATCTTTAGAACATGCTCCGACCTTGAAAGCCTAAAATTACAGATCCGTCGAATCCTCTTTGACCAATCCAAATCAGTAATGCCAAAGCTAAGGATATATACCGCTGAGGGCGCAGGGCCACGCGATGACTTCACCAGTCCTTTAACAATATTTGTATAGATTTTCGCCTACACTGAATCTCTTCACAACACTAGCTAGCTTCTGCTGGCCCTGCAGCTACTGTGTCTTGCGAGATTCAATAATATTGCCACCCTGGTCGGTACCTAGAATCGTAAGCGAGCGATCTTCTGCCAAGGCAAGTGTACTGACTCAGTATTTTATATGAGGTAATATGTTAGTCAGACTCGTTAGCCTAAAGAATCGTAGTTAGTGATGATTAGCTGCTTAATGCCCATCCCTGTGAGTTAAACATTTCCCTAGACAGGGTCATAAATATCCTTGACTTACTATTGTCACGAGAGCAACGAGCAAGATGTCTGAGGCCCAGGTAGGCTAGATCAATATACTGCGTTCGGTATCTACGTGTAGGTACAAGACGTTGGATAAGGAGAAAAGGTCCTCTCCCCCCTATCCAGCGTGGATCTATCTTCTCGCTTCGTCGCACGCCCTCGCCAAGGGTGGCTAGCGCCATGCTTTGACCAATCAGCTAGCAGACGGGCCACCCGTCTAATAATCTATTGACTGGCTGCCAGCGCGCGACATCTCTAAGATATACTACTGCCAGCAGTATATCCATGCTTGTCAGGTAGCCTCTAAGGTTACCGTGACACTATTACCCTCTGCGCTTAGCTAAGATGTTTTGAATGCGTCTCTGCCACGCTTTAACAAATATATTGCAATGTTCTAACGTTACTTCTAGAAACTTCCCCTTGAACTGCAAATATCTCGTGGCTCTATCACTCTGTCACTCTTGTAGAATTCTCGAAGCTTTGACGTGGCAAAGCGTTATGTATATATACGTGTACATCTCCGGACCTCTATAAAGTCCATCACTGCGTAGCGAATCGCACAATGTGCCGAATCGGACCAATCAGTTTACATTATTCACGGATTCCCACAAGCTGATTGGTCAGATTCGGCACACCGTGCGATTCGCTACGCAGTAACAGACGTTAGGTGCCGAGTTAGAAAATAAATAAGAGTAAGTCACCACAGTCTTTAGACACGTGGGTACGTAAAGCAACATACCCAAACCTTTCCAGACCCTGTACCGACACCAACAGATGTACTTGATATAGCCAAGCTCCTTGGTCGATACTGTGTTGGGAGCCACAATGTATTTCGAGCATCACCTAAAATCCAGGTACCATCCGAGCTGATAGCTAATCTCTGACAAGTAGCTTGCTGCGGCTCCACGGTTTTAGGGTGTAGCGACGCTAGGAGAGAGACGAGATCGGTTGAGCTGACCCAACTACTATGGCCCTCGAGCGTCTGCAGGCACGCGCCGCTGTTCGCATCCCAGACCTTGACCGT